ACTATGTAATTGATTATAATAGACTGTAATTTATTCAATAATGTTTTAATAATAAAGTTTTTTTAATTTGACAAACATTATTACATATATAAATTTATATTATTTACACTACCAGTATTATAAATAATAAAACAAAAAATATGTTTATAAATATATATTAATTTATATTAATTTTCAATACTATGATTACAGCATTTATATGGCGGCGTATTTTTCAGTTCATTAAATGTGGTAATAATATCTTCAGTCAATTTAGTGGTCATCAATGAGTTGACATTTTTCAAATTGATTGCAATTGTCTGATTGATACCACCATTATGTACAGCAACGGCAAACTGATGATGAGCATCGCTAAATCGTCTAGCATAATTTTCCAATTGTATCAATGTCAAATTGATTTGATCATTAAGTTTAGCATGCACAATTTTTGTATCGTCATCAATAAGTTTTCTTATGACAATAGCTTTAGTGTTGAGGCCTTCCAGTTCCGCCTGAGCTCCCGGTTTAGTCATATCCAGTGCCACTAACTGAGCCGTATAACTATTAACCAATTTTTGTAGTTCAGTTAGATTGGCGCCCAGTTGTTCGAGACCATCCTGATTAAGATAATACATTGTTTTCAAACATATCTCAGCCGAGTCTTGTAGTTTATCAGAYACATCCTGTTTTGTGACATAAATTTTTGGACTACTAGATTGTTTGTTGTGCACCTGGATCATTTTTAAAACATTTAGCAAATGGTCCGGTTTTGCATTAATTTCAATATCTATAAATTATTAGAATTATAAACAATTATTTTTATTATTTTAATAGTAATTAAATTAATATGAGAAAACTTACAAACTATAGTAACAAAAAATATTATATAAATAATAAATAACTTCATTATTAGTTTATTTTGTTATTAAAATAAAATAGTATATAAAATAATATATAATTTATTTGTTTTTATACTTAATGTTATCTATTTATTATTTCATGATAACACTTAATTATATTTTTTTCATTTTTTATTATTAGATAATTATTACTAAATTAAACATTTTCTATAGAAATTAAAAAAAGAGATATAATTTTTTCAAGTTTTTTATAATAATTGTAATTTGCATACAGTTTTGCTACAATTTTTTGCTTTTATGAACTATTTCTTGTTAAATAATAAAAATTATGTTATATACTATTTGTTAATTACTTTTTTAAATATAGTTTATGATAAACAATACGATAATAAGCGTATCATTGTTTTATGTGGTGTTTTGAAATTACAGTATAATATTGTATTTATTTAAACCTAAATCACGTAAATAACATAGAAAAGAAATTTATTTAAACACAATAATTGTATCAAACTTATTACAAAAAAAAAATATTTTTTAAAAATAATTTTATATTAATTTTTATTTTTTTATGTATAAATGTTTTAGAAATAATTATTAATTATAGTAATTATTATTATGACAGCAATATTGATGGCAACACTTGTAGATAATAGCAGAACGAATAAATTAATAATTATTTTTATATTTATTTTAAACTAATAGTTTTAAATTAAATATTAAATTAAATAAGTAAACTGATCCTGAAGAAACTTAAAAATTATATTACAAAATAAAAACAAATTGCTTGTAATTTTCGTACAACTCATATAACATAATCGTAATTGATGTTCATTTTTTTAATTTTTAAATATTTTAGTTTTGTTAACCAAATAAATAAGATAATTTTTATTTTATTTTTTCAACACTAATAATCGCATACTATCTGTGACTATAAATTTATTAATATATTTGTAACCAGTATACCGCTTGACATCAGATAAGCTGAGCTTTACAATATGCACTACTTTGTCATACTGTATACAAAACTTTTTTCAAAGATCGAAAAGTCGGTGAACCCGTTGACTCACCAAAATCTTGTCAATTACAAATTTATAGTACTATATATCTACTAATTAAATATTATTATTAAAGATTTTTATCAATTATAAATAAATTAAACCTTTCCCAAAATTCACCAGGTGGCGCTAAAAATCTGAAAATGGTCTCTAAAAATCTTAATTTATGTCTACTATAGGCTCAAGTAATAAAATTAATATAAGTCTGTTTTTGACTGAGTTATGACCAATTTTAAATTTTCAGTTTTTGAAAATGTCACCTTTTCGGGTTTTTATCTAATTTCCCGATGGGGTATAAAATTGTTATTAATATAACTTATAATATCTATTGCTACATATATTATTGTCAAGCTTCCATACTTTTATCTATCACCGTTAAAAAGTTATGATATTTTTAAATTTTTTCAGTTTTCTGCTATTTTGACCACTTTCTTCATTAATGAGAGATTTTTCTACAGCGGGTTATTTTTCATCATTTTTGACCCCCTAAACCATCCCGTTGAGAAACCTCGTCTACATCAAAATCCCGCACCCCTTGCAGGTAATTTCGACACATATTTTACTGGGATACGCGTCGGTCGACCTTCGGTCGACCTCTGTGTATCCCGCTTCGCTTCGCTCAGCTTATCTGATGTGAATGAAAATATATATTTTAATATATATTTTTAAATGTAATTTATTTTAAAGTAAAAAACTACAATTAAATTTTTAATAGATAAAATTATTTTTAATTAGTAAAAATATTTTGTTAACGTTAAATTATAAATTAATTCATAAATAAATATGGATAATGTAGATAAATAAATAAAAATGTATATAACAAATTTATTTTCATTATTTCTATGTTATGATTTACATTATTAGATAATGTATAAAAATTTTTAATTAATTTAGAAGATATTAAATAAGTAAAATAGTAATATTTTTCTGAATTAAATCTATATATAATTTAGTGATAAGATTATAATTTTTTGTATAGAAATTTATTTACTGTGTATATAAAAAAGTAAATATATAAAGTATATACATTATTTGAATCATTTTCAGGTGAACTCAAGGTTAATTGTATTTTAAATTTTAATATATATAGTATTAATTTTTTTTATTTATTAAAAACTGGTTTCACATATAAATAAATAGCTGCGAGAGATTCAACAATACATTGCAAATGTATAGATAAAAACTTATATTCATAAGACTAACATTTATATATAATAAATACATTATACAGTACTACTGTATGTTTCTCTATGTATAATAACATTAAAAAATTATTTTCCTGTGTAGWGTGTATTTATGTTTTAGTTATTTATTTTAATTATTTATTTATTTATTTTTAAAATATAAGACACGTTAAGCAATAAAAAATAAGTTGTGAAAATAACATTATTAATTATAATAATAATAATAAAAGTGATTATTATTTTTGTTACAATAAAAGTTGTACAGTATAAATAGCTATAAAAGTTAAGATAAACTAAATTATTGAAAATTGTGCAATTAACGGATATTTCTGTATATTACCTAGATAAAATCGCACAAGTTTAGAAATTTTTAATTTTCAGTCTAAATGTAAAAATAAATAAATGTTTTTTTAGTAAAATTTTTATTATTATTGATTATTATTATAGTAAATAACACAATTGTGAAACCCTTTAAGTGTTTTGATAAGCCAACTAAATGTGAAACTTAATTAACTTTTATATTAATGTTAATTATAATAATAATAATAGAAATAAAATAATATTAAATTTTCATTTACAACAAAAAAAATACTGAATGCTAAAAAACATTTTACTTGAAAACAACAAAATATGTGTCATTAAAATAATAAAACAGCAAAAAATTTAATATAAAATATCAGTATTTTATAAAAATCATGTTTATTTTAATTAATTTAATTGTAATATAATCATCATTTTTTAAATCATATGTGTTTAATATTTTATATGGCTGATTTAATTTATTATAAAGCAAGAAAGTTTGTGTGTGTGTGTATGTGTGGTAATAAATTATTTTTTCAAATACAATAACTAATAATTTATTATTGTTATTTTTTTAAAATATAAATTGTTTTGCATTTTATGATTGCAATAATCCGGAATTACAATATAGTAAAAATAATATAATTATATSAAATTWATAATTTAAATAATTATAATTTATTACTATTATTATTAATGATAATGTTTAATTCTTAATTTTAATATTTCTAAGAAATAGTGATTAGTCATTATTAGAAAAATATAAATTTTCTATTTATTCAAAAAATATTGTTAAAAGTTGTTTGAATAAAAATTATTTTTGTTAAAACAATTTAATTACAATTGCAATGTTGTTGTTGTTGTTGTTAATGTAAATTTTTATTTTGTTATCATTATATGTATCAAGTGTGCCATGATATTTGTTAAGTGCTAATCTGAAACAGGTTGTTTAGATAAATGTATTTTACTGTATAATATACACTGTATATTATTTTTAATACAAGGTGTGCTGCTTATAAGTAATTTAGTTCACTTAACAAACTGTTTGTTATTTTTTTATTAATTAATTTTGTTTAATATGTTACTCTCTGATTAAATTAAATATTATACACAAATTGACTTACAAAATATCAAATTAAAAAAAATGTTTAGCATACCAGTGAGACTAAATATTTTATATATTTACAAATTTTTATCTATATCTATATTAATGTGAATTTTATAAATAAATGGATAAATAAATAAATACGATATTAACAATAATAATAATAATAATGTGTCATTTTTAAGTTTGTTACTTTAGTACAGTGATATTTTTTTAAAATATTTATATATACAGTATATCATATATGTTTATAAATAATTATATAATTAAAATGCATAACTAAAACATTAAAACAAACAAAAAAATGATCAATAAACAATTTACTGAAAACTATTTGACTAATAATAATAATACTAATAATAATTTTTTTAACGACACTATCAACAATTTTAATAACGAAAATAATAATAATTATCATAATATTATTAATAATAATATTAATGATAGCAGTAGTGACTTATTTTTCAATATAACTCATAACTATAATGTTAATCTCAATAATGTTAATCAGCAACAAATGCTATCAATTATCAATGATAGTGATAGTAATAAAAGTGATGCACTGTTTATAGCTACTACCGGTGCTGATAACAATAGTAACTATAATAATAATAATATGTTACCGTCGATAGACTGGTCACCATTGGGTAATCTAAGCCAAGATAAGATAGATTTACTCAAATTTTTGAACGACAAATACTCGCATTACGGCAACACTAGCGGTAATGGTCGCGGTCTGGGCTCTACACTGGACGACAATTATACAGTGATAATCATCTACGGAATCATTGTCTTAATCTCATTGTTTGGCAATTTGTTAGTTTGTTTTGTAATAATGAAAAACAAGACAATGCGGACCAAAACCAATATATTGATGGCTAATATTACAATATCTGGTCTAATGATTACCGTTTTTAACATACCTTTCAATATCGCACGTATTCTGCTAAACGACTGGCCATTTGGTGTAGTATTGTGTAAACTATTGCCAGCAATACAAGTGACATCAGTGTATGTATTATTTTGTATAAATCTTATGTTAATATTTTACTTTTACTTATAATTGATTTTGAAAATAATATAATAATTTTTGTGAAATTAATTTTTAAAAATATTTTATTAATATTGTATATGCGGTATATACCTATACAATAATAATAATCACAATAATTATAAATGTATATTATTATGACTGCAAAAAAGTATYTATTTAATTATATTTTAATGATATATGCATTTTTGATTTATTAGCATAATTATTGTGAAGTTTTTCAATTGTGCAAATGTTTATTGTTATTTCACTAAATTATTAATATTAAATAGTTTTCTTWGAAATTAATAAATAATTACTAGACATATAAAAATGCTTTTAACACGTGTTAAGTAATATATTGAATATTATTTATATAAATAGGGAAAATGTTTTTTTAAACACAAAAAAACATTAAAGTTTATATAATTAAAAAATAATAATTTTCTAAATTTTTTATATTATTATATAAAATTTGTTTGTTAAACAAGTGTATAATATATATTTTTATGTCTTTATTTATAGTTATATTTAACTATTTTAATTATATTATTATTATTATGTCAATCAAACAAATTGACGTTATTATAATCATGTATGATATTAAAAATAAAATATTTGATGTGGAAAAGTTTCACAATACTTTCATAATATTATGTAATTTAAAATAATAGATTCAGTTTTTATGTACTTTCCTTATAATTGCTTAATTTATTATATATTATTATATACTATTGTCTACATTAGATTTTTTAACTTAAGTTCTTGCACTTAAATTAATTTTAATAAATTATTTAATAATTATTTAATAAATTATGATAAATTATAATTAGTTTGGACTAAATCTTTATAATACTTGTATTTATATATTAAAGTTAGTTTAATTAATTTTTATTGACATTTAAATTAGTATAAAAAATTATATTAAGATATAAATAACTATATTTAAGTTTATATTTAATTAAAATTAAATAATTATAATTTTATTTTTTTATTTCTACACACATATAGTTATGTATCGACATTTACGATGACAATCATTGCAATAGATAGATATCAGGCAATTAATACACGATTTTATCGGCGCATCTCAAACGTACTGCCCATTAGTATTACCATAAAAATAATTTGGATATTTGCCGCTATATTTTCCACACCTGAGCTTATATTTAACAAATTGGTTGACTTTAAACTTATAGGTCAGACTCGATGCAATACAGTATACCCATCGCCGAGTGCTATAATAAGTCAACTGATAACAGTACTTACATTTAGTACACAATATTTGATACCATTGGCTATAACTACCGGTGCTTATGTTAAGATTATTAATAAAATTTGTCGAAAATATCGGCACAGAACTAACGATATACAGAAGCGCATCAAAAGGACAGACCAAAAGATAATAAAAATGTTAGCCTTTGTGGTGATAGTGTTTGCCATTTGTTGGCTACCATTGAATCTCTTTCACATATACAGCGATTTTAGCAAAGATATCATTAGGTATGACTCCATACTATTTTATTCGTGCCATATGTTAGCCATGAGCTCCGTCTGCTACAACCCGTTCATCTATTTTGGTCTCAACAAACACTTTCGGCGCGAAATCGGACAACTATTCCGATGTTTGCCGGGTGTTGGGCGCCGACATCACACGATAGGCGACACAAGCGATCGACGACGTACTGGTCGATCATTGATTAGTAGTAACAGTGCCAACAATTATCAGGAAAACAATAACTCATCACATTTTAACAGAAGCTTTGAGTTAAAAAATAGTAATAATATTGTTATTAATAATAATTGTAATAATAATTGTAATAACAATAGTGATATTAATTATTTGAACAATAATTCAAGTAATGGTCGACTACTTAATAATGATCATCGGCTTATACATACTGGAGCTCGACATCTAAATGGACTTAAATATAAAAATGTTAAATATCATCAATTATTGCTAAATGAGACAATATTAAATAATAATATAAATGATACTGATATTTTATAACATTAAAAAATAAATTTTGTTACAATATAAATATTAAAATTAATTTACAAATTTATAATAAAATAMCACAAATTATGTTACAAAAAATATCTATAATTTTTTATTATTTGACAATCATATCACATATTCTAATATATTTTATGGTTTATACCAATTCAATATAATGGGCTTCTCATAAACCCAACCGACCACATGCTTTGCCATACACTTGTATTCACCACCTAAAGTGTTGGATGACATTCACACTATGAGTCTCAATGAGATTGCATCTGTATATTGGTAAAACCGGSCACATTATGATCCACTCTATCTATAATATATATATATATATATTTAATTATAGTGATAAAAAATCAATTAGTCACATATTTTTATATAAACAAAAAAATAAAATCTATTTTTACATACTTACAGGTTTGATCATCTAGATAATAGAAAATCGACTGTCCACATTGCTAACTGTTTTAGCCAGTTAGCCAGTTAGCCAGGTACATCAATTCAATGGGATTATGACTATCATATGCTTCATATACCGATAAAACACAACTATATCGTCGTTTGTTTTTGTGATAAGCATTCATATATTCAATTAAAAAATAGATTAAAAAAGTTATTATTATTATGATTATCTATCATTTAATACTAATATATTAATTTATTATTATATAAAAATGCATATATTATAGTATTTACCTTTTTCACTGAATATAAATATCTATAAATATAAATTATATGTTGCCATAAATATCACAACAATTACTATTACAAATAATTTTGTGTCGGTATTGTGATATTATTTTTTATTAATTTATATTTATTAAAACATTAATTTTTATATTATTTTTTTTGTTGTTGAAAATATTGACTATGATTTACTGTTTATATATGTAATTTATATTTAAAAATTTATCAAAATATATAGTCTTTTTTAATTGATAAAGTTTAATTAATTAATACTAATATTGTTGATAGTATTTTATTTATTAAAAATTAGGGCATTTTAGATAACAATATACAGTATTAACTTATTAGTTATTAACTTTTGTACTTTTAATAATAATAGATAAATCATCAATATCTAAAAACTTTAAAAATATATAAGTACATACAGTATATTTGAATTGATAAACATTGTATATCACGTTATACTTTATTTTACCGGTAAAATACTTGAATAATAATTGACTAATTTTTGATGTAAATACAAAAACTATTACTAAATATTTTAATCAGTAATAAATATTGAATTTTAATAAATTAAAGTAACAATGATAATTAATTGTAGTTTAAAAAGTTAAAAAGAAAATAGAAATTTTTTGAATGCAATTTAATTTTTTATTGAATTATTTATAAATTATTATAGTCATATTGAATAATACAAAAATTATTTTATTAATTAAAGATTTGAATATACTATTTTAATATAGTATATCGGTATATATACAGTATACATATAATATAAATATATAAGCATAATGTATACAGTATATATAATTAGATCTATCTTATGATTTATACCAATTCAATATAATTGGCTTCTCATAAACCCAACCGACCTCATGATGTGCCACACATTTGTATTCACCCTTAAAATGTTGGGTAGCATTGACTATACGAATCTTGAATGTATCTTTCCAATGATCTATCATTTCAATATCGGCAAAACCGGGCACATTATGGTTTACTCTATCTATAATGTGTTATAATTAGTTGAAATAAAAATAGTTAAAAAAATATAGGATCCATTCAATGGTCATACTTACAGGTTTGATCATCTAAATAATAGAAAAATTGACTGTCCACATTGCTAACTGTTTTAGCCAGGGTCATAAACACAATGGGATCGTCAATACCTTGTGCCTCATACTCACAATACACATATATATCGTCGCCATCAGTAAAGTTATGTTCAGTAGATTTGTTTTGATGATAAGCATTCATATACAATAAAACTAATATAAATAGTATATTAATTTACAGATTATTATTAAGTAAATATTATATATTGATATACATGAATATAGTAAAAATATTTAATTAAAATAATAGATTTGTATTATTATTATGAACAATTAAATAAGTCATTTTATATTAATTTTTAATTTATTGTTACCTTTAGAGCTGAATATCAATTGTGGTGCCATAAATATAACAACAATTACTATTGCAAATAATTTTATGTCCATATTGTAATATTATTTTCAATAAATTTATTTTATTAAAAAAATTAATTTTTGTCTAATCTTTGTTGTTGAAAATATTGACTATGATTTAGTGTTTATATAGGTAATTTTTATTTAAAAATTTATCAAAATATATAGCCGTTTAAATTGATAAAGTTTTATTAATTAATACTAATATTGTTGATAATATTTTATTTGTTAAAATTAGATCAATTTAGATAACAGTATACAATATTATAGTTATTAACTTTAGTACTTTTAATAACAATAGTCTAATTAATCAATATATAAATATAAAAACTGTATTTGAATTGATAAACATTGTATAACACAAGTTATATTATATTTATAATTACCGGTATTTATAATTTATTAATTATATACTTGAATAATAATTGACTATTTTTTGATGTAAATGTAAAAGCTATTACTAAATATTTTAATCAGTAATAATTATAAAATTATAACCATTATTGATCTATTAATTATAAATTTAAAATGTAAATTAATTTTCTATTTAAAAACTAAGAAATGCTAAATATATTGTTTTATAATATTTAATTTAATATACAGTTTTATAAAATACTTAGTTTTTAAATCAGAATTTTAAAGAGTAGAGTTAAAAATCTAATATTTTCACGAATTCCTGAAAGGAATCCGTATATGCATTCTATAAGTCGGTCTGTCGGTCTGTCGGTCTGTCGGTCTGTCGGTCTGTCGGTCTGTCGGTCTGTCGGTCTGTCGGTCTGTCGGTCTGTCGGTCTGTCGGTCTGTCGGTCTGTCGGTCTGTCGGTCTGTCGGTCTGTCGGTCTGTCGGTCTGTCGGTCTGTCGGTTGTCACTGTCGGTCTGTCGGTCTGTCGGTCTGTCGGTCTGTCGGTCTGTCGGTCTGTCGGTCTGTCGGTCTGTCGGTCTGTCGGTCTGTCGGTCTGTCGGTCTGTCGGTCTGTCGGTCTGTCGGTCTGTCATCTGTCGGTCTGTCGGTCTGTCGGTCTGTCGGTCTGTCAACTGTCGGTCTGTCGGTCTGTCGGTCTGTCGGTCTGTCGGTCTGTCAACTCTGTCGGTCTGTCGGTCTGTCGGTCTGTCGGGTCTGTCGGTCTGTCGGTCTGTCGGTCTGTCGGTCTGTCGGTCTGTCACTGTCGGTCTGTCGGTCTGTCCTGTCGGTCTGTCGGTCTGTCGGTCTGTCGGTCTGTCTGTCCCACGAGGACATAGGTTCGAATCCACTATCCGCTACAATTTTTTTTTTGATTTTTTTGTTTTTTTTCTTTTTTAAGTTTATTTTTTAGGAAATTGAAGAAAATGGTGTCCAACAATTAATAAAAAAAATTTTGAATTTTTTTTTGAATTTTTTTTTGAATTTTTTTTGAATTTTTTTTGAATTTTTTTGAATTTTTTTTGAATTTTTTTTGAATTTTTTTGATTTTTTTTTGTTTTTTTCGTTTTTAAGTTTATTTTTTAGGAAAATAGTAGTTTATTTTGTAATACTAAATCATTTGATACCTCACATGACTATAGTTGATTTATTTTATCATACTGAATTTAATTTTTAATTATGATTAGGAATTCGTGTGGAAATGCTTTCTAGCATTCTCAACTGGTTTTATATTTTATTATTTTGTTTTGATTTTAAATATTTATTATTATACAAAATACTGATATATTGTAGAAACATATTTTTTAATTTTATCTTATTTGATTTTTAATTAATACTGTAAAAAATCATATTAAACTGTAGCAAATTTATATAAAATTCTGTCTAATAAAATTAAAATAAATTAAAACACTTTTTTAATTAATTTGATTGTAATTTGATTACTGTAATTAATATTTTTTATATAAAAATTACTGACTAACAATTTTTTTTAATATGAAACCCATAGTTAATAATAAATAAATATTATATAATATGTATATTTGGCGCTAATAATGAAAATAGTTTTATAAGTTATGAGTTAATACATCGCGAGACCTAATAATTTGATTTATTTTTTTGAAATCTATTAATAAAATTAGTTATATGTTTGCCCCTATATTAGGCCTCATTATGACATTCATTAGGAGTTATTTTTGTAGTTTTGTTATATTATTATAAAAGTAAGACAAAGTATGTGTGCAGACATCGCCAAACAGGTGCCGAAAGTGCTGCTAAACAATGGTAAAGAAATGCCTATTATAGGATTGGGTACATGGCAGTGTCCACCCGATGAGTCACTGTATAAGGCCATACGTAAGGCCATTGACTGCGGCTATCGGCACTTTGACTGTGCACTGGTCTATGCTAACGAAGAAGAGACCGGTCGTGCCATTAACGATGCCATCAAAGAGGGAAAGGTATGGATAGTGTCTGAAACTGTTTTTATCATTTTATTTCTGTTGTTTTATTGATTCGATGAATAATTTTTTAGGTCAAACGCGAGGAACTGTTCATCACCTCAAAGATATGGCTTACGTTCTTCAACCGAAAACGAGTGACGGTATGTGTTCACAAAATTTTGGACAAATTTAAGACACCGTACTTGGATTTGGCACTTATTCATTGGCCGGTGTGTTTTGCACAGATAGACGACACACTGTTTCCAAAAGGACCGGACGGAAAGATATTGGGCGGTAATGTTGACTATATTGAGGCCTATCAGGGACTCGAAGATTGTCTGAAAGCTGGACTCGTTAGGAGTATTGGTATCTCAAACTTTACGTCCGCACAAGTGGACCGACTGTTGAAAGCCGTCAAAACAATTCCCGTCATTAATCAGGTAGACTAACCACATGTGTTCATAGATAACTGTATTTACAGTTTAATGTTAATTAAAGGTTGAATCGCATCCCTATTTGGCTCAACACAAATTGAAAAAGTTTTGTGAGGACCGCAAAATCAAACTGACGGCATACTCACCGTTAGGCAATCCCGGGTCAAATGAGGTCGGGGCCAAACAAATCCAATTGCTTAAAGATCCAGTTGTTTTAAAATTAGCCAAAAAGTATAATAAAAATGCCGGTCAGATAGTTATTAAGTATCAGGTATTTTATATCATTAATATCTAACTGACCCGTAATGCTATGACTATTAACGTAATAATAGACAGAACGTGGGGTAATAGTTGTGCCTAAAAGTGTTAATCCGAGCGTCTCGAGTCAAACATCAAGATATTTGACTTCAAACTGACAGCTGAAGACATGAAAGAGTTGGACGCATTGGACCGCAAACTTCGGACCAATTGGTTTAATTTGAGCAAACATTTACCAAACTATCCTTTTGCCGAAAACATTGATTTTTAAAAAAAAATTTATTTGTTTTAAATAATTGTTTTTATGTAAATTGTATTATAATATGATATTTTAAAATCCTATTTTCTTAAGTTAGTGATTATTAGTAACTTTGGATATATGTGACTAAAATTAGGGTTTTATTGAATGAAATATTTTTCTTAAAAACATTCAAATATGTGATTATATTTGCTTTAAAAAAGTTTTAAAAATATGTCATTATATTTAATAACAATTAATAATTGTGTGCTACAATTAATGATAAAATATTATTTCATATTTATTAAAACTTAAAACAATTATTTAACTTTTAAAATGTTATTATAAATGAAAATCAATAAAATAATGCTTTCTTCTAATATAATGCTATTGTCTTTCAGTAGACATTAGAAATTAACAAATAGTAATAATGTATAACTTTTGCCATAATTATCAGTTTTCAATCAAATGTTTATAAATTTAATTATTTTATTAAAATTTTTATTCATTAAAAATATAAGTTATATGTGAAATAATTGTTTTATAATGTTTATTATTATTATAATTAGACAAAATTATATTACATTTTATTGCTTATTAAATATATTTGACACGTATTCCAATAATTATTTTTAATTAAAGTCTGTATTCATTTTAAAAAACATTTTGTTGAATCGGAAAAAATCATTTATTAAATACATTTGTTATTATTTTTTATAAATAATATTAGTATTTAAAAAATTAATATTCTGAAACATATGCAGTAAATACGGTATTTAATTTACAGCTATTGAATACTGTAAACATAGAAATTAATTACTATTTTATAAAACTATTGATTGATATAATATTAATTTTTTTTATAACAAAGTCAGGTTAGACAATGGATTCAGATTTTCGCTACAATTACTATAATCTCGATTCAATCGACTCAGTTCATCATTGGTCCTCCAATTGGGATCAATTACCCGGTTTATCGTACATACCTGTAATCACTGAATTGGAAGACTACTTGTTTGATGTACTACCGGCACCAGTCATACTAAAATGGTTGCACCGAAATTTTTTCATCACATTCTACATATCAATCGGCTATCTCTTAACAATTTTACTGTTAAGCTATTGGATGTCTTACTGTGAAAAGTCATATAAATTGAGATCATTGTTAATCCTATGGAATATATTGAATGCAATTTTTTCAATTATTGCCACAATCAGAATGGTTCCCAATTTTGTCTATCAATACAAACATAAAGGACTGGTCGCCACTTATTGTCAATCAGACTACTATCGGGACTATCGTCTAGTCCTTTGGTACAGTTTGTTTTGTTTGTCAAAGATCCCGGAGCTATTGGATACCGTGTTTATTATATTGCGTCGGAGCAAACTAATTAAACTGCACTGGATACATCATTCACTTACCTTACTATACGCTTACTATTTATTTATGGATATACCGGGTACTGCCCAGTGGTCATTTGGATTAAATGTAATCGTCCACTCAGTTATGTATACCTATTATGCATTGATGATTATGAAACTTCCTCTACCTAGACAAGTGAGCATGCTAATTACAACAATGCAAATTATACAAATGATACTGGGTCTTATAATAAATATGCACGTATTATGGCGCAAACTAAACCAATCACAATGCGATTGTAGTATTCAACGTGTATTGGTATCGCTATTCATCTATACATTATTTTTAGCATTATTTTTGAATTACTTTTACAAAACGTACATTGTTAAAAAACGTAAAGTAAATTGATAATTTTTGTAAAAAATTGTTTTACAAAAAAACCAATAATTTCTATTTTATTTTTATTTTTTATTAAGTTATCAATCAATAAATTATCCGGCTTAAAATCACTTTGACGATAATCATAAATACAGTGTATATAAAGGTCAATATTACTGTTAATGTGCAAATCTTTAAATTAAGCTATATACTAATTAATTTTTAYAAATAACTAAATTTCAATAATTGACCATATTTATTTCAATTATTAATAAATTAATATATTGGTGCAATAATTGTATTGTAATAAATTATAAGTTAGTACATAATATTTATTGTACAACATTAAATAAATACATTTTAAATAAATAAAAATAATAAGTTGAATATTTAAACAAAATTATGTAATATATCTAAATACTATTTAATAATATTTTAATATAAATTATTAAATTAATTATTAAATTTTATTAGATATATTAGATAATTTTTTTAAATGCCACTGTGTAATTTTATCCAATCTCTATAGTTTGCAATATTAGTAAAAACAGCAGGATAGCCAGGTTTTCCACAATCAATATAACCCCATGAAGTTATGCCTACAATTGTGTTGTTAAATATTAATGGTGAACCCGAATCGTGCTTTTTTGAAAATAAATAAATAAAATAATCAAAAATAATTTTCTAAAAAAGTGTTAAACAAACTGAACACATGAATATCAAAGTACATACATCACATGTAATATGACCTCCATGTCCACCGGCGCATACATTTGCCTCACTTATTGTCCAATTAAAACCTATATCCTTTAGATAACCTTTCATGACATGCCAACACACATCCCGGTCCACAACAGGCATATCCAGTGTTTGCAATTTATCGGCTAACTTTCCATCAGTTCTGTTATAGGCAATAGTAAAACCCCAACCAATTGTTGTGGCATTAATACCAGTAGGTAAATCGTAGCCCTGTGCTGGCAGTACTATWTTGTCTATGTCTTTAGTGCCCAGATCAAATTTGCCATCAATTTGTAGTAAACCAATATCATTTTTTGGATCATCGAGTGTCCAATTTTCATAAGCAATTTTGTTGACTACATTATAATTGTGACCACCTTTAGTACGATCAACTGTACCGCAATGTAGTGTAAAATTATCGTTATCTTTAAAACTATTAATGTAAACAACAAAAATTAATTAATTAAATTATACAAAAAAATGTTTATATTAATTATAAATTACAATTTAATACAATGTGCAGCTGTCACTGCCCACTGTTTCCCAATTATTGATGCCTCACATTGATGTGTATCGTTATTAACTCTCWTGGAGCACATGTATGGATTATCTCCKGRCCGGGCATCGTGTCCGCCAATTATAGCAACTGTTGTATTTTGCACAGTGTTATAGAMACACGAAAGTAAAATAACAACAAATAATTTGCAAAAATCAKTTTTAATTAGATTAATATTCATTTTCACTAAAAATAWTWATAAATTATTATTTTTTAGTTTGTATTATTTATATTATTGATTAATATATAWAAACACAATGTGTTATTTATAATAAAAWAAACTTTATTTATTTGACGTGAAAGTTAAGTATTGTTATCTAAATTTCCATATAAAGGCATTTTTTAATATAAATTATTGTTGACTATTATTATATAAACTTAATCAATATTTTATATTATTAATTATATATATTGATATATTATAAATATATCGATTTTCAATATTATTGAGTATTATTTAGAAATATATCAAAATATAAAGTAAAATGTTTAAATTATTGTTGAATTATAAATTAAATTAACACATTAGCTTAAGTGTAAAACAAATTAACCTTTTTAAAGTTATATTATTGTATAGTAATATTTTTAATTTTAGAAAATGTTATTTTGACATACTATTAGMCATTTAAAATATTTAGTATTTATTAGAAATTAAATAAAAATTTATACAGGTACTCTATATATATATTTTTATATGAAATGTTTAGTTTATTAGATAATATCTAATTTTTAGGCATTACTATCTATTCACATATTAAAAGTTATTTGTGACTATTAAATCAAAATATAAAATTTTGTATATCTACTGTACATTGTATAAGTAGTGTAATACTTTACTATTATATAATGTTAGTTCTACTTTACTATACAGTATTGGCATAAATTGACCAAAATTCGCCCAATTATAGCACATGCATAGACTTGAAAAAAATATAAAATAATAGATAAATTTCATGAAAGTTTCTGAAATTAATTTCTGTTAATGGGATCCTCATGTTATATAAGTATGTTTACTCGATATTTGTTATTTTGTGACAATAAATGATTATTACAAATAATAACAAAATATTGTTATTTTAATTAATATTCAAAGTAAAAAATTAAATCTATTTAATTATATTAAACAAAAAATATAATCTAAGAATTAATAAAAATTTTACAAATTCATAACTTATTGGTGAGAAAGTAGCAGGCGCGGTTAAGGAAATTTTTGAAATTAATATTTTAATTGATATATTTTAATATATAATACAATTTTACACATATATATTAAATTTTAGATCAATCGGATCAATATTTTTATAGTTATTAAATAAAATAATTTTTGATTATAATGGGAGGTATACAAGAAAAATCAAACTTTGAACCCCCAAAAAACACCCGTCCCTGGGATCAATTGTCATGAAATTTTGTTGGTGACATTATAATTATCAATAGATGTTTTTAGGAAAGTATGGATCTGCTCCGCAAACATAATCTTAAAATTATCAATAATTAAATTATATATATTGAGCCGGTCGGGGAGTTTAAAATTTATAAAAATTATCTAACATCACATGACAAATTAAATGACACAAAAATTAGTTTAAAATATGTAACTTAACTGCACTATATCAATAATAATTACCAAAACATAAATTATTGATTTTATTAATTATTTTTTTGATAAAAATGATTTTTAATAATTTAATGTGGCTCAACTTTGTACAATTAAAAACTAATTTAAAAATTATTAATATATAAGTATAATAATTTTTAAAAATATAACATTAAATTATTAAAAATCATTTTTATCAAAAAAATAATTAATAAAATTAATAATTTATATTTTGGTAATTATTATTGATATAGTGCAGTTAAATCACATATTTTAAACTAATTTTTGTATCATTTAATTTGTCATATGATGTTAGATAATTTTTATAAATTTTAAACTCCCCGACCGGCTCAATATATATAATTTAATTATTGATAATTTTAAGATTATGTTTGCGGAGCAGATCCATACTTTCCTAAAAACATCTATTGATAATTATAATGTCACCAACAAAATTTCATGACAATTGATCCCAGGGACGGGTGTTTTTTGGGGGTTCAAAGTTTGATTTTTCTTGTATACCTCCCATTATAATCAAAAATTATTTTATTTAATAACTATAAAAATATTGATCCGATTGATCTAAAATTTAATATATATGTGTAAAATTGTATTATATATTAAAATATATCAATTAAAATATTAATTTCAAAAATTTCCTTAACCGCGCCTGCTACTTTACTAGAAATTTTCTGATGGAAATTTATTAAAAATTTCTATTTGCCCATCTCGACACATGCATCACATAAAGTAAAAAATTCAAACATAAATATTTTGAAACTCAAATAAATAGTATTTAGTCTAATGTCTGCAGGAATTGATTAATTTGATTGGTTTTATATATAAGTGTTGTCTACTTTACTATCCCTTAATCGGCTGTACTTTCTGATGAGTCCTCCTAAGTAACAATTGAGGATTAAATAGCGCTATCAATGTATTAGTTGGGCCGCAATTTGTGGCCAAATGTAAGAAAAATTTGCCGATTAGACAACAAATACATCGAGAAAATTTATATCTAAAAAAATCACATATTATTACTTAGTATTAATTAAAGTCAATTGTACTTTAAAATTATTTTATCAAATATTTTATTGTTTATACATAATGTTGTTTATAGTTACTGTAATATATTGAAATACTATATTGTATGATAATAAATTATAACAAAGGTTAATCGGTTAAAAATTAAATGTTACAGTTATATACCTATAGTGTTATTAGATATTGTTTATTATTAGGTTATCCATTTAAAGGCGCTAAAAATAGTTTAAAGTCATTATAAAAGTTAGTAAAATATTGACAAATACTTAAAAGTTATTTATATTCAAACAATTCTTAGTAATAAATTTTTTAGATATTTTCATTATAATGCATACTTTTATTTTTTGATCTAATATTTTATCAAATTATATTTTTTAAAATTTAAATTTATAATAATTTATAATATAAAAAACTACATTTATTKTCAGCAACTTTAAKAAAAAAATATTTGTTTTATGACAAATCATATAAAGGTTAAATGTTTTTGTTGTCACTATTTATTTAAATTATGATTTATTTCTCTTCATTTTTACATAATTGCTTTACTAATAATATAATTTTTTTCATTTTATCACTAAAACTGTGTTGAATTAAAATGATTTAAGTTAATAACAACTTAAAAAGTTATTTATAGGTGATATAAAATTTTGTATAATCTTTTATTTTTATATGAGCTAATTCTCTAATATCGGTAAAATTAGTTAAATAACTTCAAATGGATACCCTATTTATTATTATATTACAAGTTATTGGTTGTGCACTAATATATAAGATAAGATAATTATAAAATTTATACATGTATATTTTAAACTAATTTTATCTCTATGTTTACTATACATAATTGGCATATAATGTGCGAATTATGTTTTAAAAATACATTGTCTTATATAAAATATGACAATCTTATTAAAATTAATTTATTCAATTATTATCAATTAAATTCATTTTTAATACATATAACAGTCCTCAAGTGATTTTTAAAAAAATAACATTTAATTAATTTGATTAAATTTCTATATAAATAAATGTACTTAAAAGAAAATATTATGAATATTAAACATAATTAATATATTGATAGTTCTTTAAAAAAAATAATTATAAATTTATTTTAAMAAATATGTCAATTGGTATACCATTACTTGTGTTTTTGGTAATTGTCGGACAATCCATGAGTGGCAGAGGTATATACTATATATATATATACTGTATTMTATAAATAATTTTATTTTAAGTTAATTTTTATCTCAAAAAATATACTAATTTTATACCCTTTAAATAATTGAAACAAAAATTTCATAGTTGAGCTACAAATAAAAGGCATACATAACGGCAGATCAACTGGTCATAGGTTTCGTGACAATGACTTTATAGATATAATAGTTGAGTATAACCGAACTGAGCCGGGTCATCAATTCTATTATCTGGCAGTTTATAAAGAAAACGACTATTTCTATCGTAGATTCAAAGATGGTGGATGTATGTGTCTCTCATATTATTATTATTATTATTATTATTTTATCTTAATTAAAATAATTGCAAATTAATTAATTATTTATTAATGATGAACTTAATGTGACATTTAACAGATCAAATCTATTGGGAACATGGATTACGAGGTGCTCATCCAATGGAAACAGGAGACACATTGGTTCACATACAGGTGCCCAATGCTACTAAAGAGGCAGCCGGTAAATATTGGGCTGCAATCAATTATTTAGAGTCAGGTTATCAAATTAAAACCCGACCCATTAAACTAGTTCATTATGGTTGATGTTTAATATAAAGTCACTTTCATAACCCCTTTAACTGGTTTTTTATTAATAACTCAAAAACAAATTTAGATATTTAAACCAAAATTTTATGAGAAACATGGATTTCTGGAACGTACAGTTTGATACTATAAATTTTAATAATTAATTGCACAGGTAGGCTAGCTCAGGGAGGTGTGATATCTCAAAAACTATAAAAGATATACAAAAATTATAAAATGAATAATATACTAGATCAAAAATAAATTTAGACGTGTTTCAGGATTTTTTGATAAAACTCATGGTTTATTCATAAATTACGTTTAAACATAAAATTGTGCAATATTCAAAATTGAATATTTCAATATTGTATTAATATAATAATATGTAATTAATCACAAAATATTCTATAATTAATAAATTATTTAAAATAAAAATATCAATTTTTTATATTATAAAATTTTTAGTAAAAAATAAAAAACAAATATTAGAAATAAATTTCAATGTAAATAAGATAACATTTAATTAATTTGATGAAATTTATATCTGGTATGACCACTGGTATTAGCAATTATTTGTTGCATTCATTTGGCATAGAATTAATACCAGATATTAATTTCATTAAATTAGTTAAATATAATCTTATTTACATTGAAATTTATTTCTAATATTTGTTTTTTATTTTTTACTAAAAATTTTATAATATAAAAAATTGATATTTTTATTTTAAATAATTAATTAATTATAGAATATTTTGTGATTAATTACATATTATTATATTAATACAATATTGAAATATTCAATTTTGAATATTGCACAATTTTATGTTTAAACGTAATTTATGAATAAACCATGAGTTTTATCAAAAAATCCTGAAACACGTCTAAATTTATTTTTGATCTAGTATATTATTCATTTTATAATTTTTGTATATCTTTTATAGTTTTTGAGATATCACACCTCCCTGAGCTAGCCTACCTGTGCAATTAATTATTAAAATTTATAGTATCAAACTGTACGTTCCAGAAATCCATGTTTCTCAAAAAATTTTGGTTTAAATATCTAAATTAGTTTTTGAGTTATTAATAAAAAACCAGTTAAAGGGGTTATGAAAGTGACTTTATATTAAATATATTATACATTTATAATAAACTACTTTAAGCATTAAATAAAAATTATTTTTAAAAATAAAATTTATATTCATTTATTGTCATTCATATAATTCAATTTGTTCAACAACAATTAAATACTATTTTAATTATAAAATATATTTAATTATAAGTTTTCAAAAATAAATTAATTAGGACTAAGTTATAAAATAGTAATAATGATAAAGGTGTGCTATATTAATGTATTTCATAAGCTTTGATTAATAATTATTATAAAATTAAGTAAGTATTAAGTAATACATTTGTAAATTATAAAAATTTATTAATATTTTAAATAATAACTTTTTATAAAATATAAATAATAAAAATAATTTTAGATTTTATTCAGCATAACGTATGCTACTATTTTATTTAATAAATTTTAGAAAACTTAATAATAATAATACTGTATCTTATAAAAGTTATATATAATATATAATATATAATATTTGAAAATAATAAAATACATATATACTGAAATATTTATTAACTTTATAATTTGGATATAATTAATTAATTATTTTAAAATAATAAATTACTGTATATTATATTATAATGATATAAATACAGTTTACTGTATAAACAGTGGTTAATCGGAGCATCTCTGAGCACAGACACCCTTAACACATCCCCATACACACCATCTGCCAACATAGTTGGTCTGACCATCATTTTGATGAGCTGACTGTCCATTATAACAGGTCGTACCGTTGAATAGCGATAGAAATTGTTGTTCAGTGATCTCTTGTTTCGGCAAAACAGATGTCCATACGGTTGACACCAATAGCACTGTCATTACAACAATAACTGATACCTTGTTTACGGCCATTGCTTTAAAAATTAAATTTTAACTAAAAACTTAAATTAACAAATTAATTATATTTTAGAAAATATTTTTTTGGTTTAAGTAATTTAACAATTAGTTTATATAGTAATTTAGTGGTAAACATTGAACAAAGATCCCGGATTAATTATGTTTTTAAATAAATATTAACTACTTATTAATTGAAATAAAATACACAACAAATGTAACATTAACGCGACAAAGCAATACTATAATATAAAAAATACATTATTATTTAAATATTGCTAACAAATAAAAATTTAGATTATTTATAATAAATATTGCAATAATTAAATAAATATGAAATATAGTTTATGACATCAGTATTTTATCTTAATAATAATATAATTAGTTCATTAACCTAACTAATGTTTCATAACTGTATATTGTCATAATTTCTGATAAAATAATATCACTTTTATGATGATTTTAATTTTTAGTATAATTTTTATTAAAAATATGTAATTTTGATATACTGTATTATCATAATTTAAATAAAAATAAATAAATAATTGTCAAAATAATGCATTATTGCAAATATCAAAAATAATATTTCATAGTATTTACAACTTTTATTATTCAATGTAATTCTAAAAACTGTATTTTTATTACATTTGCCAAAATCAAACAAAAATTATTATAGTATCCTGGTACTTTGATCAGTGTATTTCTACAATATTTAGTATATAAAGCATTTTACAATAAAATTGATTTTATTAAACATTTTTATACAGACTATTATTACTTAAACACATAAACTGTATTAATAACTAATGGCTCTAATGATGAAAACTATTATTGTTGTAATGGCTGTGCTATTGGTGTCGACCGTAATGAGCAATAATTTGCCGCCGTTTAAACAGGAGCTCAATGAACAACAATTCCTATCGTTTATTAATGGGACGACATGTTATAATGGACAGKCAGCTCATCAAAATGATGGTCAGACCAACTATGTTGGCAGATGGTGTGTATGGGGATGTGTTAAGGGTGTCTGTGCTCAGAGATGCTCCGATTAATCACTGTTTATACAGTAAACTGTATTTATATCATCATAATATAATATGCAGTAATTTATTATTTTTAAATAATTAATTAATTATATCCAAATTATAAAGTTAATAATTATTACAGCTAATAATATGAATAAATTATTATAATTAGTTTTTAAAATGTTTATTATATTTCATAATACTTATAACTGATTTATTGTTATTGTAAATTAAATTGTAATAATGCAGTTATATTAAAAATAAAAATATCGTTATTACAATACTAAAAATAAAATTTTAATAAATTAATAATTTAATATTTCGTTTAATAAAATTAATTTGTTTACTTAATTGTTAAATTTGATTTATGATGCAAACATCTGCTATGTTTATATTAAAATTGTTATTTATTAAAATGATTTGACAAAATCTTTAATAATACAGATTAATACAATAGTATTATTGTTATTGTTATTTATTATTATTATAAATCATAGAATATGTTTAATGCATTTTTATTTTTATATGATTAATCTAAAAATGTTTTATAATAAATATTATTAATTATTATATCAATTATTAATGTTTTAGTATAATTTACGCAACAAATATTTTTGATATACAGTTATTAATAATATCATTATATAATAGATTTATAATACAGTATATTAATTTAGATTTAGATGATAGACAATATAGATGATTAATAGTACAATATTAAAGTAACGGTAATTGTTTTATGTTATATAGAAAAATAAAAATATATAATTTATTGTATAAAAAATATATATATATATACACTAAATATCTATTAAACAATATGATTGTACACCAGTATTGTGAAAAATAATTATTTTTATAATTTTGTTATTATTTTTCAATATGCTCTAAATATAATATCACTTTCTTATTCAATATCTGTAATAATAATAAATTAAAAAATATGCTAAAACTTGAGATTCATGAGCTAAAAGTGTTTGACTCACTGGACAGTCCTATTGACAAATACCAATGCAGTTCCAGTGATGTCACACCAAAAGTGGAAAATTATCTGAAAAAAGTTGATTTTAATCATCAAAAACGGCCAACACTTCTACAGTTACATCAAAATTCTGTTAAATCCAATAATGTAATAAATTATTAAATATAATAATTAAATATAATTTATTATTATTTTTTAATGCTGTTTAAAAGATTGATGACACGAAAAGTTTGAAAAATACTGGTCTTAAAAGTAAAAATTTTATTCACATAAATGACACTGATAAATTTGGATACTTTACAATGGTCTATGTAAGATAATTTGTTATTTTATTTTTGTTGTTGTCAAATATTATTTATAATAATGTTGTTGTTATATAACTTATTAACAAAAATTTATTTTATATTAAATCAATTGCTAAACTAAAAGATACCAACATTTATGAACTTATTGGGTGGTACTCTCTACTTACGGATGGGCATAATGGCCGGACAGGCGGGCATAAGTTAGTTTGATTTTAATTTATATATAAAATATTTTATTAATTTTAATAATTGATAGTTTTGTTTTTTATAACTTAAAAATAAAGTTTTAAGTATAGTACAAATACTAATGGGTACAGTTATATTAGTTGGTACAGTACTATCACTTTCAGCCCTTTGTACTAATGGACAGATAGGTTGCGGTGGTTTCTATTACTTGATTTCCCGAAATTTGGGACCAGAAATCGGGGCCGTATTTGGAATCATCTATTTTATAACAAATGTAGTACTAGTTTCACAAAGTTTAAGTGGTATTTGTACTGAAATTCAATATATTTTTCAGGTGTAGTTATACTAAATTTAATAATAATATATAAAATTAAAAACATATTCATAATTTTATATAATTTTTAGGCATTTGATACTGGATTAGCTGAATACCCATCAGGTATTAATGATATGAGGATCGTTGGATTAATATGTTTAGCAATTACTGCTATCATACCGTTTATTAGTCTGGAATTGGAGGCAAAAGTAAGCTATTATTTTAATATATAAAATAAACTAWATTTATATCATATATCATATGAAAAATTTGAAAAATATGTGCAACTCATAATAATAATATCATAATTATTTTATATATTATTAGACTCAATGGATTTTATTTATAATAACTGTTCTCTCGCTTTTGGACTTCTTTGTGGGCACATTCCTACCGACCACTCCTTATCAAAAAGTTAACGGTTTTATCGGATTTAATGCCAAAATAAGTTTTACTAATCTATTGCCGCAATGGAATGGTTACCACTTTTTAAGTATATTTGGTATATATATGTCTGCACTTTGCGGTGATTTCACAGGAGTCACAATGTCGTCGAGTCTTAAAAATCGTAATTATATTACTTTATTAAATAATTTGTATTTTTTTCRTTATCTAAATGCATATTAAACTCTATAGCTAAGGTGGCCATACCTAAGGGTTCACTATTAGCAGTGTTTTCCGCACAGTTTATATATATTATTCAAATCATATTGTTTGCCTGCGCTGGCAATCGATACGCAACTGGAAAACTATCTGACTATCCATACGGTAACTACACGTGCGATATACAACAGAACTGTGAAAGTGGTATCAGTAAAAATCAGTTTATGATGTCTATAATGTCTGCACTGACTTTAGTGGACAATAAGCTACACAATATTGAGCCTATATATGTAGCCGGACTGTTAGCACAGGGAATGTCATCATCCCTGTGCTCTTTTATAACAGCACCCAGAATATTACAGGTAATTGTAGTTAAACAAAAATAAAGTCTTATTTATGATTTATGTAATTATAGTCATTAGGATTTGATAATCTATTGCCTGGTATTGGCTGGTTCTCTAAGCCTTACGGCCCACACGCCGATCCCCGTCGAGGATATGGTCTAACATTTTTGATGACACTTATATTTATAGCTATTTCCAATTATGATATTTTAAGTACAATCGCCACTATCTGTTACCTACTGTCGTGGGCTCTCATAAATCTATGTTGTTTTCATTGTGATTACGTGCGGACAGTCAATTGGCGGCCGTCCTTCAAATACTATAACAAATGGTTCAGTTTGTTTACATCTATTTTTTGTACGGCACTTATGTTTGCCATTTCCTGGTATATTACTTTAGTCATAATKGGCTTCTGTTGTATTTGTTTTGGTGTTGTACTCTATTATAGAAAAGGTATGTTTCATTTTTTTTTAATTTATACAATTAAAATTTTATTTTTATTTTTTTGAATTAAGAGGTCAATTGGGGACAAACATCAAATGCACAGTTATTTAAAACAGTTGTTCAATTAGCGCATCGATTGAATAATATTAGTGATAATGTAAAAAATTATAAGCCATCCATATTATTATTATCAAGTTTATCAAAAAAACATATGAATCTCATAACAATTGCTAATCATATTACTCGACACAATGGTATGTTAATTGTTGGAAATATAATGAGAACCGATAGCTTATATGAAGATCAACTAAAATTGAATCAATTGTGGACTAATTGTTTTAAATGTAATAATATTAAATGTTTTTATAAATTAATTAAGGCTCATAACTTTAGCATCGGTTCAGATATGCTAATACAGGTATGAATAACATTAATAATTATTAACTAAATGAAATAATATCTTTAATTTTATATTTAAACTTTTAGTGCTGTGGTATCGGTAATACATTAAGTCCTAATATAGTAATGATTGGGTTCAGAGATTTGTGGCAACAGTTATCCAKTGATGAGATTGAAGACTATTTTAATATTATTCAGTAAATAAAAAAATTATTTCTATTTTTCATATAAATTAATAAATATTTATATAAAATCTTTAATTTCAGTAATACATTTGAATTGAATAAATCATTAATTATTTATCGTAACTGTGAAAGTAATAAATTAATAGTCAATAATAATCATAATAAAAGTAACTTTAATAATAAAGTAAACGATAATAATTGTGTTAATAATATAAATATAGTCAAAGGCATGAAAATTGACAAAATTATAAACTCGCAAACTCTAAGCAAATGCACAGTTAGATTATTTGATAGCTTTAACTACAAGACAACTATCAAAAGTAATCAAACCTTACCTCTTATTGACGTCTATTGGCTCTATGATGACGGAGGACTCACATTACTTGTGTCATACATACTGTCCCAAAGAAAAAAGTGGAAACATTGTAAACTAAGAGTGTTTGTTGTGGTCGACAAACAATCGGATAACTATGAGTTAAATAATAAAAGGTATTCATTAAATTAAATTTTTTAAATTAATTTTTAGTAACGAAAATATAAAACTTAAAAAGCATTAATTCAAACATTTGATATTATCTATACATAGTTTGGTTAAATTAATTAAATTGTTTAGAATAGATTGTCATGAGATTACTGTCCTTAAGTTAGATAACAACAAAACAATGAGGTATAAAGTTATTAATTTTGATTATAATGTTAATAATAATAATAAAATAATAATAATAATAATAATTACAGTCCAGATGATTGGTTGCAATTGACTAATAGTCAACATATATTAACAATAAGTAATTTAAATACTAGACATAAGATATTGGAAAGTCTGGCCAAACATAAAACACAGGTATACCGTACTTATTGTTAATTATATATTATTTATTTTTACTAAAAATTGATTTTCAATGTTAGACAATCAAATATCTACAATTAAGAGATCTATTTGTTGAAAATTCACAAAATTCAACATTGATTGTTATGTTAGTTTAGTTAATTAATTATTATAATAATAAAAAATACTGTAAATTATACAATAACTATTAATATATAATATATTCAAAATTTAGGACTTTAGAGATCCCTAAAAAGGATTGTCTAAATGCTTATGTATTCATGTATTGGTTGGATATGTTGTCCACAGAAATGCCAGATATTTTGTTCATTCGCGGCAATCAAACAAATGTTTTAACATTTCTTACCGATTAATATTGTTATTTATACGGTATATATTGATAATATAAACATCCAGTATATATATATATTTCATTCAAATAGTTATTTGTAAGTTTTTATATTTACTAACTCATCAAATAATAATTTTATAATAATATTTCGGGAAAAGCGGCCACTGGTTATGTTCGGTGGACATACTGTACTAAGTATAAGATATAAACGTTAAACCGACAAAATAGTTATTTTAGTTATAAATCAAGACATTACTAATAAGAGATAAGTTACTTCTCAAAACATATAATATGTATTTCAATTTAAGTATTGAATAAAATAGAAAAATTAAAAGTAATTATTATTGGATTAAATATTCTAATATATATTATATATCACAAGTAATTCAAAAATAACATAATTTTTAACAAATTGAATACAAAAAAAAATTAATTAAAACAAATCAAACAGTTGTTTATCAGACATATTTAATCGCATTTACATTTCAATCTTAAAAATCCGGAACAATGACCACCAGTTTTACCATTACGACAGCATTTTCTACGACAGGCACTCTTATCAGGACATCTGATGCCCAAAAACGAACCGTCCAAACCACACGACGAATCGGTCCATGAATTAGTACACAAACAATTGGACGACAGATACAACTTAACGGGCAATAAATTAATACTAACGCCTCCGACGTCGCTGTCGAGACCCAAATGTCTGTTACAAAATCCGGTCACAAATCCACGCGAACAGCAATAACGGTCACAATTAACCATTTCTGCATCAGTCGATCGACCGATTTTTGTAAAACATTTGACCGGTTCTGACCAGTGGCCACACACGTTGTTAATCAATGTTTTGTTGACCTTCTGGTACGCAGATAAGGCATGAAATTTTAGCCAACGTTCCTTATTTTCTTCACCCATCTATTAACAACAATAATTTAGTATTAATAATAAGGTTATTAATAATATTTCTCTATTATATACTGTATTTTCAAATAATTATAATCTGTAAATATTTGTTCAATAATAATGATATTTATTATTTAACATTATTATATAATTAATAATACCCGAGTTGTGGGTCCGGAAAAATCAGCAGAAATGAAACCTATAGAAAATTTCAATTTCAYATAACATATCATTATACCAGTATTATCAAATTAAATAATAAATACTATACCTATATAGAGAATGCATAGATAAATGACTAACAATTTCATTGTTAAAATGTATGTAATGTTTTACACATAAATTTTAAATAAATTTAATTTTAACGAAAATTATTACTGTTAAACAAACCAATATATAGTGTAAGATAACATTAATTTATTTACATAAAATTACAAACAATTATATATTAAACTTATATATCATATGATATATTAGACTAGATAATTTTTTTTGTTAAATTATTCAAGTTTTTATAAATAAATTTAAATAATTTTATGTAATGTTTGTGTTTTATTATCTTATAAATACCTATACAGCAGTAATCGGATAATTGATTTATATAATAAATTATTGATGTTTAGATTATTAATGAATACATGTTATTATTAATAATAAAAATTATTTTTGAATATTTAAATATTTCATCATTAATAAAAGTTGTTAATGTCTAAAAAAATTGTTATTCAATTAATTTATAAAATAACAGTATTTATCAAATAGTATTATTAGTACAATAAAATTTTAATATGCATATTAAATTTATTTATCAATTAAAAAATAATTTGTCTATTATATTATAAATTTACATGAAATAATAATTATTATTTTATCGTTATATTATGATTTTTTTGATAACTTTTAATTTATAAATAATATTTAAACTTATAGTTTACAAATTGACAAAAAATTTATGATTTAATTAGCAATAAATACTTTAATTTATACTATTATGAATAGGCCTGCCAACCGTCCGGTTTTTAACCGAAATGTCCGGTTTTAAGATTATCAAAATGATGTCCGGTTAGTCTACAAAACCGGACATTGAAATGCCCGGTTTTAATCTTTTCAAAAATATTTATTATAATTAAGTAACTTTAAACTAAAATTATTTTTATTTAGTTTTTAGTAAGAGTACAATTTATATTCATATTTTGTAGACATAATAGTAAATAAAATGTTAAAATATTCAACAAAAATTTTTAATGTGATTCAAAACGTTGTTTTAAAAATACAGTATAAACATTAGATTTGTGTTTACTTTGTGACAAAAACAATGGCATCAAAATCTAATTCACCCGAACGTAAAAAAACTAAGAGATGGACTAAGTTTAAAGACAATTGGTTATTAAATGATGATTTCAAAGAGTGGTTAGATAAAGGAAAAGATGAATTCAGTGCTAAGTGTAAGATATCTCCAATATTTATCACAATCAAACACGACGGTATCAACGCATTAAAGGCACACAAAAACACCGGAAAACATAAATCTAATGAAATATCTTTGAAAATGAGTGCAACAATGTCTGCATTTGTAACAAAAAAGTCGTCTAAAGACAGAAGATGTGGCTATAAGTGAACTTTGTTTGACATATCATTGTGTAAGACATCATTTAAGTTATGTTTCAATGGATTGTAACAACAAATTACTCAGAGTTATTTTGTGATTCAAAAATAAGTCAAACATTACAATGTGGTCGTACAAAAATGGAAAGTATTGCCAAAAAAATACTATATCCATTATAAATAGAAAAACATTTATTATCATTAAAATCAAAAATAAATTCAATTTCTAGTGACGCCTCTAATAAAGGCAATGTAAAGTTATATCCAATAGGTATACAGTACTTTGATCAGAAAATTGGAATTATTAAATGTGTCAGATTTTTATGAAGATCCAGATGAAACATCTGATGCCATATTCTGCAAAATTAAAAATTGTTTGCTAGAGAAAAATTTGGATATTAATAACATCATTGCATATTCTGGTGATAATGCGAGTGTCAACTACGGTAAACATCACTCAGTATATGAAAGTTTAAAAAATTTAAACCAATTTATTATTAAAGCAAATTGTAATAATCATGTTTTACATAATACAGTAAAGTATTCAATGATAAAATTACGTATTGATGTGGAAAATCTTGTATTAAAGATATATTCACATTTCTCCACATCTGCAAAACGAGTTAAATCACTTAAAACTTGTTATGACTTTTGTGATATAATTTTGAACAAATGAGACGTCATGTACCAACTCGTTGGCTAAGTTTGCTACCAGCAATAGACCGATTGATTGATAATATATTACCATTAAAAAACTATTTTGTTGCAATAGGTACTGATAATTGTCCTCAAGTTATTAGTGATTTTGTTTGGTGTGACATTTATTGTGATATAACAATACCTGAACTTTATTTGCATTTTACGTCACATTTTATGTCTATTTTCCAAAATTCAATTATGTTATTAGAAAAAGACTCAACAAATGCTACAAATTTATACGATATAATGATAACATTAAAAACTCAATTAAGCAATCGAATGGATATGAAATTTTTTGGATCAATTGTTAATCAAAATTTAAACAAATTGAATGAAAATGAAATAAATATTTTTAATAATAATGCAATTGATGTATATAAGCGATCATTAAATTATTTAGAATCACATTTTGATTTTAATAATTCTTCTTATAAACTTTTTAAGTTACTAAATCTTAATAATAATTTGATTTACGAGAATTTAATTGATATAACAAATCTGTTAGATATTGAAATTAATAGAGATCACTTATTTGATGAAACAAATTTATTTAATAATTATTTAAATAATGATACCTTAAATTCATTTACATCAATAGAAAAATATTGTAAAATTTTAACTAATAATAATATGGTTAATTTAACAAAAATTATCGAAACCGTAATGGCGATACCAGTTGGAAACGATTTTGTAGAACGTGTATTCAGTCACCTCTCTCGTATTTGGACAGTTGATAGAAATTGCATGACAATTGAATTAATTAAATCGGAAATATGTATAAAAAACAATTTTGAATTTGATTGTATATCATTTAAAACATATGTTAAAAATAATCAAAAATTGCTAAACTCTGTAAAAAGCCAATCAAAATATGATTTTAAATAAAATTTGTCCGGTTTTTTTCCGGTTTTAAAAAATAATTTTCCGGTTTTTGGTAAATAGGGGTTGGCAGGCCTAATTATGAATATTATTTATATATTTTATTTATAAATTTAGATATTGTTATGCCAATAATTGTGATACTAATAGTTAATAATGTAAATATTATGCTATACACACACTCACATGCATTTTTAAAATATATATATTAAGATATTAATTATTTACTAATTATAAATTTATTGCTTATAATTAAGCAAAATTTATTTGCTATTAAATATTAATCAATCTAATTGAATATTTAAAAGCAATATTATAAATTTGTTCAAATAAAAAAATAATAAAACAATTTATCAATAAAATAGCAAAATAATAAAATACTGTTTCCATATCATAAATAACGAGATCGTTATAATCTTTTTTCTTTATAAAAAAATCAGACACTTGTTTATCCGGTAATAAAATAAAGTTGTTTAACATATTGATAATCATTTCCAGATAGTAATTGCCCTTGATCAATCTATCACGTTGTATTATATAAGTGTCAAACATACGTCTAGATCTATATAGAAATATTATTATTATTATTTTATAAATTATAAAATCAATTGCTAATATATATATAATATTAAATAATTTACATTTTGTAAGTTTCATTACTATAGTTAAATCCAGGTCCATAGCACATGGATGATATAAGTGCTAATACATATGGTTCTCCTAATGCAAATACTCCCAATCGTGGTATAAATGGTACTAGTACATCTATCCAATCCATATCCTGGATAAATACTAAACTTTGTAGGAATTTTAATCTAATAGACTCAGGCTCATTTAACATTTCAATAAGTTTTCCATAAATTTCATTTCCCATTACTATAGTTTTATTATTCATTAATTTRTCAAATTTATCGCGAAATCCGTAAGTATTATCAAATTTTTCATAGAAAAACTTTTCTTTCCAAACATAATATTTAAAGTAATCCGTATAAACTGTAATTTTTTCATCTAAAAGGTCGTCAATGTTTTTGACATGGGTCACATTTCTATATAAATTATAATAAATAATTAGTAAATGATTAGTATTTAATTATTTAATAAATCAAATTTTTCTAACAAAACTTACTTATTAATCATATTTGTCAACTGATCGTTTCGTATAATTTCAACAATGGGTACCATAAGTGTTAACCATAGCAAGTAAAGCCAATTATAATTACCCAAATCATCGCCCAATTCAATCAATGGTTTAATATAAATCCAAATCCATTTAAACAATGATTTGATTGTGAATTCATTTTTATACATTTCAATCAATATAAGTACGATAAATGATATGAGTATTGCGTACCAAACATCAACTGATAGTGCTTTCCAAATGTCTAAAATTGGTGGCAATTCTTTATCAACTTTCCAGCTCAGGTAGTTTACATAATTGGTCATATAGATAGGTGATACACATTTGAATTGACTGTCCCTGTATTTCCACATGGTCCAATTGTAATCGTGTGGCGTACGATCCACACTAGTTATGATACCATCTTTTACTAATCCGTTTTCATATTCATGATTACAAGTATCAACATAAAGATGAAGTCTATAATGTTTGGGAAAAAACATTTTTTTTATATAAATATAATTATTTTAAAAACAATATTACTATTAATAAATTTATTTTCAAACAAAAAACATATATTATTATACGTATGATTAGTTTGTTTGCCTAATTGCAATAATATCGGTGCTATAACAGAGTTAAAGTATCCAGCACTTTCATCTTTTACTTCAAAATATTTTCTCTATAGTAAACAAATTATAAAAATAATAAATTTGTAATCATTTAAAAAATAAATTAATAATAAACAGTCAAATACAATATATATATATTAATATATATTTTTTCAGAAACTAAATATTTATAATACATTATCGTTTTCTGTATACAAATAAAATCTATTTGCAAACTTAGGCCACAAATGTTTTTTCCACTTAAGATTACATCCAATATAACTCATGTTAACTCCGTYGACATATTTACGCCAAAAACCATTGAGTGAATGTCTTTCAATGTATTGATAAACATTTCCGTAATCTTTTAACATAGACCTAAAGCCTAACCAATTCATTTTGTAATTTAAKTATCAAATTAATTATCTAAATAAATATTATAACTTTTTTWAAGTTTCAAACTTAGTTAAAATTATATAAAAATCCAATAATATCAGTTAACACTATTATTATTATTATKATATTAGTATAGCTTTAATATTTAACTCAATTTGTGTATACTTTTATAAGTTTTTGAAAATATGTTTTAATATACAAAATAAGTTAAATATATGGTACAAAAAATATGTTGACATTAAAAAAACTAATTAGATCTATACACCCATAATTTATTCTAAATATCTATTTAATATAAATTTATTTTATTTATTTATATTGATTATGCATTCAATATAATTTTTTTAATATTGGATATAATATATTTATTTAAAAAACTAGTTTATAATAAAAATTCGTTATATTAGTAACGCCAATTGTAAATTAAATTATTTCATAAAAATTAAAATGTATGATATATTAATATTATTATAAAATCTTTAACAAAATTAATTAAATAAATTTTTTAAACTAAAATATTTACCAGATTTGAAGTTTAATTTTTTGAATGTTTATGTTTTWAAATATCAATTAATTTAAAAATATAAGCATTAAAAAATGGGTTGAAAAAGTTGGTTTATTTTATTTATATTTTTATATGAAAGAATGTAATGTTTAAAAAGTATATATATTATATATTATATAAAAATAAGCAAATCTATTATTTAAAGCATATTTTAATTAATAAAAATTTAAATTTAATAAAATATTGATGTTCTAATACAATATAATTGATACAGTAATTATGTCAAATAAATATCAAATATTTTGACACAATTTTAATCAAAAACAATAATTTAATATTTATAATAAAATTATTAAAAAAATATCATTTAAAACAATAATACTTGTAATTATGTTTTTAGCCGTTAGTTTATTTGCATACCAGAGCACAATGTCTTTTATAGCAAACCCGTACACATTTTCTGGGCATAACTRCATCGTCGCCAACACTTTCTCGAGGTTCGCCCGACTGTCCATTTGACCTACAGGTCAGACCGTCCATTATTGTTACAAACTGTTGTATATTGAGTCGCAGTTCAGCACTGCATACGTTGCCCACCAATACCAGTGCCATCAATGTAACGATTGATATGAGTTTGAGACTCATAATTAATATATTATAAACTACAGTAATTATTTGATATTTACTATAATTAGTAATTATAACAATATTAATATAAAAGTATAAATTATTTTCACTAAATTAGTTATAAAAAWTTTTWAACATGTTTTTATATTGATAATTAATTGATTAAAAATTAAGATATAAAAACGATATAACCTTAAATAGATATGAAATTATTTTTAGAAATTAATAGTATATTTTTGTCGCTTTTAACCAAATATGATAAATTACCATTTTTAGTAATATTAAATATATAATATATTATTGTTATGAAATATAGTCATATATCCTTTTTAGTAAAATAATATTATTTTTAAAAATAATGATTACAATTCAATATTTGTAATTAGGGTTTTTATTTAATATTTTATCTAAAAATTGTCAAGGTAAATTATACATTATTTACAGATAATATAAATGACTTTACTTATGAAACTACTTTAGCTATTATGACAAATAAAATAATTGAAGATATTTGAAGCATAAAATTAGTTTAATTGTATATTAATTATCATAATACTTGAAATAATAAGTTTTTAATATTTATAATTATTGATTGATTTTATGCTATAATTGTTAAACCAGTTATTATTACATTTATCAATGGTTTTCATTATTTCTTTGGTTTCATCCGATGAAAGTGTATCGTCATTATTGTTGTCATTGTTGTCCACAATAATGCTGTTATCACTGCAGACACTATCGGTATCCGAGTTTTGGTCAATCAATTGGTCAGTTATTTCCGATACTTTGGCATAATTATGATCACATTGTCGGACATCAGCTTTATTTTGTTGATCGCAATACTCAATAATATCATTGATTTCATCAGTGGTTAACAATTTTTTATACACWATCTTATTAAATAAAGTTWTGTTCATTATTGYAGTCAATTTATATAAAATATACAGTTTATAAAAGTTAAAAATTTATTTTTGTAATACAGTATAATATTTGAACAATTTATTGATTATTGTTCASTATTTATATAGAAATGCCAATCATTTTATCTAAAGTTTTTATTTGCTTATCTAAGATTAATTTTGTTTGTAATTTTGTGATAAAATAATTTTAAAGTTTATTTACATTTTATTTAAAGTTAAAGTTTGTTTAAAGTTTATTACTGTTATTATTAGGGCCGATTCACATATTTCGTTGGCACTTTTTAAGAAATCTAGACCCCTCCATCCCCTATGTTCGCAATTGATCTCATGTAGTCATATAAAAAAATTACGTTTGCATGTCCCTAACCTCTAACCCCCCCCCCCACCACCACAAGAAATAAAATATCTAAATACGAACGTTCTTAAAGTCTCTACCCCTCCCCCTCGTTCGCAAAAGTTTGCTTTGGCCAACCCCCTCCCCTCAAGTGCAAACGTAATATATGAACTACCACTTATCGATTATTTAGTTTTAATTTAATACATAAAGTATACACTAATTATATATTTGTTATAATTTATTCTGATTTGGTTATCATATAAAATATTTATATTATTATAAATCTAATGCTAATAACTTGTTTTTAATAAAAATAATGCATATCTCAGAAAAATAGATTTACAGTAATTTCAATTTATAASTTATAGCATAATATTGTACTAAATTTATATATCAAATACTGAGATAATAACTAATTTCACATGTTTTTCAATTTAATACATTTTCAAACATTGAATATAATTAGATAAATATTAGATGTRTGTTAAACAAAAAGCAAATGCAAATCACACTGTGTTTACTCTCAAATTAAACTCAAAAATACTTTATACACTGACAATGGATTCAATATATAAATAAGATTTTTATTTAAAACATTTATAGTAAAAAACACTTATAATATAAATAATTTATAAACRTTAATACTAAATGAGTTTTGTTTCTATATTTTCAGTAAATAGAAATTTAAATTAAGGTAAAAATATGTATCAATTATATTATGCTAAATAACACCTATTTTACTAATATTTGTTGGTAAATAAATAAATAAAATTTTATCTATTGTTTTAAATATTATGCAAAATGCAATATTAAGCACTAAATTAAAGTTATTATTTTTTCTGTAATGTAATTGTTATCTAAGATTTATTATAAATTTAAGTAATCAAATATTTTGAACAAAAATAAAGTCAAAGAGACTGTTGACATGACAATAATTTATATATTATTTTTAAATGTTATAAAAACACATGTTAAATAATTAATTGATTAAAGTTAAACTTATATACAATAAGTGTTTTAATTAAAATTAATTATTAAACTATTTTTATCTAAAATAAGTCTAAAAGTTTTGTTCTATTCTAATAATTATTTTTATAAATATATATAAATTAACATAAAAGCTAAAAATAAATAGAATAAAACCTAAAACTATTATATAAATGTCAAATTTTGGTATAAATATAAAATATTTTTTTATAATATGCTAGTCAATTTTGATTATATTTAATAATAAAAATTAAATTTATTAAATTATAAATAATTTTGAAATAATTTTTTTCATTTTAAAATATTGTATTTTGTATTATTATTAAGAAACATTTTTAATAATTAATAATATCTTATTATAAACAGCTGTATAATTAATAATTATTTTGATATATTTTATAAATGCTGGAAATTGAAAAAAATATTCCGAGAAAATACTATGAAAATAATATTATTGTCAAAAGATATATATTGTATTTATTAAATATTTAACTATAGTTTATAAATTATTATGACAATATACGTATTAATATATGTAATTAATTAAAAATAACATACAAATATAATTTTATGTCATCTATTTTTATWATACTTTTTAAAAGTACTTTAAGTACTAATAATAATTTATAACAAAATATTTTGTTTAATCAAATAAGATACACAAAAAATCAATTAATTATTAAAAATTRATTAATTGTTAGTTAATTTTTTAAAACAATAAAATATATTTTATTACGTAAATTATYAGTCAATAATCATGTGGACAAAGATTTTTGTTGTGTATATAAACGGCATTCAGTTTTCATTTCAAATCACAACTCAACTGATCTAACAATTCAATTGAGAAATAGCCYTAAACTAACTGATCCTAACMATGAGATTAGCAATCATTTTATTTTTGTGCGGATGGGTAGCCGCTAATGACTGTAAGTATCGATTTGTTTAATAATAATCTATTTTTCTAATYAAATATAAAKYTCATTAWTWTTTACTAATTTTGAATTTTATTTTATACATMRATTAGCTAATAATTTTGGCAATCAATTGCACGATAAAGTGACCGGTTTTCTCGGAAATCTTTCTAATCGGTTGCAAAATGGCGAACACCAGCTCTTAGATAATCTGGAAAATGCCGCCAATAATATCAATAAACACTTCGAAAAGGCAGTCATTGAGGATAAAAAAAMWCTTGAAAATCTCTACAAACAGATCCAACAGAAAATTCAGGAGTTAAAGAAACGACTCCATCCCGAAGATAATACCGATGCCATCAATACCCGAGTGGCCAGARGTTTGTTTAGCAATGTTGGCGATAGAACTCACGATCTGTTGCGCAAAGCAGAAGAAAAAKCACTGGAATTGTTGAAGAAARAAGACAAACRACTCAAACAACAAATTGAAAAGTCTTCCGGAGAACAGAAGGAGATTCTTCAAAGAACCGAAAATTTCATTAAACAAAAGATCAATGAATTGGAGAATCTTTTGAATCGCAACGGAACCGAAGCCAACGCCAGAGTGACCCGCAGTTTGATTAGCAGTGTTGGAGATAAAGCTCGCGATTGGGTGCGCAAAATGGAGGAAAAAGCATTGGAACTGTTGAAAGCAGAAGACATACAACTGAAAAAAGAAATTGAAAAGTCTTCTGGAAAACAGAAAGAGATTCTCGAAAATGCCGATAAAATTGTTAAACAAAAGATCAATGAATTGGAGAATCTTTTGAATCGCAACGGAACCGAAGCCAACGCCAGAGTGACYCGCAGTTTGTTTAGYGATATTGAAGATAAAGCTCGCGATTGGAAGCGCRAAGCAGAAGAAAAAGCATTGGAACTGTTGAAGGAAAAAGACCAACAACTCAAAGAACAAATTGAAAAGTCTTCCGGAGAAMAGAARGAAATTCTTCAAAGAGCCGAAGRTTTCGTTAAACAACAGATTCAAAAATTGGAAAATCTTCTGAAWCGCAACGGAACCGATGCCAACACAAGAGTGACCCGCAAWATATTTGATGACTTCAWAAATGGTGCAAATAATTTGTTAGATAACATTMAGMATCGTTTCCAAGAAGCACCAGAAAAAATARCAGCCGATATCGATGGCGTCAAAAATCTGATTCAAAACAAAGTACAACAGATGACCGAGAATTTGAAAAAAGCCGTTAAGRATGGCAGTCAAGAGGCACAAGAACTGCATAAAAAGTTAACAGACTTTCTGAACAACAAAATASAAGAATTGGAACAAAAMGAAAGTGAATTGCAAAAGAAAATCCAAGAATCAGAACCCGAAGTGAAAGAAAAATTGAACAAAATTTTTGATAAACTCGAGAAAGAAGTTCAAGAATTGAAGAAACAATTGAATRAACTGACGGGAGTCAAGGCATAAGTTATTGTTATTAATACACATATAATAATAATATGATTTATATCTATTCAAAATGTTTTMTCTTTTAACTCTCTCCTCAAAATGTTATCCTTTTTATAAAATGTTAAATTTTTTAAATAACTTTTAATGTATATTTTTAAATCTTCAAAATTAATAAAATGCATAATCAAAAAATAATAATTTGTCTATTTGTTTTTGGATATAAATATAATCCATRTAATAATATAAATAACATATTTTATAAACAACTACATGTATAATATATTAAGAATTTTTTATAAATTATAATAATAGTTATAATATTTTTGTTTAATTTAATCATCAATTCATACAATATTCAGTTGACTGTTAAAAAATCAATCAATGTTTTTATCAATGAAGTGAAATTAAATTCATAACACTTTACTTAAGTTAAGGTCAATGAAATATTGTTGATTTATAGGGTGTGAGCCCAGAGTCTAGACTTAATGTTAAAACTATATGCAGAATATTTAGTTTTTCTTAAATCAGCATGATCAGATACAATATATAATAACTTTTTTTAAATATAAATATTTTAAAAATATTATTTATAAATAAATTAAAYAAACTAATATTTTTTAATTTTCTTTGAATCAGTAAATAATATTTTTTTAAATATATTAATATTATATTATTTTACATAACAAATGCAATGTGTGTGCACTTGAGAAATATAAGTCAATTTAATTGATTAGTTTAAGTTTATTAATTCACTGTTATTTACTGAGAGAAAGTAAAATTAAATGTAATCTAAAAAAATGATTGTTAATATTTATATTTATTATTAAAGCTATAAATTGTTAATTAATGATTGTATTTACTTCATATTTGCCAATTAATTGTTTTAGAAAACAATTTAAACATTTCTATAACATAGAAATTGTTATAAAATATTTATATATTAATTATGTTATTCAAACAACATTTCCAACAATTTATCATATTATTGACAATATTAATGTGTATGTTTATATGAAAATAAATTTCACCTTAAAATTAATAGTAATTTATTATTTTTTTCAAAATTAATATACAGATGCTTATGGTTTACCGATACATCAAAATCTATGCGATGATTGGATTGCCTACAAAAAGGACAAGTGCTATAAAGTTATATCAATGAGTGCTACTGTCAATGAGGCGGTAACAAAATGCACCCAGGAGCACCTGGACGCTACATTGATAACTATAGATTCACATGAGGAACAAGCGTTTGCAATGAATTTTCTTCAACATTACACTAACATATCGGACAGAGTTTGGACAGGTATAACAACGGTAATGGCTCAGAGATACAATAACTGGGGTGACGGTAGTCCTTATAGTTTCAATTGGTACGACTATGGTATGCGCGTACAGGTGTCCATTAGTGCCAACAATTTTGGTAAATGGTTTGAGGAGAACGTCTTGCGGCGAGCACTGGTWGTATGCGAACGACGCCAGGAATGGACACCAAAACTTTTAAGTACAGCACTGGATAGTATGCACCGGGAGATGACAGTACAACAACACTTGTTAGACATACTGCTAAAACATTTGAATRTTGATAATCCTGTAAATGATTTGTCACTAAAAGATACAMTTGACGATTATAACAAATTTAAGCATGATCAYCCATTGTATGAAAACATACCAATTGGGTTTGTCTACACACAACTGCCCAATCAAAGTGAACCACACCAATTGTGGCCTGGTAGTCTATGGACAGATATTACCGATGAATATGCTGGATTGTTTTTTAGAGCACAGGGAGGTGAGTCGGAAACGTTTGGCAAAATACAATACTCCAATCAGTCGACATGGAAAACGTTTGTACCCATATTGAAATTGGATAATACTGGTCATAATATGCGTGTACATAGGGATCAATTTTTTACACCCGATGGTATACCACGTAATGGTGTTAAATATCTTAACAATGTTGTTGTTCTAACAAATAAGGGTGAAAACCGACCCATCAATACRGCCATCAAATTGTGGAAACGTATTCAATAATTATTTGTAAAATTTACAAAATTTATTTATTTAAAATCATTTTATTTTGTTTATCATATTATACAGTGTACACAATAAAAATATATATAATTTGCTAATTAATTATTAATACAAAATTATATTTAGAAAATCATTAATAAAAAAAATAATTAGACTATTTTTAGTTTTGAATTAATTATGATAGATAGGGATATAAATAATAAAAATTGTATTCATTAATATTTTATAAAAAAATATGAAATTAAGTTTTGTATTTTTTTATTTAAATGTATTTTTTAAAACTAAACTATGTTAATTTTTTTGATAAAATCATTTAACCGCATTTAAAAATACAAATACCRTGATAGCAGATACACGCCATTTGACGGCACAATTGGACTGACTGTTTGTTTGTGATAACTGTCCATTATAACAGGTCATGTCCACTAATTATATGATTAAGATTATAATGATTGACAATAAAGTAAATAAATATGTTTTTATTGAWTTWTATTTGAAATATATATAAGCATAAAATGATATAAGTGAGCAATAATGCAATAAAACATTTTTATTAAAAATTACATTTATTTTAATATTTATATTAAATAATTACAAAAATTTCATTCCCCATTACTGTATTATAGTTTAATTATTCGTTAATTTATAAAATTTATCGCAAAATCCATAAGTATTATCAAAATTTTCATAAAAAAAACTACTTTCCAAACATAATATTTAAAAAAATCTGTATAAACACTAACTATTTCATCTAAAAAGTTATTTGGAAAGCACTATCAATTGATGTTTTGTAAGCAATATTGATAYCATTTATCGTATTTGTATTGATTGAAATGCATAAAAATTAATTCACAATTTAATCAATTTAATTTATATCCAAAAGCAAATAAACAAATTATTTTCCTTTAATTATGCATTTTATTAATTTTGAAGATAAAAATTATAAACTAAAAGTTATATTTAAAATTAAACATTTTATAAAAAGGATAACCTTTTGAGAAAAGATTTAAAAGAGAAAACATTTTGAATAGATATAAAGGATATTATTATTATATGTGTATTAATATCAATAACTTATGCCTTGATTTCAGATCATTTAATGACTGGCGTTGGCATCGATTCCGTTGGGTTTCAGAACATTCGACAATTCATTGATCTTTTGTTCAAAGATTTTAATAGCATTTTCGAGAATCACTTTTTGATTTCCCGAAGACTTTGACATTTGTTCTTTCAGTTGTTTGTCATCTTTCTTCAACTGTTCCAATAGTTGTTCTTCCAGTTGGCGAACCAAATGACTAGCTTTGTCTCCAAAACCRCTAAACAAACTGCGGGTCACTCTTGAGTTGGCAGCGATTCCGTTGGGTTTCAAAACATTTGACAATTCATTGATCTTTTGTTCAAAGATTTTAACAGCATTTTCAAGAATCACTTTCTGGTTTCCCGAAGACTTTGACATTTGTTCCTTCAGTTGTTTGTCATCTTTCTTCAACTGTTCCAATAGTTGTTCTTCCAGTTGGCGAACCAAATGACTAGCTTTGTCTCCAACACCGCTAAACAAACTGCTGATCCCTCTGGCGTTGGCATCGATTCCAATATCTAATTGATGTATAAAATAAAATTCAAAATTAGTAAATATTAATGAAATTTATATGTAATAAAAAAATAAATTATTGTTAAACAAAGCGATACTTACAGTCATTAGCGGCTACCCATCCGCACAAAAATAAAATGATTGCTAATCTCATTGTTAGGATCAGTTAGTTTAAGGCTTATTCTCAATTGAATTGTTAGATTAGTTGAGTTGAGTTGAGTTGTGATTTGAAATGAAAACTGAATGCCGTTTATATACACAACAAAAATCTTTGTTCACATAACTATTGAATTGACTGATTATTTATGTAAAAAAAATCTATTTTGTTGGTTAAAAAAATTAACTAACAATTAATCAATTTTTAATAATTAACAATAATATTACTTTCATAGTATTTTTTTCGGAATATTAATTTTTTTTTAATTTCCAGCATTTATAACATATATCAAAATAATAATTAATTATACATTACATCTGTTTATAATAAGATATTATTAATTTTGAAAAATTTTATTTAATAATAATACAAAATATAATGTTTTCAAAATTTAAATAATTTTTAAAATCAGTTAATATTTCAAAATTATTTTTAATTTAATAAATTTAATTTTTATGTAGYTTTTAAAATTAAATATAATATAATCAAAATTAACTAGCATTTTATAAAAAAATATTTTATATTTATACCGATATTTGACATTTATATAATTTATGTTTCATATTATATATTATAATTTTAGTTTTTATGTTAATTTTAATGTTAATTAATATATTTATTCTTAAAAAAATTGAAAAAATTGATAATTTTTGTGTTTTATTAGAATATATAAAAACTTTTACAAATGTCTGACAATTAATCTTAGATAACAATTACATTACAGAAAAAGTAATTACTTTACTTTAATTAATAATACTTAATAGTTGTATTTTGCATAATGGGGGGTAGGGGGTCAATTCAAGTGTAACATATATATTGTATTTATTAAATTATTTACAATTTTTGTATTACTATTTTATGTTATTATAAAAATTAAAATCTAGCTGATTAATAAATATTAATAATTATAAAAGTACAATCAGTACGCGCATATAGTCCCCCTTAGGGGATCCGGGGTTATATGTGAGTTACACCCCCTACCAAAAGTTTGATTTAATAAATTCACAAATACACCCACTATTGAAATTATTGAAGTTTTTTAATGTATGTAATTATCCCTATATGCCATCTATTGACTGGTTTTACATATTACCCCATCACAATTGTTTCCTTCCCCCACGACTTCACATAAATTTATAGCCATATTAGGGGGTATATGTAAGTTACAGCCCAATACCAAAAGTTAATTTTTATATCTTAAAAACCCGTTAGTAATAGTACTGTAAATAAACTTTAAAATTATTTTATCACAAAATTAATCATTAGATAAGCAAATAAAAACTTTAGATAAAATGATTGGCATTTCTATATAAATAGTGAACAATAATAAATAAATTGTTCAAATATTATACTGTATTACAAAAATAAATTATTAACTTTTATAAACTGTATATTTTATATAAATTAAGATAATATAAAAAACAAAATAAAGCTGATGTCCGACAATGTGATCATAATTATGCAAAAGTTTCGGTAATAACTGACCAATTGATTGGCCAAAACTCGGATACCGATAGTGTCTGCAGTGATAACAGCATTATTGAGGACAACAATGACAACAACAATGACAACAACAATGACAACAACAATGACGATACACTTTCATCGGATGAAACCAAAGAAATGATGAAAACCATTGATAAATGTCATTATAATAATAACTGTTTTAACAATTATAGCATAAAATCAATCAATAATTATAAATATTAAAAACTTATTATTTCAAGTATTCAATAATACAAACATTAAACTTAATAATAATAATAATATTATTATTATTATTTTACTAAAAAAGATATAATATTTGAATATCTATTTAAGTTACTATTCAATATAATTTTTTAAATTTATAAATAATTCAATAAAAATAATTTTTATGTATATTAACTGAGAACTGTTATATAATGACCAGGGTTTTAAAAATGGCAGGCATAAACAATAGATGCCAATTTTGCCAAATGCCTGCCCTTTCTCTGCCATGCCCTGGGCATCTATTTTCAGGTGGTGAGACCTATTATTTTAATTTTATATTATTAATTAATTTATAAAACGTTTTTATAATATATTTGCTTGTATTTTTGTTTTGTATACCTTTAATTAAAAGGTAATATCATTGGAAATAAGTAAATTAATTGTAAATTTAATTTACACGTTAAAACACTAAATAGCATTATTTTTATAAATACAGTTGATTTTAGCAATTTAAATTGGCAATCAAATAAAATAGATGCCCAAATTGCCAGGCATTTATGGCATCTATTTGGGCATTGCCAGGGCAGGCATTTATTTCCTTAAAACCCTGATAATGACACATTAATGCCACTGGTATTGGTAGGCAACGTATGCAGTGCTGAACTGAGACTCAATATACAACAGTTTGTATCAATGATGGACGGTCTGACCTGTAGGTCAAGTGGACAGTCGGACGAACCTCGAGAAAGTGTTGGCGACGATGCAGTTATGCCCAGAAAATGTGTACGGGTTTGCTATAAAAGTCATTGCGCTCGGGTATGCAAATAAACTAACGGCTAAAAACATAATTACAAGTATTATGGTTTTACTTAAATACTGTACTATTTTTAATAATTTTATTAAACTTTTTTTGTTTAAATTCAAATAATTATAAAATTAAATTCATTGTTATCATTTGAATTGAAATTATGCAAAATACAACTATTAAGTAAGCATTTAATTAAAGTAAAGTAATTACTTTTTCTGTAATGTAATTGTTATCTAAGATTAATTGTCAGACATTTGTAAAAGTTTTTATATATTCTAATAAAACACAAAAATTATCAATTTTTTCAATTTTTTAAGAATAAATATATTAATTAACATTAAAATTAACATAAAAACTAAAATTATAATATATAATATGAAACATAAATTATATAAATGTCAAATATCGGTATAAATAAAATTTTTCAAAATTAATAATATCTTATTATAAACAGATGTATAATTAATTATTATTTTGATATATGTTATAAATGCTGGAAATTAAAAAAAAATTAATATTCCGAAAAAAATACTATGAAAGTAATATTATTGTTAATTATTAAAAATTGATTAATTGTTAGTTAATTTTTTTAACCAACAAAATAGATTTTTTTTACATAAATAATCAGTCAATTCAATAGTTATGTGAACAAAGATTTTTGTTGTGTATATAAACGGCATTCAGTTTTCATTTCAAATCACAACTCAATTCAACTSATCTAACAATTTAATTGAGAATAAGCCTTAAACTAAGTGATACTAACAATGAAATTAGCAATCATTTTATTTTTGTGCGGATGGGTAGCCGCTAATGACTGTAAGTATCGCTTTGTTTAACAATAATTTATTTTTTTATTAAATATAAATTTCATTAATATTTACTAATTTTGAATTTTATTTTATACATCAATTAGATATTGGAATCGATGCCAACGCCAGAGGGATCAGTAGTTTGTTTAGCAGTGTTGGAGACAAAGCTAGTCATTTGGTTCGCCAACTGGAAGAACAACTATTGGAACAGTTGAAGAAAGATGACAAACAACTGAAAGAACAAATGTCAAAGTCTTCGGGAAATCAAAAAGTGATTCTCGAAAATGCTATTAAAATCTTTGAACAAAAGATCAATGAATTGTCGAATGTTCTGAAACCCAACGGAATCGCTGCCAACTCAAGAGTGACCCGCAGTTTGTTTAGTGGTTTTGGAGACAAAGCTAGTCATTTGGTTCGCCAACTGGAAGAACAACTATTGGAACAGTTGAAGAAAGATGACAAACAACTGAAAGAACAAATGTCAAAGTCTTCGGGAAATCAAAAAGTGATTCTCGAAAATGCTATTAAAATCTTTGAACAAAAGATCAATGAATTGTCGAATGTTCTGAAACCCAACGGAATCGCTGCCAACTCAAGAGTGACCCGCAGTTTGTTTAGTGGTTTTGGAGACAAAGCTAGTCATTTGGTTCGCCAACTGGAAGAACAACTATTGGAACAGTTGAAGAAAGATGACAAACAACTGAAAGAACAAATGTCAAAGTCTTCGGGAAATCAAAAAGTGATTCTCGAAAATGCTATTAAAATCTTTGAACAAAAGATCAATGAATTGTCGAATGTTCTGAAACCCAACGGAATCGCTGCCAACTCAAGAGTGACCCGCAGTTTGTTTAGTGGTTTTGGAGACAAAGCTAGTCATTTGGTTCGCCAACTGGAAGAACAACTATTGGAACAGTTGAAGAAAGATGACAAACAACTGAAAGAACAAATGTCAAAGTCTTCGGGAAATCAAAAAGTGATTCTCGAAAATGCTATTAAAATCTTTGAACAAAAGATCAATGAATTGTCGAATGTTCTGAAACCCAACGGAATCGCTGCCAACTCAAGAGTGACCCGCAGTTTGTTTAGTGGTTTTGGAGACAAAGCTAGTCATTTGGTTCGCCAACTGGAAGAACAACTATTGGAACAGTTGAAGAAAGATGACAAACAACTGAAAGAACAAATGTCAAAGTCTTCGGGAAATCAAAAAGTGATTCTCGAAAATGCTATTAAAATCTTTGAACAAAAGATCAATGAATTGTCGAATGTTCTGAAACCCAACGGAATCGCTGCCAACTCAAGAGTGACCCGCAGTTTGTTTAGTGGTTTTGGAGACAAAGCTAGTCATTTGGTTCGCCAACTGGAAGAACAACTATTGGAACAGTTGAAGAAAGATGACAAACAACTGAAAGAACAAATGTCAAAGTCTTCGGGAAATCAAAAAGTGATTCTCGAAAATGCTATTAAAATCTTTGAACAAAAGATCAATGAATTGTCRAATGTTTTGAAACCCAACGGAATCGCTGCCAACTCAAGAGTGACCCGCAGTTTGTTCAGCGGTTTTGGAGACAAAGCTAGTCATTTGGTTCGCCAACTGGAAGAACAACTATTGGAACAGTTGAAGAAAGATGACAAACAACTGAAGGAACAAATGTCAAAGTCTTCAGGAAAMCAGAAAGAGATTCTCGAAAATGCTATTAAAATCTTTGAACAAAAGATCAATGAATTGTCGAATGTTCTGAAACCTAACGGAATCGATGCCAACGCCAGTCATTAAATGATCTGAAGTCAAGGCATAAGTTATTGATATTAATACACATATAATAATAATATCCTTTATATCCATTCAAAATGTTTTCTCTTTTAAATCTTTTCAAAAAAGGTTTTCCTTTTTATAAAATGTTTAATTTTAAATATAAATTTTAGTTTATATTTTTTATCTTCAAAATTAATAAAATGCATAATTAAAGAATAAAAATTTGTTTATTTGTTTTTGGATATAAATATAATGTATATTATATTTTTAAAAATTATATAAATTATTATAATAATTGTTTTGTTAAATTGATTGATCATATCATACAAAATTTAGTTGATTGTTAAAAAATATCAATGTTTATATCAATGAAGTTAAATTAAATTCATAACACTTTACTTAAGTTAWGGTCAATGAAATATTGTTGTTTTATAAAGTATRAGCCCAGAGTCTAGATTTAATATTATATAATAAATAAAAATAGTAATTATTAAATTTGTACTACTATTTTATTRTACTACAAGTTTTGTAGAATTTTAATATATAGTATTAAATTTATATAATACAGAATATAAATKAATTTAATAAATAATTATTTGTTTAGCCAAAATTAAAGTATATTATATATTAGAGATAATATATTTAATAACTTCTAACCTTTATTAATTAAATTAGATTCATCATTAACATTATAATTAAAAATAATTAAAATAGTAATAAAATTTATAAAACTAATTTATTATTATTTATTATAACTTATACAGTATATCAACTGACGCAGTGTTAATTGATAAGTAATTGATATTTAATTATTGTTTTTAATTTTAAAAGCTATTTTATATTTATTGGGTTCAAAAGCCATGGGATCGTTAGGACTTGGATCTAGGTTTTTGTAATCACTTAACACTATATCATAGTTTTCGGTTAATTGCAAAAATCTGACCAAAACAAAGAACAGGTCAGCGATGGCTAACTTCTCGCCCAAACATACACGACGTCCCGACACCGAAAGGTATGTAAGCTCTGGGTCGGGTAGTAATATAACTGCCATCACTGTTRAGAAATCGCTCMGGTAGGAATCGATCGGCATTTTCCCAATATTTTTCACTATTCATTATTTCCCATTGACTGACAAACAAACCCATACTTTTTGGTAAATCATATTTACCTATAAATAAATTACAAATATATAAAAATACATTGAAATGACATAACAATAACATTAATATCATAAATAATTACAATTAAAACTAACCAAATTTTGTGGGAACTACTGTTGCGTGAAAAAGGCCGTTTGGCACTGAGTTTCTGTAGCGTAATGTCTCCGATATGAAAGCCATTGTATAATGACAGCGTTGTTTGTCTTCATATGTGGCCATACGGTCACCGATTTCGGCACCGATCTCTTGACGCAACTTTTTCTGTACCTCCGAATAGTGSGATAAAAATAATAGTAACCATCTAAAGGTGCTCTGGGAGGTATCAGTGCCGGCCATAAATAGATCCCATACAGCCATTCCTAGATTTTCATCTGTCAAATACGGTGTCGACTCTTTTGCCTCCCGGAGCGACTCGTTTTTGGCAGTTATTAGTGCATCGCAAAAATCACGGCAAATACTAATGTCGTAGCTTTCGTAATGGCTTTTAAATTTGTCTCTTATCATAAACATAGTTTCMTTTTGCAAATTCATAGCATAGTTGACTTTACGACTATCCAAATACCTGATCAACGGTGAGAACTCCCATAACATACCCCTAACACCAATCTCATCGCCTATATCTTTGAGCGCATATTTTAGTTTTAAATATTCTTTATCATCGATATCGTATCCCCGGCCAAAAGCACTGGTAGCCAATATGTTGTTAATCATGTGATAAATGTATGGATAGGGATCAAATGGCTGATCGAKTCCTWCTTTTTTCATTATAATTTTAAACGTTGTGTCAACACAATCGCTGGCCAAATATGCCAACTTATCTGTTTTTGCATAATTCCTATTAATAATAGATAAATTTTTAATCAAAATTTAYTATTATTTTAGTAAAACATACAAAACAGCCGCGTGTGACACACGTCTCAATGCATCCCATCGATGACCATAATTATCAAACACAACATCTGAGACCAGTTTGTTTGAAAGGTTTTGGGCTGTAATATGMAACAATAGTATAACAAAATATTTTWTAATTTTTTTGAATATTTATATTAATTAATATAATGTAATTTTGATSAGTAATTTACCGATAAACGATTGGGGCGATCAATAAACTCGTTTTTACGGAACGTCTCTCTGGCGACGTCTATGTCTGCTATGAATATGAAAGGGTTTGGTCCCAACCAAAAGGTAAACACATCGCCGTATTTTTTACGATATTTTCGCAACTCGTATGCAAAATGATCTTTAGTGCCGCGCAATGCTATCAATTTAGACAATAGTTTATATATAATTTGTGTCAAATTAAAGATTACAGAATTTTTTTAAAAATMAGTTTATTTATTTAAATAAACTTACCAAGTATATTGCCTAAAATAGGTATGGGCAATGGCCCAGGTGGTARTTGAAATACACGTAAATAAAACTTAACAATTTTATACACTATGAAACCCAAAAGTAATGTTATTAATGTTGACTTTATGTTTAGTGTAATAAAAGAGCTAATAATGTTTGTAATAATTGACATATTGTTAATTATTTTAAAAAATTAATCACAAAAACAAAATTATTAATATTAAGGTATAAATGAAATGTTTAATAAAGTATAAGAAAATATTTTAAATAAATATTTTTTTTGTCAACATTTATATACAGTATATTACTCGTTTGGTTATTAAGTTTTTAAACAAATGAGATAAGTTATGACATTGAAGATTAAGTGCATTACGTTTAGGATCGCCAACTATTAAGTTTACAAATGCAGTAATTTTTTTCAATYAARATTTTTATTTTTTAGTATTTATGTTTTTGTTATATTTTATTAATTTAAATAATWATTATTTTATTTGCATTTTATTTTAAATAATTAAAYAATGTAAACAATATTTTATTTAGTTTAATTTTAATAATGTTAGTATACAGATAATCTTCAATTCAAAATAATCAACAATAACATAAATTTAGTATTATTATTAAGTAAATAAACTTCAATTATAAATTAATATTGTATAGATATAACTTTATATATACAGTATATAGTTTTTACATATAAATAAAATATTTTTCAATCATTGAAATATAATTTTATTTTATTTTATTATTAGTATTATATTTATAAATTTCTATAAACAATTTCTATAARCATTCAAAATTTACAAATATGATAAAATTATATAAATAGACAATAAAGCAATATAATAAAATAATACATAATTTATTTTATTATCAWTAATAAATAAAAAGCTATATTGTTTATTCAAACATTGCATAATATCATWAAAATAAATCAGAAATATTGTAAATATTGTTTTCCTTATAATAATAGTGTTTTAACTTAATAATAAAATTAAAWTCAATAAACTTGAATTTCTAATMAATGGGATAAWCTGTTTAAATCTAATAATGTGTGTGTGTGTGTGTGTGTGTGTGTGTGTGTGTGTGTGTGTGTGTGTGTGTGTGTGTGTGTGTGTGTGTCTGTGTGTGTGTCTGTGTGTGTGTGTGTATAATATGTGTGTGGTATCTTTTATAAATAAATTCAAAGGTTATAAATTTAATAAATAAGTCGTGGTTCACATATTACGTTTGCAATTGATGGGCTACAATTAATTACTGTTTATACAATATATTTATAAACGTTTGCATTTAAATAATATTTTATTTCTTGTGGTGGGGATCTTTTATAAAATAAATTTATGAACAAAGGGGAGGTTATAAATTTAATAAATAAGTAATATTCTTTTAATCTATATAAATTATTAATTGATTTTAATTACTTTTCATTTTTGTTGTGTATTTTATTTATAATATAATATTAATACTGTTTATATATTATTGTAAAATTCTAATGTTATATAATAGTCGAATAGTTAAATAAAAAACAATTGTTATATTAGATATATATTTAATAACAAAAAATATTTATATAATTCTAWTTTCTTTATTTAAATATTRATTAAATAACASATTTTAGTAGTTTTAGMAGTAATTTAATATAATTAATAATTTTACTAAAATGTTTAATTATAAAATTAAACTGACTCTTAAACTAATTTGGWCRTTTATTTCTATGTTTACATTTGATATTATTAAAAATCGATCAAGGACAATATATAGTTTAATTGTAATATAAATGTAATAATTTATATTATAAATGTCAAATTTATCACGAKTGACAATTAATAAAAATAACATTAAACGTGATTAACGCATTTTTATTTTTACATTGAAACTAATGTAAGTAAATAAGATTGTTAATATTAATTAATRATAAATTATTAAAATGTAATAATACTAAATTTATATTATTATTTTAWATTAAAAAATAGCTAATATAAAAATATTTTTACTGTATTTTCGCAACTCATATGCAAAATAATCTTTAGTGCCGCGCAATGCTATCAAATAATATAATAGATATTAATATTAATAGAATATATAATTTTTTTTGAAATTTATATTTGATATAAAACATATCATTTATGTAAATAAACTTACCAAGTATATTRTTGCCAAAAAATATGTGTAAAGTTTATGTGCAGTATTAGTATTGTTAACAATGTTGACTTTAAGTTGAGTGTAAATTAAATAAATAAAAATTTTAAAAAATTAAGAAAAATAGTATACTATTTTTTGTACTACTGAATTATAGAAAATATTATTTATAAAACTTTATTTCTCAAATATTAAGAAAATTTTGTTACAATTTACTTACAAATAATTTTTKAWGTAATATATTAATTTTAGTAATAYTAAAAATACAAAAAACATTTAAAATATTKTCATAATTATAAGTTTATTAGCAATAATATTCTACATATTACCCAATTAAAAGTTTTAAAMAATTTATAAATTATCATCTATATTTCTATTTACTATTTGGTATTAATATTTAGAATAATATTAAATAATTTATAATATATATTGAATAAAAAAGTATTTTTTACAATCAAAATTTTAGATAAATTTTGTTTTAAAATATAATTTGTAAAAATTTTAATAATTAAATTTTTAACAAAATTGTTATTTACTTATTTGTTTTAATCTTAAATTCAATTTGATGTTTGTTTGGCATAAAAGCATTGGCATCGTTAGGATTGGGATCCAAGTCTTTGTAATCACTCAATACTATATCATAGTTTTCGGTTAATTGTAAAAATCGGACCAAAACWAGAAASAGATCAGCTATGGCTAACTTCTCGCCCAAACATACACGACGTCCCACACCGAAAGGTATGTACGCTTTGGGTCGGGTAGTCATATGCTGGCCTTCGCTGTCAAGGAAGCGCTCGGGTATGAATTTATCGGCATTTTCCCAATATTTTTCACTATTCATTATTTCCCATTGATTGACAAAAARKGCCGTCTTTTTTGGCAAATTATATTCACCAAACTGTGTATTAACTGCTGTCCCGTGAAACAAACCGTTCGGTACTGAGTTTCGGTAGCGCATTGTCTCCGATATGAATGCCATTGTRTAATGACAGCGATGTTTATCTTCATGTGTGGCCATACGGTCACCGATTTCGTCGCTTATTTCTTGTCGTAGTTTTTGTTGCATTTCTGGATAGTAAGTCATTAATAGGATTATCCATTGAAAAGTGTTTTGCGAGGTATCGGTGCCCGCAATAAATAAGTCCCATATAGACATGGCTAGATTTTCGTCTGTCAAATAAGGTGCCGACTCTTTTGCATCCCTCAGCGCATCATTTTTTGCAGTTATTAGTGCATCACAAAAGTCGCGACAAACGTTTGAATCATAATTATTGTAATGACTCTTAAATTTGTCTTTAATTACATCTATTGTTCCAATTGTTACACTAATCACTTCATTGACTTTCTTTTTGTCCAAAAATCGTATCAATGGTGAGACCTCCCAGAGTGCAAGYCTAATACCCATTTCTTCTCCCAGGTCTTTGAATGCATATTTGAAAAACAAATACTCTTTATCTTCTAAATCATAGCCCCGACTGAAAGCACTGGTAGCCAATATATTACTAAACATATGATAAATGTATGGATAGGGATAAAACGGTTTGTTCARTCCTTCGCGTTTTAYTATAGTTTTTATAGTGTTTTCCACACAATCACTRACCAGATATGCCAGCTTATCCGTTTTTGCATAGCTCCTGTATAATAATAATTCAAAAAATCCAAATATAAATAACTATAGTTTTATTTTTGTTGAAAATGATTACAAAACAGCTGCGTGTGTGACACGTCTCAGTGCTTCCCATCGATGACCATAATTATCAAACGCCACGTCTGAATAWTTTTTGTTTGATATAGATTTTGCTAATAAAACAAATATTTAATGTTTTTTTAATTTCCTTTGAAAATTTAWATAAATAATATATAGGGAACTATACCAAAAAACGACTCGGGGCGATCAATAAACTCATTTTTGCGGAACGTCTCTCTGGCGATGTCCAAGTCTGCTATGAATATGAAAGGGTTGGTTCCCAACCAAAATGTAAACACATCGCCGTATTTTTTACTGTATTTTCGCAACTCATATACAAAATGATCTTTAGTGCCGCGCAATGCTATCAATTTAGACAATAGTTAATATATTTTTTTTAAAAATCTTATTTATGTAAATGCTYACCAAGTAGATTGCCAAAAATAGGTATRGGCAATGGCCCAGGTGGTAATTGAAATACACGTAAATAAAATTTAACAATTTTATAAACTAGAAAACCCAATAATAATGTTATMAATGTTGACTTTATGTCGAGTATAAAATACGAGCTTATAATTTTTGTTATTATTGACATATTGACAATTGTTTTTAATAATAACTTTAAAAAATACTTTAAATTTTCATATATAATTGTTGAATTTATAGAATTAAAAAAATTATATTACACATTTTTCTGACATATATTTACATTTCTATTTACACGGAATTTATACAGTATGTAAAGCATATAAGGATACAAATAAATGTTTGAATCAAATAAAGATAAATTTGAGAAATTTTTAAATATTTTATGTAAATCAAATATAAAAACAAAATACCCAGTATCTTTAATTTAAAAAAGMTAGATTTTWAAAAATTTATCATWAAAAACCTCAACTATTYCATATTATTTTAAACTTTTTATGTAATTAAACATTTGTATCCTTAAATGTTTTACATCCTGTACTATCATAGTTATCATTATAAATAATATGATAACTTATCAATTAATTTATGACATTGAAAATTTAGTGCATTAGGTTTAACTTTATATTAATGTATTGAATAAAAGACCTTCAACTAAATGTTTGCTAAATTACTCTCAAACCAGTTTTTAGATGATTTTAATAAACAGTATTTATAAAAAAATAATTATAAATATTATATAAACTTATATAATATAGTTAATTATAATTAGGCATTATTAACAAAATAAATTTAATTACTTAATTAATTTTATTAATTATTATACTTTATTAAATTAATTTCAAAATAAAGTTAATCAATTGAGTTACGTATAATTTATCAGMTATGAAAATAAATGTTTAATTTTAGTATAATTATTTAAAAACATTAGTATATTAAATTAAAGTTATAATTTTGTTAATGAAACAATAATTTAGGAAAGTTTMTAATAATAATTATTTTATACTAAATAAATTTTTCAAATATTTGGAAATATAGTTATCATTGGTGTTAACTTTAATACTTTGATGCATTTTTTCGTTATGCAAATTGTTATTAATTTTCAATTGCATATCCAAGTGATCCCGTATTGTTGGCCACTTATAGGCAATCGACACAATTTGTTCACACAATTATCGATGTYTTCCAATGTAATAGACTTATGACTTTTATCTCCTATTTTCATTGATCTAAGTATGACATCCTTTTCGTGGTGATACTGATCCAATAAGTCACGCAATTGTTGTATCGATTGTTTGCTAAATCCGGGTATTAATGACTCTTTATGTTCCTCAACCTTAATAAGGTATTCAACATACTCTTCATAAGCGTCATTAAAAGGAGTCAATGCATTGTTTTTGAGAAAAACAGCGAACTGTGCCATACATTCAGTAATTATTTTGATTTCCTTCTTAAGCATGTTTTGTCTGTCCATTAAATCGTTAATCATGTCTTGATGTGCTTTTTTAGCCCTTTCCTCGGTATTAATCATTTCACACTTGGCTTCATCTCTGCGCTTTGACTTTACTTTTTTCGTTTCATACCTAACGTGTAAATGTGTTTTGAAACTATGTTTACAAACTAAACAGTTATCCCGTTGTTTGCGAGTACAGCTGTAAACAATCATAAGTCCGGTTTGTGGGTCCGCATCATAGCAACTATCGGGAWWTAGATTTGCATCTTCGGGTCTAACATATTCATCSGGACCTACAGTACAATTATAATTAATTAAATAAATTTTAGTCTATTTTTAAATAATATAAAATTTGTAAACTAATTTAATTTAATAATATAATAACCATTTCGTTTATATWTATTGAATGATTTACAGTCTAATARTGCTTTAGTACCGACAACCCTTCCGTCATCAAAGTTGAGATAACAAGGATAATGACACGTTTGCCGATAGTGTTTGACTACTTRTCCGTCAATGTTCTCGTAGTCGCAACACTTTATGTCCGAACAAACAGTTTTCGGTTTTTTCAAAGGCGTTGACTTGATTTCAATGACCGGAATGTATAGTTCGCGCTCCAGTTCTCTGATATTGCCATCAAATTGTAATATCTTTTCGGTTCTTAATTCACATTCTTTTATATTTTCGGCGATGTTTTTGCTGATATCGGCCATCGGTTTAGTTAACAATTTAATTGTACGTTTCGACCGATTCAGTGATAGTGTATCCATAACATTGTGTGGCTTCATATGAATAATATAATCCATTAGACGCTTACATTCATTGACAGAACTATTAAATAGTAATTTATTAAATAATTAATTAATATTAATATAATTTAATSAAATAAATTTAATTTTAATMAATCAAAYAAAATTACTTATTCCAACTTTTTTCATAATCATCGGAAACACATTTATTAAATACCATATTATTTGGTTCACTAACGGCTACTAAATAACGGAACGACTCGTTGTCAAAGCAGAAGGTATTGTTTTCGTCAAACTTGATCTCAACATTAGGCGGTCTCTGTTTCACTTGTGTCAGTACCTCCTCCAGGGAAACGGCTGTATCACCCGGTTGGTAGAAAGTGCCCCGGGCATTAGTAAATATAAACAATATATTATTGGCCGCAGATCTATTCAAATTTGACAGCAACTCGAGTATACAATACTTAAATATAACRCCAACTCTGGCCTCATTGGGCTTCAATAGCACACAAATAGCATCAATAGTATTATAATGCGATATAAAATTAAGTATATTTTGCATATTTTGGTTGTCTTTATCCAARCCTTTAGTGTCGACAATACCGGGCGTATCGATAATGTTCAGACGATACTCGTCAATGTCAAACGGGTAGCAYTGCGGRTATTTAGTGGCCGATTCGGTAGTTTTATCGGTATTTTCATAAGCACTGGGCGTACCAAATGTCATARCTTTACGTTTTTTGGTTTTSGGATCCGTTAACGAAAACTTTGTGGGAATCAAACAAAGCGATCGATTGACGGCATCACTCATTCGCTCATATAATAGATAATTGACAAATGCATTGATAAACGTTGATTTGCCGACACCCGTCTCTCCCAACAATAATAGTGTTATTTGTTGCTTATTGTCCTAACAATCAGTATTTAGTWAATGATAATTATAGTAAATTATTATTACAGTTTATACCTATACTTAATTTAAAAACAATTTTTAAAACTAATAAACCTTACCTTAATATCCATAGTTTCAAACAAATGTTTGACATCACTTAATCCTTGTGCCATTTATCCAACTAATTATAKTAATAATACTRTGTATAATCAAATATTAYGTAAATCAMTAAATTATAATCAATTTTCTCAYAYAAAATAATTGCAAAATGATGTACTAATTTATTTAATGATTTGATTTTATGATATCATATATAAAGATTGATTAATTTTATTATACATACAATTAATGTTTRAACATTCAGTGTTGGTGTCGTATAACAAATTATTTTGGCTAAAAATAACAGTTTGTTTTCCTATGTGACTAAAGCCAAAGTATCAGTGATGGTGTTTATAGGTTTGCAAATTGTAATGCATTGACTCAAACTGTATTTATTATAATTATTGTTAATAAGAAACGATATCAAGTTTACAATTGCTTACAATAAAATTATTTACAATATCTTTATAAACGTTATTGGATATATTAGATTGGTTGAAATGAAATTAGCCTAGATAGGTTAAGACAATTTTAATCAAATTTTTTTCTAATATTATTTAAATATAGTATCCGTTAGGCCGTATAACAAGTTTCATACGGTCGATCCACTTCTCATAGACCCCACGCCAGTCGGTTGGTTTTAGGTCTCCCAAAATGACTCAAAAGCGTTGTCAATATCAATTTTGCTATTAAATACCGTTCCTCTTAGGTGTTTCTTGAGATTTTTAAAAAGCCAAAAATTAGCTGGAGACAGATCAGGACTGTAAGGTGGGCGTGTTAAAAGTTGAACACCATTGTCATCGAGATATCGGGTTGTTACCAATGTTTTGTGAGACTTGGCATTATCGTGATACATTATAATGCCAGTTAGTCCAGACTTCGGGCGATCCTCATTGATAGATTCAAAGACTTTAGACAACCATTTTTTCACATACCAGTCGGTGGTAACCTTATATCCATTTCCCAATTTGAAAATTTTCACAATACTAGTCGAACGAAAAAATATGGCGTAGATTATCTTCTTTACATGCACTTCACGTTTGGCCAACTTCGGGATCTCTTCATCTTCTATGACCCATAACTATGCTTTTTTACTGTTTAATTTGTGATAAAAGTACACATATGTTGCGTCACCATTCACTAATCGATAAATAAAGTGATTGCCGCCATTTTAAAAAATCTTCAGATTCTCCCGGCAGATCTTAACACGAGTAGCCATTTGGTCGGCCGACAACAAGTGGTGTACCCATTTGATACAAATATGTCTTGCGTTGCTATAATTGTGCAGAATATGATGTACTCTCTCGTTTAAGATATTCAGTATATAAGCCATCTGTAATAGCGTTATTCGCGGATATTCTTGTAGCAGTTCCCTAATTCTGGCCACATTTTCATCGGTGGTCACTTCCCGTGATTGACCCATCTTCGGGATGTCCTCAATGATGTACGACCAAATTTGAAGTAACGTTATCAATGCGATACTGTAGCTTAAATACCAGTATTTGTTCCCAATGTGCAATATTTCATCTGTTGGCTCCTGTGCCGACAGCGCGAGCCGATAATAATATGCAATTATTTCCCGAATATCGCGAGAACCAAAATTAATTGAAATTTCAGACATTACACACTTTAAGAAGTCACCAAAACTGAACCAAATGAGCAAATGTTGTGAAAAAAATTTTAGTGGCCTAAAAAATTGTGTACTTTTATTTGATAATAAAAGTTTTGTCATTTTTTATAGTTTGGATAGTGATGTGAATTACTTTCCTACTATTCCAATAGTATTTTGAAACTTATAATTGAGTTTTTTTAATAAATCGAAACTTACAAACTTGTTATTATGAATACATAGCTTAAACTTTTAAATTATGATTTTGACTAATGAAAAAAAACATATATAAAGGAATTTTTTACAAAATTAGTAATACATTATTAAAATATTGTACTGTATTATCTAAACTGCATTATTGTTGCTAATGTTAGAAATTTTTAAATGTTTTAAAAAATAAGTTTATTTAAGTTAAATTAATAAAAGTAATAAATTATATTCAATATTAATAATGTGCTTAATTGGAAAAAATAAGTTATAGTATTGATAAATTAACTATATGATAAATTACTGCATTTTTTAAATATTAATGTTTGTATTTTATATTAAGCTTTAAATTTTAACTTTAAACTTTGTATCAAGTTAATTTGATCATTTTTATACAGAATTGATAAATGATAAATATTAAAATTATAAAGTTGTCATTAATAAACAATGATGTAAGTTTTATAAACAAAAAATTAAATGTTTAGATTAAAAATATTTTATAAAACTATTAAGTATCACATATTATTATTTTAAATATTTTAAAATACAGTATATTTATTGTATTATATAAAAACTATCATATTCTAATAAAAAAATTACATCATATTAAAATTACTAAAATATTTGATAAGTTATAATTTAATAATGTAAATGTAAAACACTTGAGATAAAATACTGTTTTATGATATTTTAATGTTATTTTTGCTATAATTTTATTTAATTGCTTATTTAATAATGACAACAATAAATAGTTGTTACTAATAGTTGTTAGTAATAAATAAACATTAGTTATAGTCAACTAACTAAAATGGATAAACAGGTAAACTTTAAAAAATATAATATTATTAATATCTAAAATTAACTTTTATAATATTTAATTTATTTTAGAAAAATAATAATAATTCTAATAAAGAAATAACAATTTTATTATTTGGTGAGTCGGGTGTGGATAAGCCAATGTTCATCAATGGTTTAGTCAATTATCTACTGTTTGACAAATTAAAGTATGCAATGGGACGGCCAGTCTGTTTGATACCGACCACATTAATTGTAACCGATCCGAAAACTAATCAAATTAAAACAATAATGTTTGATAAACTAGACAATTATAATATTAATAAAAAGTTTAATGATCATAACTCACAATATCCACACTGTTATCAATTGGATCTGGGCTATTGTCAGTTAAATATTATTACTACTCCTAGTATTGGTGATGACATTAATGATTTGGATAAAGACAAACAAATTATGCAAAATATTTTCCACTTTATATCCCATTACAAAGTTATTAACGGTATTTGTYTGCTATTGAAAGTCTAATGATGACAGGGTTAACGTTATATTTAAGTATTCAATACTTGAAWTGTTGTCACATTTGGACAAATCTGGTGCTAATAATATAATGTTTGTCTATGATATTACACATCAAAATGATAATAATATAAATAATACAGATCTTAGTGATTGTGATGAAACATTAAAACAAGTGATACAACAATCGAAATACRGATCATTAAATAATATTGAGATCAAGTTTGACGAAAACAATATATTTTATTTTAACAACGAGTCGTTCAATTATCTGGTGGCTGTCATTCAACCTAATAACATGGAATATAGCAAAAGTGAGCATGGTCATTATGATAAATGTTGGTCCAGGTTGGTATTATTTTTTTTATAATTTATTCTGTATTTTAAATACTTTTTTTGATAATGTTAATAATTTTAATTAAATAAATTATTAGACAAATTGATGAATGCAAACGTATGCTAACATATTTAGGACAATTGAAACCACACAATGTTAAAGACACGGTAGGYATCAATGAGGCCAAGCGTATGATAAAATTGTTGGCCAAACCATTTGCCAATATAGCCAATGATATTGCTGATAATGTTAAAAAGTCTGATATAATTAGCAATAATATTAAACAAATTGATGAAAATGTTATTCAACTAAAACGAGAACTATATATACCGGTTACTGTAGTCGAGATAATACCGTTARAMAATCCAATGTTGGTTTGTATGGATGACCAGTGCTGTCAATCTATCAATAGTAACGGAAAACTTGTTAAACATTATGATATTGTATGCGAAAGGAATTGTGACTTAAATTATGACTACAATAGTAATAGTGTGGGATATAAACGATTGCTTAATTGTAATGCATTCAAACAATCAGGTAATCAATTTTTTTTGTTTATATAATTTTATTAATTACACTAATTTTTACATTTTTATACCTTAAGTTAAGATATACTAAATTAGTATAATGTACGCTAGTATAAGATTTATTTTTAAAAATACTCTTAAAAATAACCCGGCATATTCTATTATTAATTTTTATTATCTAAATTTATTTTTAAAAAATCTATTCAAACATTTTTTTGTTAAAGAGTTTAATCTAATATCTTAATCAGGTCTACAATGCGATAATTGTAAAGTGTGTGGACATAACTATAAGAAACATATGTTTGTTAGATATGAAACCAGAAAAATAAAATCAGAGCACAGGGATGAAGACAAGCATTCAATTATCGAGAATATGGAAATGGAAAGGGATTCACAACAATATAAATTGAATGAACAAATGGAYGGACAGCAAAAATGTAAGGATGAAAGTACGGCTATCACTGAATGTATGGCACAGTTCGCTACTTTCATCAAACATAACGCATTGATGCCATTTAACGACGCTTTCAATGATTACATGGATTATCTAATTAGTGTTGAAGAGCACAGGGAGTCACTGTTACCTGAAGATAGTCAACAATCGTTACAACAATTGAAGCACACTATGAAACAATACCAACAAGAAAATTATGTCTTAAATGATTTGATAGGACGGACCCATAATTACAATGATGACATTACTTTGCATGATATTGTTAAGAGTGTTGAACAGATATGTCAATTACCTCTTTATGGTCAAATGATTAGAGAGCACCTGGATATCAATCAATCGATAGTCATAAATGGATATATTAATAGTGAAACAATTGCTGAAAACATTGTTAAAGTAGATTTGAAATCTGTCCGCAACTCATTGAAAACCAATAAGTTTCGCAAACTGTGGTCACAGGTGTTTGGTTTACGACTGCAAACTAAAGACAGTATTATGTATTCAGTTATAAAAAATGTAAAACAAAAATAATAATTTAAATTTATGTTATAATATAACATGTTTATAATATAATAAAAAATAGATTATATTATTTGAAGTATGTTTCTTATAATATAAAATTATATAAAATACATTTTGTAAATAGTTGATAATTTTAATATTTTAATTATAGTTAAAATAATACATTTATAATAAAAAACATTTTTTATACAAATAAACAATCTAAATTTTATAATCAAAATCAGTAATAAAATATAAATTATTACAAAAATTATAGCATAATTAATATAATCAATAGTATTATCGGTGATTGGAGTTTCATTGAATGTTTGAGTGTTACTAATATGAGTAGGTGTGCCCATAAAGTAAGGTTGCCAAATTGCATCACATTTAGACGTAAATAAATCATCAACAATAGTATTTGGATAATACGGATTAATCACTTTAATTTTGGTCACATTAGACTTTATCGGATCAATCATTTTTGGCCAGCTATACAACTGTCCATAAGTGGGATTACTTGTGAATAATAAAATAAATATTAAATGTCAATTAAAACACTAATATAATAGTTAAAACAAAAACAAACAAACAAAATACTTTTACCCATATTTTGCAAAGTTTGTCCACATTGTCATTACATCAGTGCTGAACTTGGTATCCCTTGTTCCCAATAGCACTGGTAGTCCAAAAACATGCTCTAATTCAGCACTATGGTGTGCCATTTGCTGATTAGTATGTTTGGTCAAACCAAGTAAAGGGATTAAAAATGATAATAGTTTAGCCCTATAAGTCCAATGATAAAAATATACGGCACTGTTAGTCGAAACTTTGGCAAACTGTCGACCATAATAATAGGTCGGACAAGTTATTGCCATATCGCCCATCAATTGCCAAAAAGCTTGAATCAATTCATTAGTTTTATTGATGTCGACACCATTGAGATAATGGTTGACTGTCTTGTTGTAGTCAATGGCATGCATTAGAAAATGGGTTTTTAAATATTGGATAAAATCGTTTTTATTTCTTATAAATTTATACATTGGAAAATAYATCAACGATATTAACGGTCCTTCATTTTTATTGACACCAATCAATATATCGATATCTTTATATATATATAAAAAATTTTATAAAATTAAAATACAATTATATAAATATTAATAAATAGTTATTATATTTTTAAATATTTGAAATATAAATGCATAAAATACAACAGAAAAAACTGTTGTTATATAGAAACTATAAAATTTATAGTATAAATAGATAAAGAATTAATAGTTAATATACTGTATATATATAGTATTTATAATAAATAAAAATAATAAGTAGTTATTTAATTAATTGTTGAAAATCAAAATTACTAATAGACAATGTCGTGTTGTTTTTGATTAAATGTGTATTAATTAGATTAAAATGTTAATAAATCAAAATTTATGCTAAATTATTGATAAATACATTATTTTGTTTTAACCTTTATTAAAGTTTCCCGTTTTAAATGCTTGTTGAGCACTGATAGGCAAATAGTGAGTTTGTAGTAATGGAAATGTATATTTCATTTCATAGCTATTTATAGCCAATGCGTCGACTTTTCTTAAACAGTCTAACCATTTGTTGTCTGTGTTATCAACGGAACAGTTAAACGATTTGGCCATTTGTTTGGTATCATTGAATACCAAATTTTTTGATAATAACTCGACACTGTTAGCCTCTAACAAATGTATTGATCCGCTTTGCATTATAGCCCTCCTAAACAAACCTCTTGCTTGCGGTGAAATGATATGAGCCGATATTGATATACTTCCGGCGCTTTCGCCAAATATTGTTATCTGATTGGCGTCACCACCGAAAATATTTATATTATCTCTGACCCATTGGAGTGCCACAAGTTGGTCATATAGTCCTTGATTTCCAGGAACATCATCGGTACCGCCATATAGCCAACCAAACGGACCAACTCTATAGTTAGCTGTCACTAACACAACATCATGTTTGGTCAGTGCATATCCTGTATATATTGGCGGCCAATGTATTGACCCTAACTTAAAAGCRCCGCCATATATCCAAAACATTACTGGTTTTAATGTTGAATTATTTAATGTTTTATCAGTAGATATATTATTACTGATTGGCATATTTGGTGTCCAAATATTAATAGTTAGACAATCTTCACTGGGGTCTGGCGTTAATTTATGAACGAACATGAAATTTTGAAAACATGACTTTCCAAAATCTGTACCATCAATAATATCCTTTAATTGTAAATAGCTTTTTAGTTATAATTTTAAACAATATTAATTTTTAATATCAATGTCATAGTCTTTATATATTGTAATTAATTTATTAAATATAATATTACTTTTTTTGGTTGTTTAAGTGGTACAGTCTTAGCAAATCTCAACTCATTGATTGGTGGCTCAGCGTATGGTATGTTTAAAAACTGGTAGGTTTTGTGACCAAATATATCCAATTGTTTCCCCCGTATTGTACCAGACGTGGTGTTTACATAAACGTCATATGAAAATAAATTAGCAATTTTTGCCAAATTATAAAATAGGTGTAATATTTTCATTTTACTAAACAAAACAAATATGTTTATATTAAATTATATTAATATTTGTTTTACTTAAATGCAACATTAAGTAATATAATAATTTTAATATTTATTTTGATTAAAAAATAATATTAAAAATTACATTTATGTGTTTTAAAATGTTAAACAGATTTTTGTAGTAACTTTACTTTAAACATAATTTTAAATGTAAATACATTTTGCGATGATTTTATTATTTATTTTATGATTTAGCAACTTTTATTACAATAGATTTTTAATTAGTAATTTATGTTAGATTTAAGTTTTAAAATAATTTATTTAATTAGAATAATGTTTAGACCAAACAATGTTTTATAATTAACAAATTTAGAGTAATTATAAGTTTATTAAAACATAAAAATTGATAAAATCTACAATACTTTTTATATAATGTATAAATAATAAATCTTTTTAAAATAAAATTAAATATACTAATTGTATTTATCAACAAACAAAATAGATTAATTGATTTTATAATACACTTAAATTTATTCATTAATAATTATAGATATAATAAGTAAATTAACTAAAATAAAACATCATTTAAGAGTAAAATAAACTGATTATTAGAATTAAAATTAATAAAACAATGTTAAAATATAAATATTATAACAAATATTCCATAACTAAACATTTAGTCTAATTTTWCTATAAAATCTATATTATTTTATAAACTACTTTATAATTAAATATAAAAAAAACTGTATTTATTTTAAATACAATTTTAATTAATTTAATTTGCTTTTTTATTAATTTGATTATTTTTGTTGAATAATTTTTCAATTTTAGCAATTGGCATTTCAAACATGCTATACGTTAAATAGCTAATAAACAAACTGAGCACTGTAAATCCCAAATAGGTGATTACCTAGACATTAAATTATTTTAATAATAATACAAAAAAATTAGTCATTGTTAGTAAGTATTATAATATAAAAATAATAACAAAATTAACAAATGATTACCAGATTAAGTGGATCCAAATATGTTGGCTGTCGTGCACTGAATGTAATCAATAATAATAATGGATAATGAAATAGATAGGTATGAAATGATAGTCGACTCAATGGTACCAATGCTGGCCATGAAAGTACTCGATTGACAATACCTCCCTGTCCTGTGGCACAGGCATACAACATATATGACCAACAGATAGCCCAAACAGTACGATGAGTTGAACCATATAATACACTTAGAAAGTTATTATAACTGTAACCCAAATACCAGAAATATGTTGTGGAAACTATCGCAACATTTATGCCAATACATAATATCCATAATAATATATTTATTTGCTATTTTTATAAAATAGATATCATATATTAATTTTTTAAATAATATATAACAATTTTAATAATAACTTAACCCATTTGATATTAATTTTGCCAAATTTATTATAAATATAAGCCATTAATATGCCGACACAATATGGAGGTAAACGACAATATGTCGAAAAAAATATTTCGTTAAAAATTGGTGCAGTGCTGTAATAAATATAAAAAAAATWATAGCAAATTTATAAATTAATTATTAAAAATATTTAATATTAAATTATATTGTAATATACTTCATATATTTGAAATCAGTTGGCGGATATCCATAAAAAATAATTTTGATAGCAATAGCTGTCCATGCTACTAAAATAAGACCAATATTTATAGCTATACCTAAATATTGTTTTCTGTAAATATTTTATAAAATTTTCAAAAAATATATAATTAAAAAATTTCTTWTACAAATTTTTTTACTTATACCTAATATCATTGAATGCCAATAATATTATGAAAATGTTTGACACTATAAACATTTGCATATCTACTGCCAAATACCACGTATGACTTATACACTAAAATATAGTATTAAATTAATTATGAATTTGCAAATCAAATAGCTTATAAATAAAATAAATTCAATAACATTGTTATAAATGTTTTAAAGTTTATAAAAATAACTATTTTTATAATTAAATTATTTTTTACTATAATTGTGCTGTTTTAAATTTTAAAAAATCCCTTAGATATATGAAAAAAATTACTGAATAAATATCTGTTTGTCCACTTTGAATAATATTATTTAAATAAATTAAATTAGTCCACCAACTGGTTGATTGTGACTGATATAAGTATTGAAACCAAAGCGGACCCGAAGCCATAACTTCCAATAATTTGGAAAATCCAATCATTGCCAGCAATGATGGCGTAAGTCTAATATAGCGATGAATTATTTTTCTAAAGATATTTCCGACATATTTACTAATTGTTGTTTGTTTTGTATCATTGATAACACTGTATGCGCACAGAAATCCTGATAATAATAAAAATATATCGACCCATAGCTCGACATTTGTTACAAATTGCATCATAAAAGACGACTGCAATCTAAAGACCTCATTTACATTCATTACTAGTAATATATATATATAAAAAAATATAAAAGATATTATTTTGTGAAATTTATTTTATAATTAAAATTGTATTACCAAATGAGTGCGATGTATCAATAATATGACTAAATATTATAATTAATAAACAAATAACACGTAAACCATTAAAACAAGTGATTGTATTTATCGGCTGTTTTCCTACTGTTAGTAATTGTCGTGTATTTGTGTACAATGAAAATGCAACCAATAATTGAATCCATTTGTTTGATGAAACTAATGCTAACAATTTATTTTTTTTTTTAAATTAATAAATAAATTATTTATAAAAAATTATCAAAATTTTACATCCAAATTGCCAATCGATAATTGTACCCAACATTATTAAAATACCAATTGAAACAAAACAATAACTAATGAGAAATATTTAATGTTAAATAAAAACAAAAAATCAAACATTTAAAAAAACAAAATATTTAGATATAAATTATTTTTTTAATAATTTAAGTTATTTATATGTTATTAAAGGTAATTGTAACATTTTTATTAAGTTAACTTTTATTAGTTTAAAATAAATAAAATTTTCTTACATTATAAGTATGTGATGCCATTTTAATGTGTTATTTTTAGCAACACTACAATTTGCAATTGATAAAGATATATCAAAATTATTAGAAACTAAAATTAAAAGAAATAATTAATTAATTAAAGTTAAAGTATTTATTTTTAAAAAGTTTAATTAATTACATGATTGAAGAACTGTATTCAAGTCGTGTGCATTGCATGACTGAGGAAAACAAATACCAATAGTTGTGGGAATCATATGTTTATATTCATATAATATCTGAATAGAAATGTTTAAAATTATTGATAAATTAATAATAAAATAGTAATGAAATGCAAATAATATTTGTTTAATAATAAATAATTTTATTATAAACTTTATTAAAATAAATGTAAAATATTTATATTATAAGTACCGTATTTTTTAATATTAATTTTTCAAAGAAATAATTAATATCGATATTGAGTGTACAATATTGTGCATTCAATTTGTGTAATTGTTTGTCAATCATTAAGTCTGATTTATGGTCAATGCATTCACTATAATGGCCAACATATTGGAAATTTCCTTTATTAATACCGGTGCCGATGACAGCACTTGAATCAATCACTAATTATAAGATAATAAATTAAAAATACATTTTTAAATACTTGTTTTATAATATTTTTATTAATATAATTAAATACATTGAAATGTWGTTCTGTCGTCGGGATGTTTGACCAAATAGTCCATCACTTGTTTGCATTCATGGCTTACATTGGATTTACTAAAATGTGAATACAATTGTTTGACAAAATAGTGATTTTCATATATAAGATTTGATTCAATAGATTTTGTTGTTTTAAACAAACATATAAACAACATTAGCATAAAATAAATGTATAAATTTAATTTAATTSTTAACATTTTTAATTACAGTTAAATTATATAAACTTATAAAAACTAATTTATATTTTATTCTTGTCTTATAATGCAAATATATTGTTAATAACTGTATGAAATACAAACAAACTATGATATATGAAAACTATTTGTAGTATAATTTTTATAGAAAATTTAAAAGCTAACAAATATTTTAGTTGAAATTTACTACAATGATTGTGAATTTTTTTCAAATAATCATAAATCCGCATTAATTACTTTTATAGTTAAAGTGATATATTATAAAATTTTTTTATTATAAATGTGCTTACAAATTACATATCTTTTATAGACATTGTTTAAATGTTTTTAAAGTAAAAAATTAAGAAAGTTTTTAAAAATATGCAATAATTTTTTTATATTTACACTGACAAAAAATTATAAATCACTAATATAATAAAATAATAAATTTATTATTTCTATAATAGCATATATTAAATATAAATAAATAACAAAAAATTAATACAAATTAAAAATAAATATAGTTTTAAAAAATAATATTTGATAAAATAAGCAACAATGTCAAAATCATCTGTTATAATAAATTAATTATAATATTATATTTTGCGTAAAAGTGTTATTTAAACATATTTGTTTAAAAAATCAAAATTAAAACATAATTAATTGTATATTTAATACGTATAATTACTTTTTAAATGTAATTAAAATTTTGATTATAATTATTATATATATTATTAGTTTTTTGTTGTTAAATGTTGTTATCATTTAAATTTAGTATTTTATTAGTGAGGTATGATTTTTCCAATGTAACTAAAATAATAATATAATAAATAATTGATGGAATAACTAATTTATTGCATATTATTGAAAAAAAAGAAATCAAATATTTTATATTATTGTTAGGACTTATAGGTTAGCTCTCAATTCCATAAATTTTTGTGATATTATTTACTATATGAATAACAATCAAAATAAAATTTAATATAATATAAAATTTGTTTTTCAAACATTATAATAAAATGTGTTATTTAGGGTTAAATAAATGTTAAAACAAGAAAATAGATACCCTTTGGAATTCCCAGAAAGCAGAGAAAATAAGGAACTTTTGGAAAATCAGACAAATCATTACTAACCCTAATTGTCATACATATTGAAAATCATGTTTAATAATACCAGTGACAAGATTTAATGACTAATAAAATTAATAATTTTATTGAAAATAATAGTTTTGAAAATAAATCTCTTTTTCAGATTATTTCAAAACTATGTAAATTTGAATATATTATTGCATAAAAATATTATTATTATTTAATGTCGACAAAAATTAATAAATAATGAAATTTAATTAGTTTTTATCAAACATATATATTTTAAAAGTAAACTTAAATTTATTTATTATTTATTATAATAAAATCTTTTAGTTCAATATACAAAAATTCAATATAATAACATTGTAGTTAAGTGTGTGAATAAAATTATATAAACATATTACATCAAAATTATGTTTGAAACTTATTTCATTAGAAAACTATAATATTAAAGATTTATATTTTGATTAAATAATAATACAATAATACTGTAATATCTAATCGATAAGATTTTTACTTTAATATATTATATATATTTATAGAATGCTTAAGTAAACAAAAACAAATAAAATACTTAAAAACAGTTAATAAGTATTTCACATTAATATACTGTATTTTATCATAATTTGTGTAATTTTAAAAAATATTTTTTGCGATTTTCTTAAAAATATTTTTAGTATATTTGACAATTGAATTGTCATTGTTAACTTTGATAACATGTTGATCAGCATGGTGATGTATTTTATTGCTGATTGTCAATTGCATTTGCATCAACTCCTGTATCTTTTTGCCATTTATGGGCAATTTGTTTAATCTGTTGACACAATTATCGATATCCTCGAGAGTAACTGTTTTATAATTATCTCCTTTTTTCATTGCGTCTAATATACTGTCTCTTTCGTGTTTGTATTGTTCTAACATATCCTTCAATTGTTTTACTGATTGTTGTTTAACTCCCGAAACCAGTCTATTGTTTTGTTCTTCATCTCTGATCAGATGTTCGACATAATCCATAAAAGCGTCGTTAAAAGGGGTCAATGCGTTGTGTTTGAGAAATACGGCAAACATAGCCATACATTCATTGATAATTTTGCTCTCTTCGGCCAATAGCTTCTGTCTGTCCATCAGTTCATTAACTTTATCTCTTTGTGCATCTCTGGCCTCTTCATCGCTGGTAATCAATGCATATTTAGCTTCATCTCTACGCTTTGTCTTAATTTTTCTGGTCTCATAATTGACGTGTAGGTGCACCATATAACTGTGTCCACATGTTTGGCAGTAATCATGTTTTATACGTTCGGCGTAATGAACAGTTATAAGACCCGTTACGGGATCGGCAACACATGAATTGTCGGGATGTAGATTTGCATCTTCGGGTCGAACCTGTCTATCAGGACCTATGATAATAATATTTATTATAATAATAAAATCAAACTAATTATAATTGAATGTTTGTCACCGGTTTGCTTATATTCATTGAATGCCTGACAATCAAGTAGTCCTCTATTGCCGATAACATTTCCATCATCATATTTTAAATAGCACTTCCAATGGCAAACTGTCTTATAATGTTTGACGACATTTCCGTCAATATTTTCTGATTCACAACAATTATTATCGGAACAGACAGTCCGCGGATCAGTCAATGGTGTCGACGCTATATCTATGACCGGTATATAGAGTTCATTCATCAGGTCTTTAATATTGCCCTCAAAATGCAATATTCTTTGAGTTCTTAGTTGACATTCTTTAAGATTGTCGGCAATGTTTTTACTGATATCAGCCATCGGTTGTGTCAACAATTTAATGGTTCGTTTGGCGTCATTGATAGATAGGGTGTCCATAACATTGTGTGGTTTTATTTTGCATATATAAGTCATCATTCGCTGACATTCATCAACAGATCTGTTATTAAAAAATGTTAAAAATAATTATAATAAAAGTTATTAACTAAAATAAATAATAAAAATCACCTGGACCAACTTGTTTCATAATCGGTTTCAACATTTTTATTAAAAACCATATTATTTGGTTCACTGACTGCTACTAAATAGCGAAACGACTCGTTGTCAAAACAAAATGTATTGTTTTCATCAAATCTGATCTCAACATTAGGTGGTCTCTGTCTCACTTGTGTCAGTACGTCCTCCAGTGCTGCAGCTGTATCTCCCGGTTCATAAAAAGTACCCCGGGCATTAGTAAATACAAACATTATATTATTTGCCGCAGATTTGCTCAAATGACACAACAATTCAAGTATACAATACTTGAATATAACCCCAACTCTGGCCTCATTTGGCTTTAATAGCACACAAATACCGTTAATAACACTATAATGCGATATAAAATTAAGTATATTTTGCATATTTTGGTTGTCTTTATCCAAGCCTTTAGTGTCAGCAATACCGGGCGTATCGATAATGTTGAGCTGATGATCGCCCAAATCAAATGTATAACAGCGCGGGTATTGTGTGGCCGATTCGGTAGTTTTTTCAGTATTTTCCGTATTAGTTGGGACACCAAATGTCATAAGTTTACGTTTTTTGGTTTTTGGATCCGTTAACGTAAACTTTGCCGGTATTAAACAAAACGCTCGGTTAACGGCATCACTCATTTTGTCGAAAAACAGGTAATTGACAAATGCATTGATAAATGTTGATTTGCCGACACCTGACTCCCCCAATAATAATAATGTTATTTGCTGTTTAGTTTCCTATTATAAGATCAAAAAATATATATTTTTAAAATTTCATTAATGATTAGAATTATAATTAATAATAACTTACAATTTTCAATTGTTTGGTCAAACTATTAGTTAATTTATCAATTTCTTGTTGTTTTTCAGCCATTTGTTAATCTATTATAAAGATATTCATATATTATTAAACTTTTATAACATTTATAAATTATACTTTTTTATAGTTAAGTTATTATTAAACAAATCACAATAATAATTGCTTATTTTTAATATAGCAGAGTACTTATATCTGATAATATTTTCTTATAAAAATTGATATAATTATAAGCAAACTTATACTAAATTTATACAATTCAAGTAAAACTTCAATTTATATCTTTTCAACTTAACGTTTATCTAATAAAACCGCACATTAATTGATAAAAACTCATAATACACAAATTAACTTAAACTTATAAATTTTTATCAAATCTACAATATTTTAATGATAGTTAAAGTGTTTGTTAAAAAATAATATAATATAATATTATATTATTGTCATAAATTATAGAATTGAATTAATAAATTGGATTAAATAAGTTTAGTTATTTTGATTTTTGGATTTATTTTAGTGTTAGTGATTATATATAAAAGTTGTTTAGATTATATATACTGTATATACTTTAAATATAACATTAAATAAACATTATGTGTATATATTATGATAAAATTACAGACATTAGAGTAGTCACGTAATACTAAATATTTATATTTGAATAAATAATAATGTAATATTACAGTTAACATTATTTTAAGCATTAAATAATCTTTTTTATAATATATTGCATTATTATTTATTTTCTGTAAAATATTTAGCAATTTATTATTTTTAATTTATTTTTATAAACAATTATATTTCAATGTTATATATTATTAAATTTACTCTATATATATATTATTATACATAATTATACATTATTTTAACTGTACTTTGATATATAAAAGTGTTTTATTTTGCAATAATTTTTTTATAGATTAAAAATTATCTAAACATTATGTATGAATACTAATAAAATAAAAATAAAAATAATAGTTAGATCATATTTTATAATTTATAAAAACTTGTAAAATTTAATATATCATAGAAATATTTAAATAATTTTAAAACCTAATACATTTTAATATAATAAAATTAATAAAATATTTGTTTGTTTGTTTGTTTTTAACTAAGTAATATAATAATAATAATAATATTTAAATAGTTAATTAAGTTTAGTAATTTAAAATGCATAATAAGGTAAGTGATTTTTTTTTGATATATTATTTAATAATTTTTATTATATTAATTTAATTATTTAAAGAAAGAAATAACACTATTATTATTGGGCGAGTCTGGTGTCGGCAAATCAACATTTATCAACTCATTTGTCAATTATTTGCTATTTAATAGTTTAAGCGATGCAATCAACCGAATGGTATGTTTAATACCGGCTAAGTTTACGTTAACGGATCCGAAAACCAAAAAACGTAAACTTATGACATTTGGTGTCCCAACTAATACGGAAAATACTGAAAAAACTACAGAATCGGCCACACAATACCCGCGCTGTTATACATTTGATTTGGGCGATCATCAGCTCAACATTATTGATACGCCCGGTATTGCTGACACTAAAGGCTTGGATAAAGACAACCAAAATATGCAAAATATACTTAATTTTATATCGCATTATAGTGTTATTAATGGCATTTGTGTGCTATTAAAGCCAAATGAGGCCAGAGTTGGGGTTATATTCAAGTATTGTATACTTGAATTGTTGTGTCATTTGAGCAAATCTGCGGCAAATAATATAATGTTTGTATTTACTAATGCCCGGGGTACTTTTTATGAACCGGGAGATACAGCTGCAGCACTGGAGGACGTACTGACACAAGTGAGACAGAGACCACCTAATGTTGAGATCAGATTTGATGAAAACAATACATTTTGTTTTGACAACGAGTCGTTTCGCTATTTAGTAGCAGTCAGTGAACCAAATAATATGGTTTTTAATAAAAATATCAAAACTGATTATAAAACAAGTTGGTCCAGGTTATTATTTATGATTTTTATTATAAATATATAATTTATGAAATTCTTACTTTATTTAACATTTTATACTTTTTTATATTACGTATTAATTACTAAAAATTTGATTAATATTTCACTTTAGATCATCTAAAGAGTGTAAACGTCTAATAAAATACTTTGAAAACATTGAACCACACAATGTTTCTGATACTATATCTTTGAATTATGCAAAATGTATGATAAATACATTGTTAAAGACCTTAACGGATATTAACAAACATATTGGTATTATTGGAAAAGAAAACGAAATACGGACCGACAATATCGGAACAATTGATGAAAATATTGAACTAATTGGTCGTAATCTATACGTTCCCCGCATTGATGTCGAGTCCCGATCACTAAGTCATCCGATACTGGTTTGTATTGATGAACACTGTTGTGATACTATCGTAAGTAATGGTCAATTACTGAAACATTATAAAAGTGTTTGCAATAGTGATTGTCCAAAATCACATGAAAACAGTATTGTGGGTGATTTGAGCTTGCTAAATTGCCAAGCTTTCAATTTAGGTAATTATTTTTTTTTATTTTATAATTATTAACATTTATATAAAACTTGGTTGTTAAATCATATATAAGTTATATTAAACTAATAGTTTGACTATTAATTTAAATACTTTTTTAAAAAACAAATTGAATTTGTTTAGAGATAAAGTTTAATTGTTTTTTTTAAATAAATTTTCTGTAATTAAAGAAACAAAACAAGATTATTGTCGAGTTTGTGGACACAGTTATATGACACACGTTCACAGTAACTATGAAACTATAAAATATATTTCAGATTTCAGAGATGAAGATAAGTTTGCAATGATGACCACCAATAATAAGGAACTGGATATAGAAAAAGATAAAATTGTTGAACTGATGGACAAACAGAAGAAATTGGACGAAGAAAGGGATGTTATAAATAAATGTATGACACAGTTATCGAAATACATTTTACTTAACTCATTGACCCCTTTTAACGACGCTTTTGAGGACTATGTGGAACAGCTGATCGATGGTGACAAACATAATGACTCACAGATGGCTACTAGTGCTGTAATGGATGAACAATCTGTACAGAAATTGAAGGATATATTACTAGAAAGCAAATATGAAAAAATAGTTTTATTAGACTCAATGAAAAATATGGAAAACAATAATGAAATTATCAATTTAGACAATATTGACGATTGTATTAAAAATTTATTTCAATTACCTATTAGTGGGAAATTTGTTAACAACTATTATACACAACAATTATTAAATCGCAATCATAAAATTGATCATGATAACAATGTTATCCAGTTTAATGTTATAGAAGCTAGACGTATAATTATAATGGATAATATAATGCTATTTTTCAAAAAATATTGTTTTATAATCTAAATCAGTGATCAAAATTAAACTTTATAAAACTAAATTGTACAAATAAACTAGTACATATTAAATGAGTAAGTGTTAAGTGTTTGTTTAACTTACTCACTGTTTGTTATAAATTATGAAAATTACTATTAAATATCTGTTAAATTAGTTATGTTATATATGTATCACAAAGTTATTATGATAACACTTAATTTTGATCACTGATCTAAATGATCTAATACTGTGTTATTATTAATGTTATTATTAATAAAAATAAAAAACATTTATTAAATAAATATTACTTATAGAACTATAACAAAAATTCTTTATTATATATATTGTATTATATTAAAAAATACTATATAATATTTTTAGAAATTATTAAAAATAAATTTAAATTTAAGGAATTAAACAATAATATTAAAGAATTATCATGGTTAATTTTTAAGATTATTTTATTTAGTTTTAAGATTATTATATCAGTCATTTTTACGATGATTTTTCAGCTGATTTAGTCTCCAAAACGCTCATTTGATTGTGCACTTTGTCTAACATATCCTGATATTGTTGTCTCATTTGCTCCGGTATGTTATCCCAGTTGTCTTTCATCTGTTTTTCCATGTCTACCATATTGTCGTGCATTTTATCAATGGCATCGGTTCCCTGATCTATAGCCTGATCCACTTGTTTGACAAGATCTGAGTGCCATTGTTTGATGGAATCTTCGCCACCGGAGATAGCATTCTGTGTTCGTTGAGATAGTTCTTTCATACTGTCTTTCATGGAATCCATCCACGAATTAAGTGATCCCTGAGCTGATGATAAGCCCTGGTGTATGCCATCACCAGCTTTGTTGATGGCATCGCGCATTGAATTGCCAATGTCACTTAAATCAAAACCTAAATAGTAATATTAGTAACAGTTTTTTWTTATTTTTATAATTTTTTAAAAAAATAATAAATAAATATAAAATAATTTTTTCATTACCATAATTTACAACAAAGATATCAAAAATTAAAATTACAGCAATTAATGTTTTTGACATATTTATTTTTGTATTATAATTTATTTATTAAATAGTTTTTTTTAAAAGAAATTATTGCACTTAATAAATAGGAAAATTTTGATAAATGAGAAATTTTTAATAAAAATAATTTATTTTAACAGTGATATTTAATTGGTAATAATTATTTTGTAATTATCAAAAAACATCAAAATGTTTATTTCATTTGATTTAATGTTTAACAGTTGAGTGAACATCAAAATTAAATGTTGAGTACAAACAAGTTCTCATAATTATTTTTAAATATATATATATATATGATATATAAATATTTGTTTTATCAAAATAAAAATCAAAAAATGAATCATAACTATTACCACTATATTTATTCAATTTGAATATAAATTAAGTTTTTTTATTTGTTAATATAATTTTAATTTATGAATAATAACTTTTTATACACATACACATTATTACAAGGCTAATAMTTTTAGAAAATACAAATTATGCAATTTATATAATCATGAATAGTTATATTATATTTTAATTTGTTGCTAAATAATTAAAAAATATCAATATTGAAAAAATAGATAAATTACTGTATATTTTCTTAATTAGCTGTATTTGTTTGCCCATTGGACTGMACTCTATCTCTGAATTGTTGCAATTTRTTATTGACATTATCTATTAATTTTTGCGTACGTTCTCTCATATTGGCGTCCATAGTCTGGGCATCCCTATTGAGCTGTTGGCCCAACTCTACTAATCGKGCRTCCATTTGATCCCATGCCTGACCACCATTGTCCAGTGCCTCGTTGATAGTGCGGTCCAAATCGGCGCACCAATTAGTCATACCATCCTCGCCCTGATTGATGGAATCCTGAGCTCTTTGTGACCATTGTTTTACATTGGTCTTCATCTGTGCCAACCAGTCCTGTGAGGCTACCTGTGCCCGATTGATACCTTGCTGAAAATTTTCCTGTGCCCTATTGACTGCATTGCGCATATGATTACTCAAATCGGACAGATCTATCAATGACAGCAAAATTGAAAAAATAATTATCAAAAGAATATTATGTTTTAATAAGTKTTATAAAAATCAATAAATACCTGCATTTACTGMAATCAAACAAAACAATAGTATGAAATTAAAAACTTTTAACATATTTAACATTGTTTTATTTTTTAAAATAACTACAAGAATTTAATTATTTATCAAACAAATGAAATATTACGATATATTTATAGATGAAATTGTTTTTATTTGTTTAATTGTTAATGTCTTTAGACAAATACGGCAATAAGTTTTTCAAGATAATCAATATTTGTTTAATTTTCTATGCATGATAAAACAGTTTAAATGATAATTGTTTAGTACAAACAAATTATAAAATACAATCAATAGTTGTTATTTTAATATTTTAAAGATATTAATTTGTTTTTTAATTTATATACATAATTTATCTAAAATTTTATTATATTGTGCATCAATAATAATAATAATAATAATAGAAAATTTGTAGTTATGGTAAACAATTTATTTATTTCAATAAAAATGTGATTGCACCAAAAATTAATTATTAGTTTATCATTAGTTATTATTGAATATAACTTACTTTTTAATATTTTACTTTGTGTACTTACGTTGTTTAATAAAATAACATTTAATTAATGATTAGCAGTTAATTTTTGAATAATTAGATTATAACATATCTTATTTATATTATATAAATATGTTAATTATTAAACCATAACGTTAGCAGCCAGATGTCCGCCATCGACMACAACAATACTGCCGGTTATAAACTCTGCCCCATCACTGGCCAGATATGCCACAGTGTTTGCAATATCTATTCCCTGTCCAGCCCTGCCTACCGGGTATTTCYGTCCAAATAATTCATAAATTTCCTTTTCCTCATTCGGTAATACCTTAAGGCTTTCATCAGGCATTACAGTACCAGATCTTGTGATATAATGARAGAGTTAATWAATATAAATATATATATATATATTACAGTATATAATTATATTTATAATAATAATTATATATTATGTGTATTATAAATTATGTAGTGATAAATGTTAATATAATTTAATACATGATTGCATTGACTCGTATACGTTTTGGTCCCAACTCTGCGGCCATACATTTCGTAAACATATCGACACCKGCTTTGGACACACAATCCGACGACACGCCGACAATCTATTGTAACAATTAATTAAATTATTATAACTTTTGGTACTATCGATAAATTTATTGTCATATAAATTAAGATAAAGTGTTTGATCATAACAAACAAACAAACCGATTGTTTTGATTCAATACTAGATATGTTAATAATAGTGCCCCGAGTTTTGGCCAAATAGTCAACACATTTGTGAGTCATATATACTGATGAATACAACATTAATTTTATTGCCGATAAAAACTTAGACATAAACTCGTTATCAGTTACTTCACAAAACCTAATATCTCCGGCATTGTTGACCAATATATCAATTTTGCCAAATGTTTGAACAGTTTTCTCKATCAGTTGATCGCACTCTTCTTCTTTAGTAATATCGGCCACGACTTGCAATGCTTTCAATTGTTTCGGTGACTGATCGGTACACCGTTTGGCCACTTCGGCTACTCGATCGGCATTACGACCGGTGACCACCACATTGGCACCCGATTTAGAAAAAAGTAAAGCAATGGCCGAACCKATRCCCGAACTCGAGCCAGTTATCAGAGCTACCTTTCCTGTGAAGTCATATGAAACCGACATTTTTATGATATTTAAAAAAAAGTTTATATATATTATTTYTWAAATTAAATAATAATTAAATATTKTATTATSAAAAATACACGTATTTAATAATTTTAAAACAATAAATAAATTATTATAAAAATTTAATTATTAATATTTCAGTTATTTCTAGGTCAGTATGTATTAGTAGAAAAATATAATGAGTTTGTAGTTTTTCCATAAATAATTTAYAGYTAAATAAATAAATAAAAGTTTGTCAGAAAAAATWATTAAAAATTTTTATCAAATGGTAAAATAAAAATTATTATATTTTATAACACATAAATAAAAAATAGGAATTGTTTATAAAATATGTATAACAATAAATTTATAAATTAAATAAATTGTTCACAAAATTTATTGACAATTACAATGATATCGGCAGTAATTATAATAATATCTTTAATAKTTTTTGTTTAAAACACAAATAACTAGAAAATAAATTTATGTTTTGTGTAATAATTTGTTAATTTTAATTTACATTAAAATCAAACAGAAACGAAAGTTGTCTTCTCTGGTCTTATTAAATGATATATAAATGATAATAAAAATAAATAAAAGATATAACTATAAGTAAAATGATTGAAATAATTTTAATTTAATACTATAATTATAAGTTATAATTTATAATTAAACTATACAGTATATAACTATTATATGATATAACATTTAATAAATTGTTTTACATTTAATAATTTTTACTCATTTAGTTCATATGACGTTTTACACTTTAATATTAATTGTTTAAAAATTCAAATAAAAAAATATCTTATTACCGTAAAATCCTGTTTTTCCTCATATGAAATTAAAAAATGAAAAATAAAATTTTCATACGGTAAAAACTCGCATTTTTTACCACCTCTGGTAAATTAAACGAGTCTGTGGAAAACAAAATTGGGGGAATAGGGAACTGTAATGACCGATAATTAACAGTAATCTATTTAAAAACAGGTATATTTTTATATTACCGGTAATTAAGTAATTAGTTATAACTAGTTATGCATTTTCGGGAATTCCCGAAACATTATTATTTATTAAATCGTCGGGAATTTAATATTTATAGAAATATGGATACATTTTAAATCAAATAAACGTCTTCTATTTTTCCCGATTTCCCCGATTTTTGGTGTATTTTGAGAAAATCCCGAAAAAGACCGAAAAACAGTATTTAAGTGTGTTTTCCCGAAATTCTCTAAATATAGATTGACTTAACACTTAAATACATATTGAATACAATATTAGCGGCACATCTAATAAAATATTAACTTAATATCAATGAATATGACGATATGTATAATAAAAAACACACTGCAAATAAAATTTTGCTATAAAAATTGTAGTTTTGTATATATTGTAAACATATGTACTGTAATACTGTACTCAATTAATGTATTTTTTACAATGGGTAAAACAAAGTTTTTTTATAAACTAAAACTAAATGCATTTTTATAATCAATTAATCAATTAAAAACTGAAAATAAATTATTTTTAACAAATATAACCGATTTTATGACATAAACTATTTATTATTAGTACTATAAGAAAAAAACAAAATTTAATTTCCCGATTTATATCCCGATTTTGTCATTTTTTACTCCCGATTTCCCGACCGATTTTGGCCATTTAAACTCCCGAAGATGCATAACTCTAGTTATAACAGTGTTTAAAAATGAATGACATATGTATACATTTACGGTATTTTTACATATTATAAATCGATAAATACAATTGTAGGCAGCATATTAAAAGGGCTTGGAACATTAGAGACAAATACAAGGGGTGGGAAATCTTGAAAAAATATATAAAAACAGGGGTGGTAAATTATTATTCAAAATAAAAAACTATATTTTTCATATGGTACAAAACTCGCATTATTCCCCATGACTTAGACATTTCCATATGGGAGAAAAACCACGATTTTACGGTGTTTTTGTTTTATTTTTCAATAGATTTTTATTAAACCTATATTTTTTGGTGATTCATATTAATATTAAATTCATTTATATAATACAGAATTAAACAATTATAATATWTATATTTTTGTAATAAATAGTAGTATTAGTATTATTTTTATTATAYTATAAATATCGTATATAAAATCAATGTTAAAATTTCWTTATTATTACTATTGTGGTAACAATAGGCTGTATTACAGTAATATTGTTTAACATAAATAATCGTAACATAAACGTACATGTTCATTTTATTGAGATAATATGTATTATAGTTTGACACTACAATAGATTTTTGTTTCTCAATACATTTTATCTAAGCATGCTCATTATTTTTTTATCAAAATTTAATTTTTATATAAATTTATTATTACATGCATCAGTATTTTTTAAAAAACAATTAATATATATTTTGAAATTAAAACTTTATGTTACAGTATATGATATTTAAATTGGATATTAATTGTGATAACTTAATATATTTTTTGTTGTATTTAATAATAATGTTTTCAGTAATATMTAGTCAACAATATTTGGTAATTATTGTATAATTAAATTATTAAAATTTTTAATTTTTATTACTTTATTATTTATTTTTAAATACTTAGATCACATATTATTTCAATGAGATGTCAATAGCATTGATATTATTAATGATTTTACTAATGATGTCAACAAATATTGCTAATAAAACATCAATCGCTAGCAATAATCACTATAACAACACTATGAATAACAAAATATTTTTAGCGCAAAATGTAAACTTTATTTTTCATTTAGTTATTATTCATAATATAATTGTAAATTTTTAATTATATTACAAATATTAATTATATATATATATATATATATATATTTCAATTATTTAAAAATAGACATTAACATCGATATTGTTGATAATTAATCTATATTATCTAACAATTGAAATCATTACATATCGGATCAATAGTTTCAAWAACTATACAGAAATTATAACACATTTTATTATGTCATTARTGTTTGTATGTAAAATATGTTTTTTTAAAAATAATTTTTACAAAAACTTTTTTTTATATTTACMAMTAAATAGATTTATTTAATAATTTTGATGAAAAATACAAATAATAGTCAATTGACGCCAACATYTCTRAGACTGTTTTGGACAACACTTGCCRTCGGATATATTTATAATMATAATTTTAATAATATWTTTGAAAATAGTCATAAATTTTTAGTAGATATATCTAATTCATTAACATTAGAACATTCATTACATATGWTATATTCTATAACAATATTTAGTCAAATGTTTTTGTCATATATTTTGCATTCAAAACAAATTAATGAAAATAATATATTTCCAGAAGAATATTCTCAAGTATTATACAGAATATATATATATATATATATAATAATACTATTAAAGTAATTAATTAAATAATGATTTTTATCTATTATTCATAGAATAGTTGTCCTGAAAGTCGGTCCTCTTTRTTATCTCGACTAACAGTTTCGTGGTTCACACCAATGATACTAAAAGGTTATCGACAACCGTTAACTACAGATGACATTTGGTCACTGGATAGGGATAAACAAATTGACAATTATATTAGTGATTACAATAAGCACTATAAGAAAAATGTTAAAAGAAATGTTGACTGTTTTATGCCAATACTATACACATTTTGGCCAACAATACTAACTTTGACGGGTWTTAAACTTATACAAGTATTATTATCATTTAGTCAACCAATAATATTGGGACGACTATTGACATACATGTCTACGACTAATGAGTCGACCGATAGTTATCAAACTGTTGGCTATTTATATGCATTCCTATTGTTTTTATCGCCTCTAATTGGTTTGGGTTTACTTGAATCTGAATTCAAAAAAAGAAATGTTATTATGATTATGAAAATTAAATCCTCTCTTATATCACTTATTTACAAAAAGGTATACAATTATTTTTTTTRATAAATTATATTACTTATTATTTTGTMAATTTAAAATTAATTTTATTATAATTTTAAAAAATTAATATTATAGTCAATTAGACTGTCGAGCTCCGGCCGAAAACACTATAGTACCGGTGAAATAATCAATCTATTAAACAATGATATGCTATACGTGAGCGCATTGTTCATATATATCAATCATCTATTGCTGGCACCGATACATATCGGTATTGGTATGACATTATTGTGGCAACAATTAGGTGCCGCCTCGTTGGCCGGTATGACCGTAATGTTGACCGTAATGGGTATCAATTCATTTGTTACTCGACGAGAGTACCGGTTTTGGGACAAAATACTTGAACTCAAAGACAAGAGAGTTAAGTCTATCGGCGAGATATTATCAAACATTAAGATACTTAAGTTGTATGCCTGGGAACCGGCTTTTTTGGAACGGGTTGTTAATGTTAGGGCTGAAGAGATGGACTGTTTGAAAACTATCCATAGATTAGGCTCAGCAGTTACAGCATTGATTTACTCTGGACCATTTTTGGTAAACTAAATTTATAATTTGATTTTATTATCATATATTTATTTAAAAAAATTATTGCTCTAATGTTGTACCGGACAGGTTAGCACAGTTAGCTTTTCAATGTTTTTACTCATTTCGGATAAAAATATATTTGACGCAAACAAGGCATTCGTATCGTTTTCATTGTTTAACATATTGAGTAAGCATACAAATAGATATMAAATTTAAAAAAAATATTTTTTAAAAACTATCTAGCTAAATTTAACATAATTTTATTTTCAAATAATCATATTATTTAAAATGTTAACAATATTATTTTTATCGTTAATATTTATATATTAAAGCTGGGCCATTGACTATGATACCGCCGACTATCACAGCAATAATTATGGTTTGTATTTTAAAATTAWATAAATTTTATGCAAACATCAAATTATTTTTTTAAAYGTTTACATTATAGTCGAAAGCATGTTTTMATAGGATTAATAAATTTTTAAAMAGCGATGAAATTAATGAACAATCGATCAAACATGAGATTAACGACAGGACACCTGTTATTGTGAGAAACGCTTCATTCAAATGGGTTAAAGAGTCTAACGATTCGGTACTAAAGGATATAACACTTGATATTAAAAAGGGTTCACTTGTGGCAGTTGTGGGTCAAGTGGGCTCAGGCAAGTCATCATTATTATCAACATTTTTGGGTGATATGGAGCTAACTAATGGCTCTGTTAATGTATGGGGAACAGTGGCTTATGTTTCACAAATAGCATGGATTAGAAATACAACTATTAAACAAAATATTTTATTTACCAATGAGTATAACAAAAAACTATATAACAGAGTATTAGATGCCTGTGCTCTAAGAGCAGACCTGAAAGTTTTGTCWGCRGGAGATATGACAGAAATCGGYGARAAAGGGATAAATCTTTCTGGCGGTCAAAAGCAAAGGGTAGCACTGGCTCGGGCTGTCTATTCCGGCGCTGATATCTACTTATTGGACGACCCGTTGAGGTATACTTATCTAACACTTTAKTMTATATATCAGTATTAATAAATTATTATATTTTTTAAAAATCAATAATCATATATTTATTCTCTATTACTTTCATATTTTACWACCAGTGCTGTAGACGCACATGTGAGCCGACAATTATTTGATGAGACTATAGGACCGAATAGTTTGTTGAAAGACAAGACACGTATTTTGGTTACACATAATCTGTCGATTTTGCCAAAAGTGGACCAAATTGTTGTCMTAAAAGACGGACGTATCTCTGAAAGCGGTTCTTTCGATACATTGATTAAACAAAATGAAGAGTTTGCTAACTTTGTTGCCGATTATCTAATAAAAAGTGAATCAAATACTGACAACAATGATGACAACAGTGAATATAATGCAGAACTCATAGCAAAATTGAGACAATCAGAAAACCTATTGATTGCCAACAGACAACTGTCTCGATATTTATCGGATGACAGTTCTCAAGACAAGTCAAMAACYCAACGACAACGACAAACAACAACATCACCTGATCTGTCCTTTTTTGAAAACAATGAGAGAAATGATAAAAATAAAGAACAACCGATACCATCGACAGATAAAACTAATGGCAAACTAATAGATATGGAGAAGTCAGAGACCGGTTACGTAAAACTATATGTTTAYCAATGTTTCTTACGTTTAATGGGTTACAGATCGTTCATCGTTGTTGTTGTCCTATATTTTATTAGCCACTTGTCTACTGTAGCATCTGGTCTATGGCTAAGTCAATGGTCTAACGATGCACTTGAATCAGAAGTCGCTGGTGATATCGGTTTGCGTTATCACCGTTTACTGACTTATTGTATGATTGGCCTAATCGAGAGCATCTGTATGTTTGTTGGAATGCTATCGTTGAGATTGATATGGGTTAGGGCAGCTCAAAATTTGCACAACAATATGATTAAACATGTAGTTAGAGCACCCATGTCCTATTTTGGTATAGTATATATCATTTATATATTTTGATAAAACTGTTATTACTGTTATTATCATACAATCCAATAGATACGACACCGTTAGCTCGTATAGTGAATCGATTTTCTCAAGACATGGATGTTATTGACGGACAGATAGTTTATTCAGTCCCCAGTTTTGTTAAAAACACATTTAGTTTAATTGTTTCGCTGATATTCATTAGTTTGGAAATACCACTCATATTATTGGCAATATTACCCATAATAGTCCTCTTCATTATCTGTCAGCGCATTCATATACCAAGTTATCGGCAAATCGGACGAATCAAAGCTACCACACATTCGCCGATTATGAGTCACTTTGAAGAATCGTTTAGCGGTACGACTACTATACGAGCCTTTGGCTCAACCGATCATTTTGTCAGAGAATCGCACCGTCATATTGACGCTTACAATGCCTGTGATTATCTGAGTATTTGTGCTGATAATTGGCTTAAAATACGGGTTCAGTTTCTGGGAAATATTATTGTGCTTATAGTTGCAGTGTTTGCCGTCATGTATAAGAATAGTCTATCCCCAGGAACGGCAGGTTTAACATTATCSTAYGCTATAAACTTTATTGGCATTTTGAGTATGCTAATCTCAATAATAGGCCACTTGGAAACACATATTGTTTCAATCGAACGGTGCCTACAATTAATGGATGTATCCGTAGAGGTATTATTTTAAATTATTTTTCTTATTTTTGTCGTATTTATAATAATCAAAATGTTTTTATTTTTTATGAAATATCATAGACTGAATTGTCTAAATGTGATTATAAATTAGCACCTGATTGGCCACAATCTGGACAAATATCATTCAACAAATATAGCACTCGGTATCGGCAGGGTTTGGATCTGGTGCTCAAAAATATAACACTTGATGTCAAYGGTGGTCAACGYTTGGCAATAGTTGGCCGAACCGGTGCYGGAAAGTCATCGTTAACTTTGGCAYTGTTTAGACTGATTGAGCCGACGACCGGYACATTTACTATTGATGGTATTGACTGTTCTCGTATTGGWTTAAATGAMTTGAGATCACGGCTGACTATTATACCACAAGATCCGGTGCTGTTTGCCGGTACTTTGCGACAAAATGTTGATCCGTTTGGCAATTATAAAGAAAATGAGATTTCGGATGTACTAGAGTTGGCACATCTCAAGACATTTGTCGATAATGAAAATGTTGGATTAGATTATGAAATACAGGAAAACGGTGAAAACCTGAGTGTCGGTCAAAAACAGTTGGTATGTTTGGCCAGGGCTTTGCTGAGGAAAAGTATGATATTGGTGCTCGACGAAGCAACTGCTGGTTTGTTTAAAAAAACKATAGCTAAAAAAATARTTAAAATTAATTATAATATTTTATTATTATTATAGCCATTGATGTGGAAACAGATGAAATGATACAAAARACAATCAGAAGAGAGTTTCAATTGTCAACTGTTGTGACAATAGCCCACCGATTGAATACAATTATAGACTACGACCGGGTKCTGGTGCTCGATAAGGGACAGGTAGTTGAGTACGATTCACCACAACGTCTACTCTCTGAWTCTAACTCTTTATTCTACTCTATGGCTAAACAGGAAAATATTGTTTAGTTTTATTTTTTTCAAAATATTTATTTTCAAAATCATAAATATAKTATTATTTAATTATTACAGTAAGTATTCATTAAATTATTTCTTAAATTGTTTTTATTTTTTCGGCAAATTTATATACCAATAGAAAATATCGTATATATTTAAGTATTATCTATTAAATATATAATAAAAATATATGATTATTATTTTCAATGYTTTTTTCTGTAATTTTTTTAACTATCAAAATACCTGATAAAACATTTTGAATGTCAATGCATTCATATKYGGACCGAGAGTTACRCCTATCTTCCTGTCACTGGAAAGCCGTTCAAAATAAGYTAACAATTGTAGTTTGAATCGCATCCGAAACGGGTATCCATTGATCCGCCATTCGGCACGTGACAGTGCAATACACGTACARTGTATATCGCKAGACATCATAGCATACAGATATTGGATCCATAGTAATACCAGTGTCAGTGCAATCAATGAGAGACCGTAAAACAATTGAGCGTATGGCTCCAGGTGCTCAAATAGAAACTGATACAATATAAGCAAATTGATTGGTATAATAGTAACCAAATAGCCCAGGTAGATTTTGGACCAAAATCTATTAGAATCTATAAGAAATCTACAAAAATTGTTGTGTTTATCCATAAAAGYTACCAATTCATGTATRCGTATATTATTAGTATTACAATTACTATTTGAGTATTATTAGTTTGATTTGATTCAATAGATTTTCCAATWGCTTTGAAAACTTTTGCATTAATACCTTTGATAACAAGCGAACCGCAAGTATTCATTATTACCACAAATCCAATGGCAAAAAATGTGTCGATAAAAAACATACAAAACGATATCATTGACAGCAATTGAAATAATAGCGATACGAAAAATGTATATATTGTGTAATATTTATATATGATTGCCATCCACATGATTGCCAATGATGTAACTGTTAATAATAATTTTTTTTAAAWATTATTTATCTTGTTTAGATATAAAGTTATAAATTAAACTATTAAATTATATTAAAAAAATACAAACATATTAAAAAAATCATTGAATGCTGAATTTGATAAATAAATTTAGCAAATTTTTTAATTTTGATAATTTCATAATTTGAAATAYCAATATTCATAAATTTTATTTTGTTATATTGCTGTGAATTTTTGATCATCAAAAATATGTTCAACCAATTTGTATGTTTGTCTGTTAGATGAAAATATTTAAACAAATAGACACCAAATAGTGAACCAAATAAATAAATAAATAAATTATATTGATGTATACCACCAATAAATTGAGACATGTCAAATAGTATAACAGTAGTTTCATATCTAGGATCAATTAATAATATAATTTTACCAATGTTAAATATATAAGTGCCTAGTATAAAATATTCCCACCATGAGTTTATTTGTSCATGATTAATTTTGGCATCACTACGATCAAGATAATAATCAATTATCATAGTATTAGTAAAAATTTTAATAAATTAATTATTACAATAATATATATATAAATTTATATAACTAATATTTATACTATGAACTAATTTATTATATATATATATATATATTAATATATTATATAAATTACAGTGTRTTACATTAAAATGAATATTATTTTTGTGTTTAAATATAAATATGTTATAAAACTTATACTGTATATTTGATATATTAATTTATGATATTAAACACAAAAAATAAATCAAATAATATAAACTATTATATAAACTTTGTGTAATTAAAAAAAATATTTAAATATTCTAATAGTTAAACAATAGACATATTATTAAATATAAATTAATATTTTGTGTTTCTCTTAATTGATTTTTTACTGTATGTATTATTTGTAAGATTTTATTTGCWGTTTTTAAGAACATATAWAATTGATGTCAAAATAGGTGAGAATGGTTTTTTATATAATTTAATTATTTAACAGATTCAACAAATTTTTTTAATGCAACTATGGTTTTGTGCCATTAATACATTGAATATACTACTGTAACACCATTTTGATGATTGATGTTCAATTTGCATCTATTACGGGATTATCGAAGTACTGTTCTTCTCTATTAGGCATACGATACATACATTTTAATATATATTGTAGATCTTGTTTTATTTAAATTTTTTTGACTCAAGTTTATTTTAGTTGATTAATATTTAATATATAATAACTTTGTTTAATTTTCTAAATAAACAACTTATACACAAAAAACGTTATCCTCTATTTTGACAATGATTTTCTAATATTTGAGAATATGTATTGAATATAATGTTTGTTACGATAAGTTTGTTGAATTCATTTAAACGTAATTGAAATATAGATTTTATTTGCAAACATATTATTCATATTTTATGAAATATTTTATAAATAAGATTTTTATATTATGATAAAACCGACTTTTACCACAAAGTTTTATTATATTTAAGACATTACTAATTACTATTATTTACAGTTAGTTTATAATTAAATTATAAGTATTGATTTCAATGCATATTTAACCCATGCTTTCAATTGAGAATCTAATCTATAAGTGATTTACAATCACTAAAATACTTTAGATTTATAGAGTCATTAATACATTGTAATTATTTATTTATAAATATAATATTAATAACAATACAATTTACGGTATCATTAATTATTGAGTTAGAATTAAATACTAACTTATAGTAAAACCCCGTATTATTGTTAGTATTAAAGTAAACAATACACTAAATAATAGGAAATATACTGTAAAGTAATTAAACCGATTTATTCAATAAGAGATTAAATCGATCCAACACTACCCTCGGCCTATAAACTAACGATTCATTACAATGAAGTTATTTTTTATATCATTTATTTTCACATAAAATATTTATCATAAAGTTATATATATATATATAATAATTGACAGTAAAATAAAGTATACATAGAAAAATACTTTTTAAATTAGATTTGAATAAAAATATTTATGTAAAGTTTTCTAATTTATAGTTTTATATAATTTTAATATTATTAAAGTTTTTTAATGAGAAATTTACCATATTTTTTAAATTGTTTATAAAAACAGATATTTTAAAATTTTATTTTACATTTAATACATTAAAATCTTAATTGTAGATCGTTTATAATYATCATTAACAATATAAATAAATATATATAATAATAATTTAAACTTAAATATGTTTTGCTTTTAAATTATTATTATTTAATTCAAATAATAAAATATTTGATAATAAGATATTTTCAAAAATTTTATTCATATATTATGTAAATAAGTTATTAGTATATTAAGTATAATTTTTATTTAAATATTAATTATTTACATTTACATATTAAAAATAAACTATTAAATTAAATTTTTTAATTGTTTAATTTAGATAATCGTTAATTAGTTGTCATATTAGAAGATATAATATTTTTAGATTTTTAATTTAATGATAAAATATTATTAAATATGATTTAAATTCAGTAAATTTTTTTTYATTATTTGAGTTTTTGATAAATTATATTTTATACTTTTTAAAACATTTTCATTTAAAAWTTTTTATAAGTTTTGAACTTATTTTTTGTTGTTGATTAATTACTTATTACAAACAGCATATTAAAATAATAATATTATAATAAATTATAATATTGCATTTTTATATTTTATATAATATTGCGATATATTTAATAATAAACTATTTATTTTAAAGCAAATAATAATAATTACTTATTTTAGATTYTTAGTTATCAAATTATTAAATAAACATAAATTTGTTTAATAGTTATATAATAATATGTCTGCAAATATTAACCCTCACATCGATATTGTTAACATTAATACCAAAACAAAAAGATATATTTTATTTGATATTATAGAATATTATTTAAAATTACTAAATAATAAATTGGATATTAATAGCAACAAAATTAGTAAATTAGAATATTTGACAATAATTTGTTATACATTTACATTTATCAAAACATTAATATGTATACTATTGGACCTGGATACTCGACATCGATTATATGATTTTTCACTATATATGGGTGGCATACAAATATTCAATACTTACACATTATTTTTGCTGGTTACTTTTTTTATTTTTTTATTTTATAATTTACATTTTAATATCAACAATAAATTTACAGTATTTCAACATTATTCTATATTTACTAAACGTATTTCCAATGACCGTATTATGATAATTGATTATGTTGATTTAAATCAAATTTGCAAATTTGCAAAATATTATAATATATTTTGTAATATATTTTGGTGTTTAGTAAGTAAGTAATAATTTTATTGCATATTATCACTATTCATTGTAATATGATAGATTTTATAATTATTATTTTTATTAGATAATTTATTAAATATATTCAAATATTTTATAAACAATGACTAWTTTTTTTATTTTTTTTAATTATTTATAGTTATCTATGTAAATTTAATTGCTACAACAATATTGACAAATAATTATTCAACAAATGATATAGTGGTTACATGTATACCATTTATATTAACTCATTTATCATTTCAATTTGCAACCGGGGATATAATATTTATAATATCGTTGATCCCAATCATGCTATTCGTACAATTCAAACATATCAAACATCTCAACAATGAATTGATGAAAATATTTTCATTTCATCAAAACTTTGCCATCAATGGACTGGATGTCTATCATAGGGTTCTTACATTCATTGATCGACACAATCAATTGTGTCGTACAATCAGCGATTATAATCGGTTTGTTAGTCAATTGTTTTTCGGTGAACTGATATTAATAATACCAATAAATCTGATGCTTTGGCATCAGTTACTATTTGAACAATTGAGTGGACAAATTAAATATTTATATACTTTGGTGATTAGTATAATGCTTATTGTTATATTTGGTGTCAATTTTTGTGTCGCCTATATGTCTGGGAAAATACATTCAATGACTACACGTTTAGCACTAATTCAATGGCTATTCAAGGATCGGACAGTCAGACTAAGATTCAAACTAAAACTAATGCAATATTTAGAACATTTGTCGAGTAAAAGGAAAATCGGTATCAAAATGGGTCCGTTTGGTACACTAACTATGAGTGCATTTTATTTGGTATTAATTTTATTTATTAATAAAAATATATTAAATATTGAACTTTTTAAGTATAATAWTGTAATTATTATTTTATATTTTACCTAGATTGTTGTCAAATATATTCGCTATTTTATTCTATTTCATAAATTATCTTCTAAGTTTAATTAATATATAATATTATTTGTAAATAAATTTTATAATTAATAATATTATTTATATAATTTTATCAAAATTTATTTTAATACTTATATAATGGTTTCTTTAATATTATATTTAAAGTAGATTGTAATAAATAAACGCTATTACTTAAGACAATGTTTTTTGTAGTTTCTAGTTATCTTATATTTATATTATTTAAATTAACATGTAATGCCATTAATGCTATTATATCAATATATATWTTTGTAGAATTTTTATATTTAATTACTTTTACAGTATATTGATTTATCTATGAAATTATAATGAAATTTTTTATAAATAAAAGTTTAGACATTAAATATATTATAAAACTTTGAAAATTTTTTTATTGATTATATTAAAAAATTATTTCCATAAAATCATAATCTATAATTACATACAGTAATGATTACATACAATATATAAAATTAATTAAAACTATATTGAAAATTATTGAAATTAATTTGAAAATTGGGTGTCTAGTGATTAAATATACCAACGCTTAGAGGAAATGTAGAGAGAATTTAAATAATTATCTCACGGTTTGAATAAAAATAATTTTATATTTAAAATGTCTAGAAAATTATCTATCAGAAAAATAACTAATTATTTTTATATTTAATTTATAAATTATATATAGATTATTTAAGTTTTATTAAAACAAATACAGTATATTAGTTAATGTAAATTAAATAATTCTGAATATTTAAGATAAATTCATAATATGATAATATTAATTTATAGCTAATATTACTTATAAACTTTAATAATGGATATAGATAATGTTAATGTTGATGAAAATGTTAATGATAACAACAAAAATAATAAAAATGATAATAAATTATTAAAACAAGTCACAAAAAGCTATTTGATTTTTGATATTGTTGGCTATTATTTAAAATTATTAAATAGATATAATATTAGTAAAAATGTAAAGTTTAATATTTTTGAACAAATCCAACTAATATGTTATATATTTACATTGGTTAAATCAATATTATGTATAATATTGGACCTGGACACTCGACACTTGCTTTACGACTATGCATTATATATGGGTGGCATTAAAACATTTAATACTTTAATAAATATATTAGGCATTATATTATTAATACACATATTTCTAATAATTCATTGTAATGTTAAACATAAATTCACCATTTTTAAACATTATTGTCAATTAACTTTACGTATGGCAAATGATAAATTTATTATATTAAATTATCTTGAGATTAATCAAATAAGTTTATTGGCTAAATATACTAACTATCTAGGTGAATTAGTTTATTTGTTAATGAGTAAGTTGTTTTATGAGAGATATCAATATATTATTTCTAAATTTATTAAATTTTAATCATATTATATATTACTAATTTAATTATCGGATAATCTTAATAATTATTTTYAATGAACAGCTAAAAATGTAGATAATTTAATAATAATATTTTTTACATATTAATAATTTATAGGGTTATGATAATTTAATATATTTAATATTACAGATATCAATTTGTTTGCGGTTGCATTGACCATATTTTTAACATATTATTCACTTAATGATATTTATTATACATTTATACCGTTTATGTTAACCCATAATTGTCTATTATTTTTTATGGCCGATATTTTATGTATTTCAGTTGTAATTCCTGTTGTATTTTACGCTCAATTCAAACACATTCAACATATAAACAATGAACTAAATAAAATTTTGTCATTTCGTCAAACATTTGCCATCAATAAACTTGATGTCTATCATAGAGTTCATACATTCATTGATAGACACAATCGGTTTTGTAAAACAATTGATGAATACAATCGTTTTGGTAGTCAATTAGTTTTCAGTGAATTGATTTTACTTATACCTATTAGCCTAATGTTATGGCATCAACTGTTATTTGAATCATTAGCCGGCACAGTTCAAATTATTTATATTATATGTACAGTAATGTTAATGCTTTCTATATTTGGTATTAATTTTTGTTTAGCCTATATCTCGATAAAAGTACATTCAATGGCATCACGTTTACAACTAATCCAATGGCTTCTGAAGGGTTGGACAGTTAGACAAAGATTTAAACTGAAAGTAATGCAATATTTTGAACATTTGTCGAGTAATAAGAAAATTGGTATCAAAATGGGTCCTTTGGGTGTACTGACTATGAATGCATTTTATTTGGTAATTAAAATAATAATTTTGTATAATTTTTTAATTTATTAATAATATATAATTTTTTTAGATTGTTGTCAAATATGTCCGATATTTTATATTATTTCATAAATTAGCATATAAATTTGACTAATAAACTTTATCAATTTACATAATTATTATATAATATAATATTTAATAAATCTAAGTTGATTTTATTACTTATTTAAATTTATTCATATTTATACAGATGTCTAATGTATTAAATGTTAAATTAATATTAATAATAAAGTATTATTTATTATAAATTGTAATTTACAATTATTAATTACAATAAAACATAAATAGACAATTATTTTAAATAAAAAATATTATATATTTACGATTAATTAGATTTTRATTAAAATAAATTTATGTTTTCAAACTACAGCATTTTAATAAGTCTGTTTTTTGATGATATTWATTTTGTGATAAACATGATATTAATGTGATTAATATTAATAAACTAATTAATTTCAATTTTAATTATATCTAAAAACAATTTATAGATTAATACCATACACAGAGTTWCTCTATTATGGAATTAAATAAATATTAATTTTTATAATTCTTTATAATTTAAGTAAATGTATATTTTTATGAATGTATGTTATTGTTAAGGTAGATGTTTTTAGTATTATATAAATAACTACTAGTATCAAGGTCGTGTTTGCATTATGTTAGGTAAGATAGTGCAATAACATACTTGTTTATATCATCAGTGCGTTATAAAAACGTTAAATTTTAAGTTAATAGCTTATTATATAAAGCTCAGGTAAGTATAACTAGATTTAAATTAYATAAAATAAACATAAATGTGTTTACTTATTTGGTTAAAACTTTTTATTTTAAAAAAATATTTTACATAAACAATAAAATTTATTTAAAATTAAATATTTTTTATACATATAAATTTTGTATACATTAATTTATTTATATATTCATTTACTGTATATTTTTATATTTATCATAAAAATGATTTCGATAATTAATTTTTTAAATACTCATATATTCTGTGATATATTTACAACAATTACAACTGTAATTTTGGCTGTAATTGTCTATTTGTTGAGCAAATTCTATATCAGGGTATTTGAGTTACCTCCCGGCCCCATACCGGTGCCWTATTTTGGMAAYACTCTACGTATGTAATTATTTTATTATTAAACAAGATTTAGATTTTTTAAAAAATTATAACATTAACTTATTCTTATATTTTTTATTATTATCAGTATTCAAATGTGAACATCACTGGGATGTTGTGATTAAACGACAGCACCAAAAATATGGTCCACTGTTCACATTTTGGATGGGACCAAAGCCGTTCATATTTATAGCTGACATCGAAACGGCCAAAAAAGTCTACCAGCGCTGGGAGTTTGCCGGTCGCCCCGACTCTTATTTTGGTAATTTTAGTCAATCTAATTGATTGATGATTTAAATTATTATTATAATTATTATATATATATATATATATATATATATATATATATATATATATAGGAAGTCAACTTTCAAACGATAAGTTTGCTGATGTAGTGTTCACCGATTATGGACCCAAATGGGAGGCACTCAGAAAAGTAGCCCATTTGGCTGTACAGTAAGCTACTGGCGCCTACACATCAGTCATGTCTTCTTTCATTTTTTGGTCTAATATTTTGCTATTTCTTAATACAATAGAAAATTTGCAAACAATGACCGACTCGTCGATCTGGTCAATGACTGTGTTGACCGTACGATTGAATTGATTATTAAAAATGAAGGCATTGGTCAACCGTTCAAACCAATTGACTATACCTATCATCTGTTCCTAAATATGTTGGCTACCAGTGCTTTTGGGCATAGGTTTGTTTTTTTAATTAATTTATGTAACTAATAATTACAGTAATTATTTTTTTAATAAAATATACTAATGTAATAAATTAAATTAAAAGCTTTTAATATTACCGGTAAATATATAAAAAAAAATATTTCACGTAAATTAATTTATTAATAAATTTTTAATTATATTAATTATTTTTATTTACCTTTTGTTTATTAAATTTTATTGTTGAATACAAGCTAACTCTGATTATAAGCTAACTGTGCGGAAACTGTATTTTTTGTTTACTTTTTGATTGATAATAGCTATGACTTGGAGGACTCGGAGTACAAAAAATAAAATACGTTTTGCGCGACTTTGGCCGCGAAGCTGGCAATCGGTTCTCGATGTGGGAGTTCTCATCGCTTATCCGTTTGTGGGACCGGCAACTGGTGCTCAAACAGCGCCGTATTATAGAGGAAGTCATGTTAATGATTAGGAATAAGTTTCGCAAACATAATGACGATTATAACGAACTGATTGAACGCGACTTTTGTGATGCACTCATCACTTCCCGAAACGTATCGCTCAGAGATGGCAAACAATGGGCCAGTTATCTAACCGACGAAAACCTGGCAATGATTGTCTACGACCTGTTCTTTGCTGGGAATGACACCACTCAGCGGACATTTCAATGGCTTCTTCTACTAATAGCCTACTATCCTGACGTACAAAAGCGTTTAAAAGATGAAATTGAGTCACATATAGGTGACCGTCGGGCCCGGCATGAAGATCGACAACAATGTCCATATACTATGGCAATGATGGCMGAGACATTAAGATATAGGAATGTCGCCCGATTTGGGGTCACACACAAAGCAATGGTTGACACAAAAATAGGTATGTCTGTCAAGACATACAGTTTATGACATTTTTTATGTGTATATTTGTATTACTTTTAAAGGAGAAATATTTGTAAGAAAAGGGACTGATGTGGGTGTATATCAGGGAATTATATTGGATTCATCCGACTATTGGGACAAACCTGATATGTTTCGTCCCGAGCGCTTCCTCGACAGTGACGGCAATTATATGACAAACCGTCCGCAAGCGTACATACCTTTCGGTTTAGGACGTCGTGTATGTTTGGGCGAGAGGTTGGCCATCGCTGATCTGTTCCTCGTTTTGGTCCGATTTCTACAGTTGACCAAAGATTATGATATTATTTTGAACAGTCATAATGGCTTAGATCCCGATCCTAATGTCGCCGAGTCTTATCTGCCTAAAGAGTATACTATATGTTTCAAAAATAAAAATTAATTAATAAAAAAATATTGTATGATTATATAAAAAATACTGGTATATAAAAACTAAATATTATAATTTATTATAAATATAAGTAACTCAATATCTATGTCAATACTTACAGTATATACCGCTAATATAGAAATCATATTATCTAAKTTATTGATATTTTTTTTGCTAAAATTGTTTTTTTCGAATCATATGAATGATAAAATAAGTTTAACATTATGTTTGCATAAAATTAATCACATCCTATAATAATTATTTTGCAAATTTCATTTTATCAATATATCTATATTTTATCTAATTGCTAATAACAATTTGTTATATATATATATATATATATATTGTAATTATATAAATATATTACATTATAGTATTTAGTTATTACATAACTATGCTTAAATTATATTGAATATTATACAATGTATAGGTATAGTAGTTATTTGAAACTTTCCAATAATAGTATTAATMTGACCTTGATAATGTCTACCAATAGCTATCATACACTGTATATTGAATTCCTCTATTTTTTTGGACAGTAGGAGAGCAGCACATAGTTTTGGTAATWATATGACAAACATATTCTGTATACACACTGTGTATAGCATAATAACCAGACTCTCGTATCGATCATTGATATTGAAATAGCAGACAAAATATATACTCAACAGTAGTTTCATAAATATTTTCACTATTTTCCAAAACATAAACAAATGGAGAGATATTGAGAGTGAGTTCAACAAAAAACATGTCTGAAAAACATATGAAAAGCCGACTCTTTGTTGATGTTTATCGCAAACGTATCGGTAAAATAATTATAATTATATTTTACTTTTGAAAAAATTAATAATTGTTTATAACTTTGTTTTTTTCTGAATTTACTATCAAATATATTAAAGGCGACAATGACTTGAAAAAGTCAACAAAAAGTTATTCAACTAAACATCGCGACAGACATTGCGCTAAACAAAGCGATTCAATCAATGATAATATTGATAATAATATACATAAGGTATGCAAATCAATAATAATAATAATAATATACATTAAGACTTAACAGTATATTATTTAAATTAAATTATAAAAATTATTTATTTTTATATATAAAATGATTTACTCTTAATTATTATTAATTTTTTCTAACTTATGATTTTTTCATATCATTAGACCAAACAAACATTGATCTCATGTTTTGTAATAACCGGCTGTTTTTATTTAATTTATTTATTAATGAAGTATTTATTGTAATAATTTGTGATTTATATACTATTCAAATTTTATTGTAAAAATAGTATAATGTGAATTACTAATAATAATATTGTACWGTATAATCTATATAATTTATATTATAGTATAATATAATACTTGTATAAATTAAATATGTTTGTATATATATTTATTAATTGTATGAAAATACTGTAACTGTATTTTATTGATCATAATATAAATATATATCAGTATATACTGTAATTAGTATATTTATTTACTGTAATAGTAAAATGTATATATAAATCACAATTTTTAATATGTAATATAAATTATTTACTATATTGACTAATTATATTTTATTATATATAAACAATTTATTAATATTTAAATAATACAGTACTTTAATGTTGAAATAAATTGGTGTATATAATAAATTATTATAATATTAATAATAGCACATAAAATTTAATAATTAATAAAAATAATAAAAAATTAACAAAMAATTATGACTTAGTTTCTTTTAAAATAATTTAAACTAAATTTTATAATCATTATATAAAATTACTATATTTACTAATTTTAATCAAATAAAGTTTATAAATAAAAGATATTTTGTAATTTAAAGTCCAAACACTTGTTATTTATAAAAGTCAATAAAATGTTATCTATTTGTGAAAAATATGGTATTAATAGTAATAGTTAGTTAACTATATTATCTACAACAACAACAAAAATTATGATTCAAATACTTTTATTATATTATAATATTAATAATCAGTATAGCCTTGGTGATAAACTATARCATAMTWGTACATGTATATTTTTTTATTTATTTATTAATCAAACTATTAATACTATACAAAACAATTGTAGTCAAACAAGTGAGAGAAAATGATTATTTGAAATAATTATAGTTTATGSTGTAATGTTATTTAATAATTAAGTTTATTTTTTGTGCATATGTTTCAAATTATACTGTAATTGTTTGTTGCATTTTTAAACTACCGTACAATACATTAGTAACWACACTAAGTACAGTACATTAGGGACAACATATTTTAGAGGATAACAAGTTTTATTGATAAAACCACACATTTGATACAACAATTGTACTAAACATACACATAATTTAACTTATATACAGTATATAAAAAAAATAATTTGTATATAAGTTGATAGAAAAGAGTATTTTATCTTATTATTATTATTATGTTTATTATTAATTATATGTATTCTAGTAATTTAACAATATAAAAATATCTATATATTTTGACAGTTTATTTTAAATTTTACTATTTTAAAACTATTAACAATAAAATGTCTGTATTAACTCAATTGTTTGCAATGATTACATCTAATATCTGGTCGACAATTATCACACTAATTATCGGTTATGTGGTCTACTTTTGKCAAAGTTTTATAACCGCTATTACAGTCTACCTCCCGGTCCATTTCCTTTGCCAATAATAGGCAATATTTTATGTAAGTATATATTTAAATATTTTTATGATGATTTTAAAAAATTAATATTTATTTTTATTAACAATAATAATTAAAGCATTTCGATCTAAACATCATTGGGATGACATATTCAGACAAATGTCTAAAAAATATGGACCGGTCTTTACATTTCATATGTTTAAYAAACCGCAGATCGTTATCACTGACGCTGACATTGCAAGAGATATATTGAGAAAAAACGATTTTGCCGGACGACCGGAAAGTTATTTCGGTAATTAAATATTTAATAATAATACTAATAATTTTTGTTATATAAAAATATTTATTATAAAAAGGAAGTTTATTATCAAATGAAAAATTTTCTGATGTCGTGTTCACCGATTACGGTCATACATGGGAAGCACTGAGACGTGTAGCGCACGCGGCCGTACAGTACGTGTTATTAAAAATAAATAATATATATATATATTAATAAATATTATAAATTTATAATTTTATTTAGAAAATACTCAATAAATGAACGGCTGGTAAACGTTGCCATCGATTCTGTGGACAAAACAGTGAAAACAATGTTAGAAACGGAAGGTCCGGATAAACCTATCAAACCATTTGATTACATATATCTCATGTTTCTAAACATTTTGGCGAACAGTACTTTCGGAGAAAAGTATTTATTAGTTAAATATTAATAATTTTTAAAAAATATTGAAATATTAATAATTTAATAGCTATGACATGAATGATCCAGAATTTAAATCACTTAAGTATATGTTACGTGATTTTGGTCAGGAAGTGGGATCCCATTTCTTGTTGTGGGAGTTCTCACCACTAATACGATTATTGGACAACAAGTTGGTCACCAAACAGAGGAAATTATTTGAAAATTCAACAAAACTAATGGTCAATAAGTTTCAAAATCATATCAAAAGTTACGATCCGAGTATTGAACGCGACTTTTGTGATGCACTCATTTCGGCTAAAAATGATGCGCTCCGGGAGGGAAAAGAGTCGGCACCCTATCTGACTGATATTAATTTGGCGATGACTTTATTTGACCTATTTTTTGCCGGCACTGACACATCTCAGCAAACATTTCAATGGCTGCTATTATTGTTGTCTTATTATCCAAATATACAGAAGAAATTAAAAGAAGAAATTGAGTCCCAAATCGGTGACCGAATGCCAACACATGAGGACAGACAGCGATGTCATTATGTGATGGCATTTATATCGGAAACTTTAAGATACAGAAATGTCGTTCCTTCTGGTGTTCCTCACAGTGCTGTAGTTAACAGTAAAATAGGTATTAAATTTTAAATATTAATAATTATTATTATTGTATTTAAAAAATTWTAWTTTTTCAATTATTAGGTGATTATACTATTCCTAAAGGTATGTCATTAATAATCTACCAGGGTATTGTATTGAGAAATGATGACAACAAATAYTGGACTAAAGGCCAGGAYTTCATACCCGAGCGTTTCCTYGACAGTGACGGACACTATATGACAACCCGTTCGCCGGCATTCATACCTTTCGGTGTGGGACGWCGTGTATGTTTGGGCGAGAAGTTAGCCATCGCTGATCTGTTTCTTGTTTTGGTCCGATTTTTACAATCAACTCAATTATATGATATTGTTTTAGACACACATAATGGCATTGAAGCCAATCCTGAAATAGCTGATGCATTTCATCCCTATGATTATACAATTATGTTTAAATCTAAATCATAATTAATATTTGTATTATTAAATTAATATAAAATATTTTTAATTACATTTTTTATAAGTATYTTTTAAACATTTCGATCWATAAAATAAAAATTAGTACACATTCATCAATWACACWAATTTAATTATAATAARGCTGTACTAACTTTATATAAATATATACAAAAAAGTTTGTAAGATTTTTACWCAAGAAAAAACGATTAATCAATTCTCCARTAAAATAAAGCAAATATTGTTATTTATTGTAATTAAAAATTAAATTATTTTATTATTAAGGCGTTTATAATTATTTATTATATCATATTATATTATATTAATCGCTTATAAGTTATCTATTGTACTTTGCTTTAAAAATATACTTATATTACGTAATTTACAATATAATATAGTTTTAGATATATGTATAATACTGCATATGTTTATAATTTTATATCATTATAAAGTACATCTTATAGCAGAATTTGATGCACTTTTAATTTGTTATAAATATATTAGTAGTCTAAATATTCGTTCACATGTTTGAAAATTAAATTATATTTACTATATAAAGGCTAGTATTTTTAGTGGTACTGACACTTTTGAGTTTAATATTAAGTTTAAATAAGCAATAAATTATAAATTATAAGTTATATTAAATATATTATTTTTTTTCTAATATAATAATATTAATATTAAAATATTTTAATAAGAATTTAAGATTTAATTAGAGAATAATATAATGACTCTAAAAACACAATTTTATTTTTTGATTTTTTCTGACATGGACTACAATAATAAGCTTAATATTRGGTTTTGTAGTCTACAAAATAACAAAGTTTTATCACCAATATTACTGTTTACCTCCCGGTCCATTCCCATTSCCTATTATTGGCAATATGTTATGTAAGTTTATACTATAATATTATATATATATATATATATTAATAACTTTATAATATAAATAATATAGCTTTCAAGTCTAAACTCCATTGGGATGACATTATGAGAAAAATGTCAAAAAAATATGGACCGGTATTTACTTTACATATTGGTAACACTCCTCAAGTGTTGATAACTGATGCGGACATCGCTAKAGAAGCGTTTCGTAAAAATGATTTTGCGGGAAGACCTAAAAGTTATTTTAGTAATAATAATAATATAATAATAATTATTATTATATAATAAAATTTTTAAAAATTAATAAATATWTATTTAGGCAGTTTATTAGCTAATGATGTGGTAATGGCTGATTACGGACCCAATTGGGAAGCGCTTAGACGTGTTGCTCACGCGGCCGCTAAGTATATGTCTATTATTTATGATTATATTATACATAATATTTAATATTGATTTTTAAAAAAACTAACTTTTATAATATTTATTAGAAAATATTCAAACAATGAGCRATTGATTAATRTAGCCATTGATTGTGTGGATAAAACAGTACAAACTATGTTGAAAACAGAGGGTCCAAACAAACCTATACAACCATTTACTTACATATATCTGACATTTCTAAATATTTTGGCTAATAGTGCTTTCAATGAAAAGTATAAAATATTTAATACTTTAAAATTATTTATTATATATTAACTCTCATTAAAATAAAATATTYTCAAAACTAGTTATAATATCGAGGATTATCGAGTTTAAAAAATTTAAATATGTTATGAAAGATATATTTGATGAATCGGGATCACGATTTTTTTTGTGGGAATTTTCAAAACTAATGCAATGGATTGACTATAAAATGGTTAACAAAATGAATAAAGCGTTTGATGAGATGAGAGATATTATGATTGAAAAGTTTAAAAATCATTATAAAGATTACAATCCAAGTATTGAACGAGATTTTTGTGATGCACTGATTGCGGCAAAAAATGATGCGCTCCGGGAGGGCAAGGAATCGGCACCGTATCTAACGGATGATAAACTTGGAATGASTGTGTTTGACATGTTTTTTGCCGGAATAGATACTTCGCAAAATACATTTCAATGGATATTATTGTTTTTGTCTTATTATCCAAATATGCAAAATAGATTACGAGAAGAAATTGAGACTCAAATCGGTGACCGAATACCAACACATGAGGACAGACARCGATGTCATTATGTRATGGCATTTATTGCCGAAACTTTRAGATTCCGAAATATAGTTGCATTTGGTTTACCGCACAGGACTATAGTTAGTAGTAAAATATGTATTGATTTTTTAAAAATTATAATAGATTAAAAATATGTATTAAACTTCTATAATTATTTTATTTATAGGYGACTATACAATACCAGAAAATATGCCGGTGTTTGTATATCAGGGAATTGTTTTGAGAAATGATGACAACAAATATTGGACTAAAGCTAATGACTTCATACCCGAGCGCTTTCTCGACAGTGACGGACATTATATGACAACCCGTTCGCCGGCATTCATACCTTTCGGTGTGGGACGWCGTGTATGTTTGGGCGAGAAGTTAGCCATCGCTGACCTGTTTCTTGTTTTGGTCCGATTTCTACAATCGACACAAAACTATGACATTGTTTTGGACAGTCATAATGGTTTGGATGCCGATCCTAATATTAGTGATTCTATTAGTCCATATAGATATACAATTATATTTAAATCTAAATCTTAATTACTATCTATTATAATTAATAAAAATATTTACTGATAAGAAAATTATTAGAAATAAATATAATTAAGCTTGATACAAATAGTTCACTCGATTCAAACTATCTAAATAAATTTTTTTATTTCACTTTTCATAAAATTAGTAAAAATATAATTATAAATTCTGTATCAATCAATCCTATATTTATATAATGTAATTAATCTATTGTGCAGTATATAARTGTCATATCATAAATTTATATTAGTYTACTTGCGATTTATTAAWTGTTTTAATAAATMTTTTTTTAAATAAATATATAATTACTCTAAGTATATATAATATATATATAGTATATAATATATATATATATATATAGTATATAATATATATATATATATAGTATATAATATATATATATATATATAGTATATAATATATATATAGTATATACTGTATAATTATTATAATTTACATAATTTTTAAGTACTCTTTATATTAATTTTTTTTGAATTTGTTTGAATTATATCTATTAGGATTTTTAGAATCTATAAATATATTATACTATAGATACTATAAATTTTATGCTCARAATTGTTTATTGATAAAAGTACAAAACATAATTGAATTTTAAAATGCACTCATAATGTGTTATAAAATGTACTGTAATTATTAAATGATYACATATGTATAAAAAAATTACTTGTATATTATTGAATTAAATACAATATAATATTCATATAAGATTATTTTTTAACTTTTATAATAAAAATTAAATAAATAAAACTTGAAATTATTTATTTCTTATAATATTTATTATTATGTTTAGTTTAGTACTGTAGATATTAAAGTGTAGTTAATGMACTAAAATTGTGTTACAAAATGTATTGATAATAAAGAAATRTTTTATTTAGTTACAAGTTATAATAGATTTATAATTAATATTTTATAGTTGTTATGTATTCAAAAATATATWAATAATTATTTTGTTTATAAATAATAACAATTATAAAGTTTGTTTTATATGTGTTAAACTCATATTCTKTATATTAAATGTGACCTTGTTTAAAATAAAAAATAAAGTTAATGCTTATAAGTAAATGAAAAAACCTATTATTTAATTGTTTTATAATTAAATCTAGTAGTATATAAACATCAAATTGAATTCAATTAAATTAGTGTGAATTGATGTGTAATAGTATAAAACAAATTGAATTTTAATATAAATTAACTTTAATGTTATTTTAATTTGRAAATATTATATATTGTKCTTGAACAAAAATTAAATAAGTTTATTTTTATTTTCAACTTATATTAATATAACAATGTCTGTATTGWCKCAAATATTTTTGTKGGTCATATCAGATATATGGACAACAATAATAAGTTTATTAATTGGTTATATRGTCTACAAATTGGCAAAATTTTATTACCGATATTACAGTCTACCTCCCGGTCCATTCCCATTACCACTRRTCGGCAATTTATTAGGTTTGTATAATAATCAACTATTTCACTTAAATATGATTTTTTTATCTAAATTATTAAGTAATTGTTTTTTTTTTGTATGAAAAACTGTTAGCYTTTAGATCTAAACATCATTGGGATGACATTGTAAGAAAAATGGCCAAAAAATATGGTCCGGTATTTACCTTACATTTGGGAAACAGTCCACAAATTATGATTACTGATGCAGTCATAGCTAGAGAAGCTTTTCGTAAAAATGATTTTGCGGGAAGACCTGACAGTTATTTTGGTAATTATTTATAATTTKAAAATTTATTATTAATATTATTTTTATTTATTTTTAAAGGAAAAGCATTTAAAAATGATATMGTTTTTGCCGATTACGGCCATCAATGGGAAGCACTGAGACGTGTGGCACACGCGGCCGTACAGTATGTTCTRATATAAATAAATGAAAAATTATTAAAACTTTTTTTATAAATTGTTAGAAAATACTCAACTAATGAACGATTAGTTAACGTAGCGGTCGATTGTGTGGAYAAAACAGTGAAAACAATGTTGGAAAGGGAGGGTCCAAACAAACCTATCGATCCATTGAATTACATATATCTAACGTTTCTTAATATTTTGGCAAATAGTAGTTTCGGACAAAAGTACAGTAATTTGAGATTTTARTAAAAAAATTAATATTACTTATAATATATATATRTGATTACCGATGAATAGCTATAATATTGATGACCCGGAGTTTAAACAATTAAAATATGTATTAAAAGATTCAAACGAAGAATTTGGTCCACGAGTGCTGTTATGGGAGTTCTCACCAATAGTTCGATGGATTGATAGAAAAAACGTGACAATTAGTGAGAAAATTTTTGATGATTTAAAAGATCTATTGATTGATAAATATAGATCACATTATAAGGATTACGATTCAAATATTGAAAGAGACTTTTGTGATGCACTCATAACTGCTAAAAATGATGCGCTTCGGGAGGGAAAAGAGTCGACACCCTTTCTGACCGATGAAAATCTAGCGATGGCTTTATTGGATCTGTTTTTTGCCGGAACTGATACTTCGCAAAATACATTTCGATGGCTTTTCTATTATTATCCTATTATCCATCGATGCAAAAACAGTTACGACAAGAGATTGAGTCAATAATTGGTGACCGAATGCCGACACATGAGGACAGACAACGATGTCATTATGTGATGGCATTTATTGCCGAAACTTTGAGATTCAGAAATGTTGTGCCGAGCGGTGTCTTTCATAAAGCAATAGTCACGAGTAAAATAGGTATTAATTAAAAAAAWTATTTKTATTYATATTTTTTATATGATATTAAAAATATTTAAAAATATAATTAGGAGACTATACAATACCAGAAGGTATGTCTGTGTTTGCATAYCARGGATTTATTTTACGAGACAACAAATATTGGGAAAATAGTGACACTTTCATACCCGAGCGCTTCATCGACAGTGACGGTCAATATATGACAACCCGTTCGCCGGCATTCATACCTTTCGGTGTGGGACGACGTGTATGTTTAGGCGAAAAGTTAGCCATCACTGACCTGTTTCTTGTTTTGGTCCGATTTTTACAATCGACACAAAACTATGACATTGTTTTGGACAGTCATAATGGTTTGGATGGCGATCCCAATAGTTCTCTCGATGCAATTAATCCCTATAAATATACTATTATATTAAAGACTAAATAGAAAATAATAGAATATATAATATAATAATATTAWTAATACTACAGTATTAATAAAAATCWATAKTTTAATAAATATGATTTTAAATATARCTTATATTAATAGTATAATACTTTATATATATATTTAAAACAATCTTTTGATTTTAATTGTGTTTTTGCTATTCATACTATTCATATTGATTACTATAAATTGAAAGTTTGTATATTTGAACTTTTAATTTAATACTTTATAAATATTTACAATTTTTATTATTACTTTATAATAAACAAATAATATTTTTCTCAAAATTGTATTATATAATTTTAAATAACTAATATACAAATTATACTGTATGTATGTATTTATTTAATAGTGAGTAAAATAATCATTTTATATTAGCATAAACTCTATTGTCTTTTAAACCAAAATAATCAGACAATTATAACATTTTAGTTCAATAAATGACATATTTATTGATTCACTTTTGTATGTCTTATATTACATCACAAGTATTAYACMAAATGATTAATTTAAATGTTAATTAGTATTTTAAGTAATAATAATAMAGGTATTAAATATTTAAGAAACTATTTATTAATTATTMATTATCAGTATATTACTGTACATAAAAATAATCAATTATTAGACAAACAATACAGGCAAATACCTGAACAGTATACTGCATAGTAAAGTATTTGGGTTGTATTGTATTAATTGTTTTTTTATTGTTATTGTTGTCAGACAACTTATCTAATAATTTATTAGATTTGTAAAACTTATAGTTTGATATTGTGGGACCATAGAGTATGAAAAAATTAGAGTGACCAAAATTTATTTTATTTGAAGTACTAAATAATAATACATACAAATTAGAAAAATAAAACAAATTTTGATAAATAACTTATTAATTAAATATAAATTTAATATTAAATTGATAAAAATTATAAATTAAAGAAATTAGTAATTAATAAAAATTTAAAAATTATATAATAAACAAAATAAAATTTTCCTTATTTTTTTATTTTTGTTGGAAACTCTAAAATTTTTATTTCAATATTATTGAGCAATAACTATTGATTGAATGAAATAGCTTTATATGTATTAATGCTTCCCCTCCATGCTTACCCTTTTCCCATATCCACTATTGGTTAATCCCATCACTATATGAAACTATAAGTTTTATACTGTGTTGTCTGAAATCAGTGTTTTTACAACAATACACACATGTGGTATCAATGTAAAGGTAGTAATGACATCATAAGTAAATTACTGCACAAATGTTATATAGTATTATTAATGCTTTTAGCAATTAATACAAAATATACTATGCAGTGTTACCAAATAAAAAAAATAACAACCCAAATTTTAAAAATTAAAAATATAAACTAAAAAAAAATTATGTTGCTTTAATTTAATTATGAAATAAATATAAATAAATAAATATTAATAATTTAATAATAATATATAACTTATATTTATACAAAATTAATTTTAAAAATTTTTAACATCTAATAATTAATTTTATTTAATTATTTAATTAATTTAATCAAATTAAAAAATACCTGTCGGATGATATTTAGATAATATCAGGTTCGAAGAGCGCAAACCGGTACTGAAAATGTCGCAAAATGATAGCCCAGACATCACTGAGGCACACCATACTATTTACATACATATCCCTCTACCGCAATTTGAGATTTTCGACTAAAATTCAATTAACGTTATTTATGCATATGATAAATTATTTCACTGTATTTTTAATAAATAATTTTTATACTCGTATGAAAACTATTTTAATTTTTTTGATTATCTTAATATAAAATATTTTTAAATTGTAATTATAATAAAAATTAAAATAATACAATAATTGATTAAAGTAAAATAATTATGAACTATAAAAATAATACAATGTTAATTACAATAAAGTAATTTAATTAAATAAATACTAATTACTAATTACTAATTACTAATTACTAATTACTAATTACTAATTACTAATTACTAATTACTAATTACTAATTAAACTAATTACTTTATTGAAATTAACATTGTAATATTTTTATTGTTGATAAGTTTTTTACTTTAATTAATTATTGTATTATTTTCATTATTTCACTTATAATTAATGTAGAATATTTCGAATTCTAAATGACATTGATATTTTGTTTTCAGATATATTATTAGTATAAAAAATACATTGAAATCATGTATCATATGCATAAATAACGTGAATTTAAAAATTTCGATTTTCGAACTTTAGTCGAATATCTCAAACTGCGGTAGAGGGATATGTATGTAAGTGGTATGGTGTGACTCTGATATGACTGAGCAATCATACTTTGCGGGATTTTCATTACCGGTTTGTGCTCTTCGAACCCTTTGGATAACATGTTCTTTCAATCACACAATGATAACATATTATTGAAACATTTATGTAAACATAATTTATTGTCACTTTATAAGTCTGAGTAAGTTTTCGTGAATTTTTAATTGTTATTATAGTAATCTTAAAATCATCAAAAATTTATAATATATTGCTTACTATATAATTACAAGTGTATTACTAAAGTATTATTTGGTCATTCTAGTTATGTCAATAATAACATCACTACTTTCCCACTATTGTGTATTCTACTAAAAACCCTGTCTGAAATCCATAACATTAACTATAGTTTTTCAATTGTTTTTTTTTAATTAAAAATAGATATATTATTACTTTAGTAATTTTTTTTTTTTGAATCCATTAGTTGAACCAAATTGTTGAAKAAACAGATTWTCAAACAAATAATTTTAAGTGTAAGTCTAAGTTAGCCATTGATGACCATCGATGACCTATTCAGTTGTTTTCATCCATAAAGTTATGATTTTTTTACAAATAACTAATTAATTGTTTTTTTTATTCATTGACTTTCAGTGTTGTCTCCAATCAATAGCCAATCATTTATATCTTATTTATCCAAACAATGGACAGTCCATTCAAAGTAYGGTATTATTACTATATATATTATATACTTATTAAACCTATAATTTTCAGACCCAACTCTTGAATTGGATCCAATGTGATGACAGAAATGACGATCAATTGTATCGATTGTTKAAGATATTGTTGACTGCATTGACCAATAAAAGCGAAGTAAAACAATTGATTAATTATTACAAACATAACAAGTATAAGACATTTCAACGATTATCAGTGATCACTGAATTTGATCCAACACAACAAGTGATGGTATGGATTAGATTTTATAATATTACGGTAATTAAAATAATATACATCTTATTGTTTGTCTTAGGATTGTATTGTTCAATGGCTACGACAGTCATCATCAGACAAAAGACTAGGATTTYTTATGGATGTAATTAAAGTGATGTTAATTGTGGTCAACAATCACAATATCATCAAAAATACGCTAAAACGGGTTAAAAGAAAAATTGTAAAACAATTACACGAAAACAAASCCCAAACCAATGACTAAATCTAATCAATCAATCAATTACTGTAATTATAACATTAAACCTGTATATTGTTTATAAGTATTTTTTTTTGTAAAAATAATTGTTTTCAAAACTATTCAAATGTATAAAAATAATATTATTATTGTTAAAATATACAATAATTTATTATATTAATTATATTACGGCTTTTGACAATTTGAATTTTTCATTTATAAAAAATATTTATATTATAAATAATACAATAAAAATCAAAATTAGATTATAATAAATGTTATGACTATAAAAAATTATTAATAAAGTTTTGATTATTATTTATAAWTTTATTTGTTAATATTAAAACAAAATAATATATATTTCGTTAAAACATATAGTTTTGTAGCTTATATTAAATAATTGTTTAGTATAGGACAGCCAATAATGGCYAYACAACGCCCCTCTATAACGGTTTATATAACAATCAACCGAACCTTAACTCAGGTACTGAATCTGTTAGTCTGTACTTAAGCTATATTTTACTGAGTATTTAAAGTCAATGTTTTTTACATTTGTTAACTAATATTAATAATTAACAATAAAATTACTTTTATTATATAACAATTAATTGTGTTTTATTAGACAATTCATACAACTATACGGGTGGCGCACAATACSGTCCGCGTAAAACTATACMGTGATTTTAATTACAATATGTTTTGCTAACTTTTATACCTTTATTTGTTAATATTAAAACACCGTTTTTAATCACTTAATTAGACATCAATTTTAAAAATTAATAAAAAAATTTCATAATGATATACAAATAATTATCTCAAAACCTTCGATACTKTGGTAGATAATGCRATAACTAAAATAGTCGACTGACAGTAAATGTGACAATACTGGTAACTAYACTATTATAAGTGTTTTTAAAATATCTAAATTTAGTTATAAATAATTAAATATATGATCGATCAAATAAATAAATAATTTAATATCATAGGATTAATCAATAATTAATGAATGATCGATCAATACTGTAAATTAGCATTAATCAWATAATGAGAATAAATCATGAATTGCATGAATTTGATAGATAATAAAAACTTATATAACATGACTAGGATTTTGTACCATAAAATCAAACAAACTCCAGGAGTATAGCAATTATCACTAAACCTATCATTTATGGCATTACCTGCCATTAAATGTCTTATTCGYAAAAACAGTACATATTTTTTATTGTGTTTTCTTTATGACTAAGATATTAATTATATTTTAAAATTACAAAATTAAAATAAATAAATATTTCTTTWAAAAACAATAATCTTAAAAACTAAATATCATCATTGATATAGAAATTAATTTTTTATAGTGAATACAATATATAAATTGTACCTTGACAATTTTTGTGTGTAAATTATGTTATCTACAGTACTAAATAATATATATATTAAAAATTAATTATCATCATTGATTTAGAAATTAATTTTATATAGTGAATATATAAATATATAATTSAACCTTGACAATTTTTTTATGTAAATGTATGCCTAATAAGTTACAGTTAGAGTATAAAATAATTAATAATAATTTAAATATGTCGAATAAACCTGGACATATTAGTCATCATAGGTATAAATATGCAATATATATATATATACCTATATAGCCTRGAAAATATTTGTCATTATAAATTAGTTATTGATCTAACTTACAACAGTATAATTAAGATATTAAATATTTTTAGACACTTATAATAATAATTWTCAGAATTTTTAAATTAAARTTTATTTTATATTCATTTTAATCTAACAATATGTTTGTRTTGTCACAAGTATTTTCGTGGATCATATCAGATATRTGGACAACAATAATAAGTTTATTAATTGGTTATGTGGTCTACAAATTGGCAAAATTTTATTACCAATATTATAGTCTACCTCCCGGTCCATTCCCATTACCAYTGGTCGGCAATTTGCTGGGTTTGTATACCAATTATTTTATTAAAATATTATTTTATAGATATCTAAATTATAAAATAATTATATATAAAAAATTTTATTTTGTGACATTATTTAGGAAAACTGTTGGTTTTAGCTTTTGACGAATTGATAACATGTTTAGTGCCCTCTAAAGTACCTACAGTAAACTAATGTACATCAATTGGGATGACATTATAAGAAAAATGGCCAAAAAATATGGTCCAAATTGGTAATTTTTTATATATAATGTGTGATTGTGAAACAGTCCATAAAATAATTGTATGATTAAAAACTGATGCAGTTCGATCATTGCTTATAAGAAAAATGGCAAAAAAATATGGTCTTTTAATAAAAATGATTTTGCAGTCATAGCTAGAGACCTGAATTTGCGGGACAGTTTTTTTGGTAATCATTCATGATTTTAAAATTTATTATTATTATTATTATTATTATTTTTATTTATTWTTAAAGGAAAATCATATTCAAATAGTATTATTTTTGCCGATTACGGCATTTTTTTGGGAAACATTGCAACGTGTGGCACACGCGGCCATACAGTATGTTATAATATAAATATATGAAAAATTATTAAAACTTTTTAATAAATTGTTAGAAAATACTCAACTAATGAACGATTAGTTAACGTAGCGGTCGATTGTGTGGATAAAACAGTGAAAACAATGTTGGAAATGGAGGGCCCAAACAAACCTATCGATCCATTAAATTACATATATCTTACGTTTCTTAATATTTTGGCAAATAGTAGTTTCGGACAAAAGTACAGTAATWTGAGATTTTAATAAAAAATTAATATTACTTATAATATATATATATATATGATTACCGATGAATAGCTATAATATTGATGACCCGGAGTTTAAACAATTAAAATATGTGTTAAAAGATTTAAACGAAGAATTTGGTCCACGAATGTTGTTRTGGGARTTCTCACCAATTGTTCGATGGATTGATAGGAAAAATGTGACAAAATGTGATCAATTATTTGATGATTTTTATAATCTATTGCTTGAGAAATATAGATCACATTATAAAGATTACGATTCAAATATTGAAAGAGACTTTTGTGATGCACTCATAACTGGTAAAAATGATGCGCTTCGGGAGGAAAAGAGTCGACACCCTTTCTGACCGATGAAAATCTAGCGATGGCTTTATTGGATCTTTTTATTGGCGGAACCGATACTTCGCAAAACACATTTCAATGGCTWCTTCTGTTATTATCCTATTATCCATCGATGCAAAAACAGTTACGACAAGAAATAGAGTCAATAATTGGTGACCGAATGCCAACACATGAGGACAGACAACGATGTCATTATGTGATGGCATTTATTGCCGAAACTTTGAGATTCAGAAATGTCGCGCCGAGCGGTGTCTATCATAAAGCAATTGTCACGAGTAAAATAGGTATTAATTAAATTTAAAAACAAAATATTTTTATATGACATTAAATATATTTAAAAATATAATTAGGAGACTATATAATACCAGAAGGTATGTCTGTATATGCATATCARGGATTTATTTTACGAGACAACAAATATTGGGAAAATAGTGAGAATTTCATACCCGAGCGCTTCATCGACAGTGACGGTCAATATATGACAATCCGTTCGCCGGCATWCATACCTTTCGGTGTGGGACGTCGTAARTGTTTGGGCGAAAAGTTGGCCATCGCTGACCTGTTTCTTGTTTTGGTCCGATTTTTACAATCGACACAAAACTATGACATTGTTTTGGACAGTCATAATGGTTTAGATGCCAATCCCAATAGTTCTTTCGATGCGCTTAATCCTAATAAATACAGTATTATATTAAAGACTAAATAGAAATAATATAATATACTTMTTGGTGTTCAACAAATCTTTATTCAATTACAGCACTTATTAATGCATTGTTTATATAAAATTGTTGAATAAATATTCWTAGAWTAATCGGTATAATAWTATTATTAATACTTAAAATGAATATTTTAACAAAATTTCAGTTTAAATATATAAATAATACTTTATATATTTTTTTAAAACAAACTTTTTAATTTAATTATGTTTTACTATTCATACARTATAGTTATTATAAATTGATAATCTTTATATATTAATATATTTGAACATTTAATTGAAAACTTTATGAATGCTTATTATTTATATTATTACTTGATAATAAACAAAAAAAATAAATTATAATTATTACATACAAAACAATTACCCGAAATCAATGATTAAATCTTATCAATCAATTAATGTAATTATATTGTTTATAATAATTGTTTTTTAAACTATTTAATGCATAAAAATATTATCGATAGTATTATTGTTGTTAAATATACAGTAATTTATTATATTAATTATATTATGGCTTTTAAAAAATTGTATATTTCATTTATAGAAAATATTTATATTATAAACAATACATAAAAAAGTAAATTTGATTTAATAAAAAATTGCTAATAAAGTTTTGTTTATTTTTTATAAATTTATTTGTTAATATTATAAAAGTAAATTTAATTTAATGTTTTATAAAATGTTTTTAAAATGATTAATGATATAATCAATAAATAAATAAAAATAATGTTATTAATAACTACATTCTGTAGTTAATGTATTTATCCGTATAATACAGTAAACAATAAGTACATCAACTACAGAGTSCTTTATTAATAACATTATTATTATTTATTAATTAAAGTGAATTTTAAAATTATTATAACTTATATAAAATACTGTAATGTATTTTACTTTATATAAAACAAATGGTAATTACAAAAATTAAAAATCATTGTAATACAATATGTAATTATATTACTGTCTAATTTTTTTTTGTATTAGAACTGTTTTTCAATGTTATATCTATTTCCTATATTATAAAATCTAATATATCTATAAATTATTTGTTTTTATTATAAATTAAGTTAAATTACAATTAATTTTTAAAATATATACTTAGTTAGCATATATAGATTGCAATTAGCCTATAATTTATTATTTAGTTTATAGATGTTAAACAAGTATTAAGTTATTTATTATAATTTTGTTTGAATTTTATTTCATTATGTTTTTAACATAAGAATTTATTATAGTTTGCATAAACCTTATTGATAATAATATATATTTAAATAATGAATAAATATATATAGTTTTTTTTATTAATCCAATGCAAAACAAWRTGATARACAACACRATTGTATCACAGCTTGCACTTCAAGCCAACCAATTGTGTGCCCATATTATATAATTTTGTAACAATTATATTGTATGTATTTATTTAATAGGGGGTATAGTTTACATTATATATCATTTTATATTAYCATAAACTCTATTGTCTTTTAGGCCAAAATAGTAACATACAAAATACAAACAATCGTAACATTTTAGTTCAATAAAAGACATATTACATAAAATGATTTAATTAAATATTAATTAMTAGTTTAAGTAATATTATTAATAGATTATAGAAAATAATTCAAATATTTATTAACAATTAATTCAAAGTCATAACACAACAAGTGATGGTATGAATTAGATTTATAATGATTTTTATAATATACATCTTATGGTTTGTTTTAGGATTGTATTGTTCAATGGCTACGACAGTCATCACAAGACAATAGACTTCTTATAGATTTGATTGTTAACTTTGATCAACAATTACAATGTCATCTATAATATCATAAATCGGGTTAAAAGAAAGATTACATTCTATATGTCATGTTTTGAGAAACGACGACAAATATTGGACTAACGGTAATGACTTTATTCCCGAGCGTTTCCTCGATAGTGAAGATCATTATATGACAACCCGTTCGCCGGCATTCATACCTTTCGGTGTGGGACGACGTATATGTTTGGGCGAGAAGTTAGCCATCGCTGACCTGTTTCTTGTTTTGGTCCGATTTCTACAATCGACACAAAACTATGACATTGTTTTGGACAGTCATAATGGTTTGGATACCGATCCTAATATTAGTGATTCTATTAATCCATATAGATATACAATTATATTTAAATCTAAATCTTAATTACTATTTTATACAGTTTATTGCAAATTACATATAGAAATAATTACATAATTTTTTTTAATAAATTGTTTTATAAATATCCACATATTATGTTAATCATCTTATTAATTATTATATTAAGTTTTTATTTAGTAATAATTTGCTATATTATTTAAATATTATTTAATAATTTTTCAATTTAAAAAGTTTAAAATTTTTAAAAATGTAAATTAAAAAATTAAATATAAAATAATATAAAAAATAAATGTTAAAATGATATCTATATATAGATCTATAATATCCTGAGCATGAATGCCCAATTCATATGTATTTATTAATACCTCTAATATATACAATTTAATCTTTAACGTGTTTGCTAATTAGCATATTTAATACGTATACATTGCGTACTAATGCATTATTATTATTATTATTTAATTTCAATTTACAAAATTATATATTAATGCATTGAATAGACATTAAGGTAATAACTTTTTTAAACTGTTTAAAAATGTCTACATTTTAAATTTTATTTAAATTTCAATGTCAACTATAATAAAATTACTGTAATTTTTTTTGGCATACTATAAARTTATTATTTTTTAATTTTAAATAATTGATTTTCTATCAATAGTAAATTTTAGATTAAATTTACAGTAATGCGTTATAAATTTTTTAGTTTATCAGATAAAAAATGTATATTATAAATCTTATATTTAAGGTGAGATCAAAGTTTATGTAAACTCACACAACTATAAATAAAATTATTACATTAAAATTAAATTAATTTATATATAATTTCTGAAGATTTTATTTTTTTTACAAAAGCTAGTAATTATTATATAAACTATTACATGTTATTTATCTATTATTATTAATGTAAATAATTAAATTAAGTTCAAATAATAATTTACAAGTACAACAAGGCCAAATTGATTAATATTATATCAATAAATTCAAGTTAAACACTCATAGTATATAAATAGTGAAAGAATAGTCAAAATTTATTAATTTAAAATTATTATAAGTTATTAAACTTCGAATTTTTATTAAATATAATAATAATAATAATAAAATAGTTGTTTACTAGTAATTACTAATAGTAAAGATGTCTATATTAAATCAATTATTTTTATTGTTAATATCGGATGTTTGGACAACAATTATAAGTTTATTAATTGGTTATGTGGTCTACAAATTGGCAAAATTTTATTACCGATATTATAGTCTACCTCCCGGTCCTTTGCCATTGCCTGTGTTGGGAAATATATTAGGTAAGTGCAGAAAAAAATTATTTTTTAAAATTTAAAATTCAGAGTTTTATAATAATTTTAAAATTTATATAATGTAAGTTAAGTAGATTTATTTTTAATAATGTATTTTATTTTATTTTTTGTGATATTGTACTTAAAAAATAGCATTTAAAACTCAAGATCATTGGGACGATGTTTTCCGACAAATGTCTAAAAAATACGGTCCAGTATTTACTGTACATATCGGCAATACTCCACAGGTTATGATCACTGATGTGGACATCGCTAGAGAAGCCTTTCGTAAAAATGATTTCGCGGGAAGACCTGAATCTTATTTCGGTAATTGAATTAATATAGATATTAAACATTTATTATTAATAAAATACTTATTATCTTTTTTTTGTTGAAAAATCTATATACTGTATAATAAATATGATATTTAAATAATAGGAAGTTATATGTCAAATGACAAACAAAAAGATGTTATATTTACCGATTACGGCCACACTTGGGAAGCATTGAGACGTGTGGCTCACGCGGCCGTACAGTACGTCTATTTTAATTATATAAAACAAAACATATATATWTATATATATATAATTATAAATTAATTTATTTTTTTATAGAAAATATTCAGTTAATGATAGATTAATTAATGTGACCGTCGATTGTGTTGATAAAACAGTGCAAACAATGTTAACAAAAGAGGGTACAAATACACCCATAAAAGTCATTGATTATATATATCATATGTTTCTGAATATATTGGCGGACAGCACTTTCGGACAAAAGTAATTATTTTTTTATTATATAATTATTATTTAAARTTTAATTCAATCATAAATCAATCAATATCAATATATTCAGATTTAATTATGATGATCCCGAGTTTAAATTACTGAGCTATGGATTACGTGATTTTGCAATGGAGGCGGGATCCCATTTCTTTTTATGGGAATTTTCACCACTAATACGATTGTTGGACTATAAGATGGTAYGCAAACTAAACAAAGTAGAGTATCAAATGCAGGATATTATGAAAGAAAAATTGARAAATCATTACAAAGATTAYAATCCGAGTATTGAACGCGAYTTTTGCGATGCACTCATTTCGGCTAAAAATGATGCGCTCCGGGAGGGAAAAGAGTCGGCACCSTATCTGACTGATCCAAATTTGGCGATAACTATATATGATCTTTTCATAGCAGGAACTGATACCTCACAAAAAACATTTCAATGGTTACTATTATTTTTATCTTATTATCCAAATTTACAAAATAAATTACGAGAAGAAATTGAGTCGCAAATCGGTGACMRAATACCAACCCATGAGGACAGACAGCGATGTCATTATGTGATGGCATTTATATCGGAAACAYTAAGATTGAGAAATGTCGCCCCATTTGGTGTGCCTCACAAAGCWGTAGTCAACAGTAAAATAGGTAATAACTTATTAACTGAATTTGTTTTTCAATAAACTAACAGTTAGTTTTTAGGTGATTACACAATACCCGAAGGTATACCTGTGTTTGTATATCAGGGAATTATATTGAGAAGCGATGACAACAAATATTGGCCTAAAGCTAATGACTTCAYACCCGAGCGCTTTCTCGACAGTGACGGACATTATATGACAACCCGTTCGCCGGCATTCATACCCTTTGGTGTGGGACGTCGTGTATGTTTGGGCGAGAAGTTGGCCATCGCTGACATATTTCTCGTTTTGGTCCGATTTCTACAATTGACACAAAACTATAACATTGTTTTGGACAGTCATAATGGTATTCTACCCGATCCTAATAAAAGTGCTGCTATGGATCCATTTGATTATACGATTGTATTAAAAACTAAATAAAAACATTCAAATATTTAAAATAATAGTTTATTATTACATTATTATTTTAAAACATTTATAATTTTTCTGATTTATCCTAAATAAATATGTATTTTTAAATTATACAAACTATTAATTACTAATTTATTATTTTATTAATTATAATAAAAATATTAATTTTTAAAAATCTATATATTTATTAATTACAATATAAAACATGTTTATATTATTGAACTACTTGTATTAAGTTATTTAATTATATCAAAATTATTGTCAATTAAAAAATAATTTTCTGACTTTTTAGAATTAATTTAATTTTGTTTTTATTTATTTATAATGTCAGGTATTATGTAATTATTAAATTAATAAAACAATATTTATAATTTCAACAATAGATATGTAATAGATAATTTTAACACTATTTATTTAAAAAAATTATTATCATAATAACGTTTTGATTATGTTATGATATTTATATTTTTATCATAAATACACAAATAAATTTAATACTATTTATAAATAATACTTTATTTTATTAAGTGCTTATACTATAGTAATAAAAGTTTTTACTGATAGTGCGTTCAGTTTAAACTAAATATGAAAATTCGGTTTTTATAAGATTTAATATTTTTAAAACTATTAATAAGTTAAATAAATACAATATTACATTTATGCTTAAATTTACTAATGATTTACTAAATTAAATTTAATAAAATAATCTATTATTCTTATCACAAGAAATGTAAGGTACTATTAAAGAGATATTATTTGTATTATTTAAGATTATTTATTAATTAGAATATTTTAAAACAATTAAATTAAAAAATATATATTAATGATAATTTTAATTTTTAAAGTCAAAAATTTGGCATTAATTTAATTTTAGTTTCATTTGACATTTAATGTTAGGTTTGGTTTCGGATAATTATAAATATTTCCCCAATATTTATGGGAAAGTTATTACTAATCTATTTTCAAGGACATCAGGTATACTCTATGTTTTAGTAGTAGATAATACAGCATAACATATAAAGTTATGATACTATATAAATACGAAATGTTATATGAGTTTATTCATTAGTTTATAATAMTGAATATTATAAAAATAAATAAACTTTTTTATTTATTTATTTTTAAATTTTATTTTAAGTGAACAAAATTAAACACTTAATAACAATGTCTATATTGACAAAATTATTTTCTTGGATTGTCTCGGATTTTTGGACAACAATATTGACAATATTTATAGCTTATATGGTCTACAAATTGGCTAAATTTTATTATCGATACTACAGTCTACCTCCCGGTCCATTTCCATTGCCAGTGTTTGGTAATATTTTAGGTAGGTTGTTTTTAGAAATGTTTAGTTAATAGTGTATAAAAATTATTTTTTGGTATATTTAGATACTATTAAAATATTTTAAAACTTATTTTAACTAAAATAGAATTCAAATCGAAACTCCATTGGAATGAAGTTATGCGAGAATTRGCCAAAAAGTATGGACCGGTTTTTACCGTACATATGGGAAACACTCCTCAAGTAGTCATCAGTGATGCCGATATCGGTAGAGAAGCTTTTAGGCGAAATGATTTTGCGGGACGGCCTACAAGTTTTATAAGTATATATATATATATATATATATATATAACTTAATATTAGAAAAAGCATTAATAAATAAAATATCATATTTTATTTTTTAATTATCAGGTAGTACTTTATCAAATGATAAGTTTTCGGATATAGTGTCCGCCGATTATGGCCACCAATGGGAAGCCCTGAGACGTGTGGCACACGCGGCCGTACAGTATGTGTTATTTTGCATATTATAAWATGATATAAATATTTCAATGAAATCATATTTTGTTTAATTTATAAAAAAGTATTGTATTAAATGATATATTAATTTGTTTTTTTAAAAATAATATTATAGAAAATATTCAAATAATGAGCGATTAGTTAATGTAGCCGTGGATTCAGTGGACAATACAATTAAGTCAATAGTGGACAGTGAGGGCACTGACAAACCATTTATACCGGAAGTCTATATCTATCTTATGTTTCTCAATATTTTGGCCAACAGTACGTTTGGAGAAAAGTAATAATAAATTTATRATTAAATAAATAATTAAACAAATTATTAATAATTAGTATTTTAAACTTATTTTTTGAATTAGCTATACTGTGAACGACCCTGAGTTTAAACAAATCAAATATATTGTACGTGATTTCACTCAGGAAATGGGAACTCGGTTTATGTTTTGGGAGATATCACCACTATTTCGATGGATTGACAATAAGATGGTTAACAAACATAAATCACTTTTGGCGGATGTTTTTGATTTAATGGAAAAGAAATTGCAAAAGCATTACAAAGATTACAATCCAAGTATTGAACGAGACTTTTGTGATGCACTGATTGCGGCTAAAAATGATGCGCTCCGGGAGGGCAAGGAATCGGCACCTTATCTTACTGATGCTAATCTGCGAATGTGTATCTTTGACTTATTTGTTGCCGGAACCGATACATCATTTATGACATTTCACTGGATTTTATTGTTTATGACTTAYTATCCATCGATGCAAACAATGTTACGACAAGAGATTGATACACAAATTGGTGACCGATTGCCGACACATGAAGACAGGCATCGATGTCATTATGTTATGGCATTCATATCGGAAACACTGAGATTAAGAAATGTAGTTCCCGTTGGTCTTATGCATAAAGCAATGGTCAACAGTAAAATAGGTATTAAAATAGAGATTTTTTAAATAATATTAAATTTAGTATTAATAATTAATAGTGTTTATTAATTAAAAAATATAATTATTAATTTTAATATTTAGCTAATTATACGATACCTAAAGATATGTCTGTTGTTACATATCAGTCAATTATTTTACGGGATAATAAACATTGGGATAAATGCGACGACTTTATACCCGAGCGCTTCCTCGACAGTGATGGCAAATACATGACAACCCGTTCGCCGGCATTCATACCCTTTGGTGTGGGACGTCGTGTATGTTTGGGCGAGAAGTTGGCCATCGCTGACCTGTTTCTTGTTTTGGCCCGATTTCTACAATCGACTCAAAACTATGATATAGTTTTGGACACTAATAAGGGTATTCAACCCGATCCTTCTAAGACAATGGGTATTATTCCCGAGGAATATAAAATTGTTTTTAAAACTAAATCCAGATAACAACATATTTTTGAATATKTATGAAATATTTATTTATAAAAAATATAATTCAAAACACATTATTTATGATAATTTATTCTATTGTATTTTAATTTATATTTTATATAAYTATAMAAATAAAGAAAAATTAAAATAAAATTTATCTAGTTACATTTATAAACTAWAAAATAATAAATRATAATAAAATTAATCGTAACATAATCTAAAGATAATTATAAAATATAAATTGTATTATAATATAAATTAAATGATTTATAAAGCCTAATAAAATTGATAATAAGTATTGTATTCAATTTTTTTAAACATAAATTCATAAGTTTTTCATATCTAACTYAAACTTTTTGTACTCATGAWATCAAAGTTTTGTTTTGATTTCATGAGTACAAAAAGTTTGAGTTAGATATGAAAAACGGTTTGGATTTGATCAWGGTTTGCTTGATTTTTTTAAATTTACATTTTTTACATTAAATATTTTTAATAAATAAAGTAATTATTAACATTAATAAATGATTTAATATATTATTTATTAATKAGTTGTTTCAAATTWATAGTACTCTGATTTTTGTCTAAATTAAATTACTTTAAAATAATTAAAAATTTTAACTAAATTATCTACATAGTTTTTTTATTATAATTTAAATTAGTTTATAACTAWTGATAATTGTTTTTTCTAATATTTATTAATTTAAACATTTATAATGAGTTACTTTGTTTTAATTATAGTAATTAGCGGTTCGYTTATAGCGGTTATATGTTTTATAGAGAGACTTGTCTTAAACTTTATTGAAGCTTTATATATACCTGTTTGTAGTTTGAAGGACARCTAGTTATTATAAAAAGTWTATAAATATAAACTTTTTATATTAATAATTTTAAATCAGTATAAACATTGATAGTTTTAAATATTGTAATTATTAATAATATAAATTTGCTAAAAATAGTAATAGTAATAGTAATAATAATAWTAATATTAATAATTATGTCTTTTTCGACAAAATTATTTGCTTGGATTGCAACTGATTTYAAGACTACTATTATWACTTTATTTGTCGGTTATTTKGTCTACAAATTGGCCAAATTTTATTACCGATATTACAGTTTACCTCCCGGTCCATTTCCATTGCCAATATTAGGCAATATTTTATGTAAGTTAATCATTAGATAATCTTTTAATTTGTCCAAGTAGCTTTTCAGTAAAATATTATAATATATTTATAATTTATATATAAATAAATACAATATTAAAAACAAACAAAAATTGTTGTATAAAATAGCATTTATATCTAAACATCATTGGGACGAAATATTTCGACAATTGTCCAAAAAGTATGGACCAGTTTTTACTATATATATGGGGAATATTCCAAATATCGTTATCACTGATGCGGACATCGCTAGAGAAGCGTTTCGTAAAAATGATTTCGCGGGAAGAACTGAGAGCTATATCGGTAATTAAATAATTATATTATTGATATTAAATACTGGTATTAAAACAAACAAACAAAAAATAATGATTATATTGTCTTAACTAACAGGTAATGTAATATCAAATGAAGAGCACAGGGATATTGTGTTTGCCGATTACGGCCACACTTGGGAAGCGTTGAGACGTGTGGCTCAYTCGGCCGTACAGTACGTTTCACCACTAAATAGTTTGAAGTGTTTTAATAAACTTTTTTTTTAATTCAATATTTAGAAAATACTCGACTAATGAACGKTTAGTGAATGTTGCCGTCGATTCKGTCGATAAAACTATACAAACAATGTTAGAAAGAGATGGTACAGACAAACCTATCGATCCATTTGATTACATATATCTCATGTTTCTCAACATTTTAGCGAACAGTACTTTTGGTGAAAAGTAAATTTTAAAAAAACAATTACAAAATTTTAATAAACTAAACATTATTATCATTCAAAAAAATATATAGTTATACTTTGGATGAYCCRGAATTTAGACATTTAAAGTATATGTTTAACGAGTTTCCTAATGAATTGGGATCACGACTATTGTTGTGGGAATTTTTACCAYTAATGCGATGGATTGACAAGAAAATGGTTACAAAACATTTAGATAATATAAGATATACTCAACAATTGATGACCAAAAAATTTGTTAAACATTACACCGATTACGACCCGATTATTGAACGCGACTTTTGCGATGCACTCATTACAGCTAAAAATGATGCGCTCCGGGAGGGAAAAGAGTCGGCACCCTATCTGAAAGATTCCAATCTAATAATGTGTACGTTTGATATATTTATTGCCGGCACCGATACGTCTCAGCGAACATTTCAATGGCTTCTCCTATTTATGATTTATTATCCGGATATACAAACAAAATTGAGAGACGAAATTGAATCACAAATCGGTGACCGAATGCCAACACATGAGGACAGACAGCGATGTCATTATTTGATGGCATTTATTGCTGAAACTATGAGATTGAGAAATGTTGTGCCAATYGGTGTTCCTCATAAAGCTGTAGTCACCAGTAAAATAGGTAATAATTTTTATGTTTTTTTAATTACAGTTATTTATTTCTTTTWTATAAATTTAGGTGACTTTACTATACCCGAAGATATGTCAATAATTACACACCAAGGAATCATTTTACGGGATAATAGCAAATATTGGGATAAATGCGACGACTTTATACCCGAGCGCTTCCTCGACAGTGATGGCAAATACATGACAACCCGTTCGCCGGCATTCATACCCTTTGGTGTGGGACGTCGTGTATGTTTGGGCGAGAAGTTAGCCATCGCTGACCTGTTTCTTGTTTTGGTCCGATTTCTACAATCGACWCAAAAATACGATTTAGTATTAGACAGCAATATTGACATTAAACCCGATCCCAATGTTAATGAATCTATTGCTCCAAAAAAATTTAAAATTATGTTTAAAACTAAAATGAGATAATTAATATACATTATCTAGAAATTTATTATTAAATACAAAATAATTATACTAAACAGATATTTTTTATTTTTAAATAAACAAAATATTCTCATTTATTCTTAATTATGCAAAAATATTTATAACTTATTTTTTGTTATTTATTAATCTTAAATAATATACTTATTAGAAAATTCATAACTTTGTATTTAAAATGATAATTTAATAATAATTATTTTTAATAAATAAAATAATTTATATAATGTATTGTTTAAATTTGTGATTTTTTCAATTAACGCAGTTAACATTTTAAATTTAATAATTAAAAAATATTATTTATCAGYAATATATCCTATACTATATACATATACATTTAAATATACATTTATTTTTATCTTAAAACTATAATAAATAGTATAATTTATAATTTATTGAACGCAATGTACTAAACTWAAWCATTTTRAACKTCAAACTATGTTATTAAATATTCATAAATGTTTATTAGATAATAATTTAGTAATTATTACTGTAAGTAAAATTTAAAAAATACTCTTTATTTTATTTAYTGGTAATTATCTAATCATTCAATTAKATTAWATATATTTTTGTTTGTTTTTCAGTCAGTTGAATGATAGGTACACTACGGACAGTAAGTTTTGAAGGACAACTAATTATTATCATACAAAACACATGCAGTAATAAAAAAGTATATAAATGTATTAACTTTTTAGTCAAACATAAATTATAGATTTATTTGCCAATAGTTTGCAAATAATAAGAATTAATATATATATTAATAATTACAGTATATTTAAATATTTTTGTATCTAAAAAATTATTGTAATAATGTCTATATTGACACAATTGTTTGGATGGTTTATATTAGATTTTCGGACAACAATTTTCAGCCTAATATTAGGTTATGTTGTCTATTATTTGGCAAAGTTCTACTACCGATACTCTAGTCTACCTCCCGGTCCCTTTCCATTACCAATTTTGGGCAATTTTCTCTGTAAGTCAATAAAATAAATAATAATATTATTAATAGAAAATTATTTTATTACAGTATATAATTATTATTATTTTGTTTTATTATAAAATAGCATTTAAAACTAAACTTCATTGGGACACTGTTTTGGAAAATATGTCTAAAAAATATGGACCAATATTTACGGTACATTTTGGTAATAAACCGCATATTATGATCACTGATGTAGACATAGCTAGAGAAGCGTTTAGAAAAAATGATTTCGCCGGCAGACAAACTGATTCACAATTTGGTAATTAACAAAAAAAATAATTTATTATTAGTATTAATATTATTTATTAATTTTTAACTATAATCTTATAGGAAGTCTATTATCTAATGATAAATATAAAGATGTGGTGTTTACCGATTACGGCCATACATGGGAAGCACTAAGACGTGTGGCTCACGCGGCCGTACAGTACGTGTCAAATAAAATATTTAACAAACAATTTATTATCAATAATGACAACAATAATAATAAATCTTATTTTTTTAACAAAATTAGAAAATACTCGACTAATGAAAGATTAGTTAACGTAGCCATCGATTCAGTGGACAAAACAATACAGATTATTGAGGATAGAGAGGGAACTGACAGACAGTTTAGTCCAAATGATTACATTTATCTAATGTTTCTAAATATTTTGGCGAACAGTACTTTTGGACAAAAGTAAATATTTAAAAAAAATATTTTGTAATAAAATTTTAATTAATTATTTTTATAAATATATAGTTATAATGATAATGACAAAGAATTTAAACAAATTCTATATATTTTGCGTGACTTTAATCGTGAAGCGGGAACCCGTCTACTACTGTGGGAGTTGTCACCACTATTTCGTTTAATTTACCACAAATGGGTCCAAAAACAAAATAAAATGTTCGCCAAAATGGCAGTCCTTATGACTGAAAAACTGGAAAACCATTATAAAGACTACGACGAGAATATTGAACGCGATTTTTGCGATGCACTTATTTCGGCTAAAAATGATGCGCTCCGGGAGGGCAAGGAGTCGGCACCGTATCTAACAGATCCTAATCTAGCGATAACTATGTTTGACTTGTTTCTTGCCGGAACCGATACATCGCAGCGAACTTTCCATTGGATTCTACTGTTTATGGCTTACTATCCGGAAATGCAAAAGAAGTTGAAAGAAGAAATTGAGTCCCAAATCGGTGACCGAATGCCAACACATGAGGACAAACAGCGGTGTCATTATGTCATGTCTTTTATTGCCGAAACTATGAGACTAAGGAATGTCGTGCCTTCAGGAGTACCACATAGAGCTGTAGTCAGAAGTAAAATTGGTAATCAAATATTTTATATGCTTTTTATATAAATTTATAATAATTAATATATATTTTTTTGCAATATAATAGATAAATACACTCTTGAAGAGGATTCATCTGTACTTGTATTGCAGGGAAATATTTTACGAAATGAGAAATATTGGCCAAAAAGTCAGAATTTCATACCCGAGCGTTTCCTCGACAGTGACGGCCATTATATTACAACCCGTTCGCCGGCATTCATACCCTTTGGTGTGGGACGTCGTGTATGTTTAGGCGAGAAGTTGGCTATCGCTGACCTGTTCCTGGTTTTGGTCCGATTTCTACAATCGACAAAAAAATATGATATAGTTTTGGGTGAAAATAATGGTATAATTCCCGATCCAGATCTGACTGATTCAGTCGTACCGTTTGAATATAAAGTTATATTCAAAATTAAATCACAATAATTATTAAATAATTATAAATAAATAATAAATGTATATTATATTTTAATAGATGTACTGGCATACAGTATAAATATCATATTAAATATTTTATGTTTTAATCATATWATTAATTAATAATTTTATATTTATGTAAATATTAAATATAATTATATAATAAAAGTAAAATTAGTTTTAAATATATTTTTATATTTTGTTAATTTAAAAACCAATTAAAATAATTAATAAATAATTGTAATAATACTTTTAAAAATTATTATCTTTGCAAATAAATATTTACAAATYTAACAAAAATTAAAAAGATCTATTCATTGWTAAAATGTTAGATAAAGTTTATTAAATTAAAAATGTATCTATTGAATATTATTTYAATTAATTGTATTGCAGTATAATATAAAAAATAATTATATGGTTTTGTATTTTTAATAAACACCCTGTAGTTTTATTATTATTATATAATATCGGATATTATTAGCATGGTTATAGTTTGTTTAATTTTTAAACTACTTAATATATTTTATGTTTCTTATTTTAAAGACTAACCTTGAAATTTTCAATTAAAAAACATTATCAATGATTGATAAATAATAAACAATGATTATATGATTATTACWATTATACAGTAATAATAGGTTATATAAAATGTTGTCAGGTGCACTGAGGACAGGCAGATTGAAGGCCATTGAATATAAGTTTAGATAAGTACAGACTTTGGATATTTTTAAATTATAAAATAATTAATATCTTTCTAAGTATAAAATATGCAATAACTGCTGTATAACTATAATTTTTTTGAGTGTTGATTTGTTTTTATTGATTAACAAAACAACAAATTGTTTAGATTTATAAAAAACYTTTTTTTAAGATACATTACATACAGTGCAGTATTCTTACATTTACTGTATTTGAATGATAAGATAATTTACTGATGTTATTAACTAAGTGTATTGCGGACARTTAGTTATCAGTGATTTACACTAAAATTACTATTTATAAACAACTTGTATATAAATGTATGAATTTAATTTATATATTATATTAGACAGTTGCAAATAGTTTTAATTTGTATGAAAAATTAAATAATTAAAATTAATTTTTCTATTGTTTGCATTTAAAAAGATTAACCAAATATTTTTTCATTCATTAAAAATAATGTCAATTATAACATATTTATTGTCATTGTTTTCGTTGGATTTGCGGACAACATTTATTACAATACTGATCGGTTATTTAGTGTATAAATTGACCAAATTTTATACACAGTATTATCGACTACCTCCCGGACCATTTCCATTGCCACTATTGGGAAATATATTATGTATGTAATATTATTGTTACAATTAATTGTTTTTTCAAAAATAACATTATTTTTTTTAAACATATATAAATCAGTATTTAAAACCAAATCACATTTCGATGATGTTATGCGACAATTGACAAAAAAGTATGGACCAGTATTTACACTTTATATGGGAAATGAACCACAAATTATGATAACTGATCCACTGGTAGCTCGAGAAACGTTCAATACCAACACATATTATGTGTTTTTTCAATTATAATGTGTTTTTCCAATATGTACCGTAATACCAACACATATTATGTGTTTTTTCAATTATAATGTGTTTTTCCCATATGTACCGTAATACCAACACATATTATGTGTTTTTTCAATTATAATGAAAAAATGTGTTTTCCAATATGTACTGTATTTTTAATATACGTTTATATATTTAATAGTTATTTTAATTAAAATATTTTATTTAAAAAAATTTTTATTTGAGGTAATACGGTATCATTTTTATATTTATTTTAATAAAAATATTATATTTTTTAAAAATTTTATTTGAGGTAATACGGTATCATTTTTATATTTATTTTAATAAAAATATTATATTTTTTAAAAATTTTATTTGAGGTAATACGGTATTTTTAGTTTATAAAATATTTTTTATAATAATATATTATTTAATAATATAAAACAATATATTAAATATTACTAATTATTTATTTTTTTAGAGTTTTCTGGACGACCCTCATCATATTTTGGTAATAATAATAATACAGTAATTAATATAGAAAATAAAAATTTTAGAATTAAATTTATATTTTTTAGTAAATATAATATAAATTATTAAGAAATTTATTAAATAATTCAATTTATTATTATTAATAGCAAATATGTTTTCAAATGAAATATTGTATTTGGGCAGACGTGTACAGATTTGATAATATTTGGCATTTAATATATATATATTGTTATGTCGGGTGCGTGTGATAGCTTGATTATGGCCAAATGTGATTGACTAGGGAAGCAGTGATAATTGATAGCCAATGATGTCTACCAACTTACACCCAAACACAACATACAATCGTCGCCGATATCACTCAGTGATTAGTAGTCGGCAATGACTACGATAGTGACCACAATTGATAATAATGAAGACAACACCAGATATAAGATAATAATTTATTGATTGAATTGAATTATCATTAAAGACAGTAATTGACTGAACACGTGAACTGAAGTGATTAGTAATGAATTGTGTGATGTTTTCATATGAATGACAATAACTTGAAGTGATATTATAACGGATATAATATTAAATACAATGAAATGAGTGTATATATATATATATAGTATTTACAAACGGTTAAAAGTATTTTGAATTGATTGGTTGTAATAATATTGAATGATAAGTGAAATGATATTTGAAATAATAAAAGTTAACATAAATAATTTTTAATGTTTTAGAATATATATATATAATTTTTTTATAATTTAATAATATTTACTAATAATTTTTGTTTTAATTAAAAAAATAGAAAATATTCAACAAATGAACGACTGGTTAACGTTGCTGTCGATAGTGTTGACCGTACAGTGAAAAAGATGTTAACACTGGAGGGTACAGACAAACCGTTTTCGGCAAACAATTATATATACCTTTTGTTTTTAAATATATTAGCCAACAGTACATTTGGCCATAGGTTAGAAAATCTMTATAWTATTATTTAGTATTAAAATTAATTGTTATTTAAATATTTGTTATACAGCTATGATTTTGATGAACCAGAATTCAAAAAGTTATTATATATAATAAGAGATTTTCCTAAAGAAGCCGGAAGTAGAGTACTTTTGTGGGAGTTTTCACCACTTATACGACTAATTGACTATAAAATGGTTACAAAACACAGACAATTATTCAGTGAAATGATAGAAATATCTGAGAAAAATTTCAAAAAACATTATATAGATTACGATCAGAATATTGAACGCGATTTTTGCGATGCACTTATTTCGGCTAAAAATGATGCGCTCCGGGAGGGCAAGGAATCGGCACCATATCTTACAGATAATAACTTAGTAATGGCTATATTTGATATATTTTTTGCCGGCACCGATACATCTCAGCGAACATTTCAATGGATGTTATTAATTATGTTATACTATCGAGAGATACAAAATAAATTAAGACAAGAAGTCGAGTCATTAATTGGTGACCGAATGCCAACACATGAGGACAGACATCGATGTCATTATATAATGGCATTTATATCGGAAATACTGAGATTCAGAAATGTTGTGCCAACCGGTGTCTTTCATAAGGCAGTTGTTACGAGTAAAATAGGTATTTTTAACTTTAAATATTTATTTAAATAATTTTTATAAATATCATACTATTTTATAAAAAAAAACTTAGAGGAACATACAATACCAGAGGGAATGTCCGTATTTGCATACCAGGGAATTGTATTGAGAAACGATGACAACAAATATTGGACTAATTCTAATGACTTCAAACCCGAGCGCTTTCTCAATAGTGACGGCCATTATATGACAACCCGTTCGCCGGCATTCATACCCTTTGGTGTCGGACGTCGTGTATGTTTAGGTGAAAAGTTAGCCATCGCTGACCTGTTTCTTGTTTTGGTCAGATTCTTGCAAAGCACTCAAAAATATGATTTAGTTTTGGAGAATAATAAAGGCATTGATGTCGATCCCAATGATCCCAATTATACTCCTTTCGATTATAAAATTATGTTTAAAACAAAATAATAATTATTAAATTAAGTTATTATAATTAATTAATATCTTTAATTATATTTCAAATATATATATTTTTTACTAAAATATGTAAATATTTTTTTAAATAAAATTATTAATAAAAACAATTACATTAAACAAAATCTAAGTTTTAATAATCTAAAATTAACGTTACTCTTAAACTAAGTTATAATTAATAAAATATTATATATATGTAAAACTTTAGTTGAGTTTTACCGCAATTGTTTATTAGGCGCACCAATACATTAAAAAACTCATTGTATTTAAAGCGGTTAAGGCAATCTTATAATGGAGAGGTTTGAATTTGTTAGGGGAACTCAGATGTTGGCCGATCGGTATCCCAACCGTCGGCATCTAAACACTTGACAATAAGTAACACAAGACAGTAATCAAACAACAAAACTATTTATTATTATTAACTTAAACACAATATTATATATATTTAACATAACTAAGCGACTAAATTGCTAAACATTAACAAAATAATTATTTAATATACAGTATTGTACGGTATGGCCACTATGTGTGCCGTCCGTTTAAAAGCAAAACTTAAATATAAACTTAAAATATAAAAAACAATAGAATTAAATGTTTAGTACTTACGGAACGACATCACACGTGTCGCCCGTTTTAGAGTTAAATAACAACTGTCTTTAAAATACATAAAAGTATCTCTATTTATACACAAAAATATCTATAAAACTACTCAACAGTATTGGGAAAATTACTTATAAAATATTAATCATTAAATTATATTCAAAACTAATGGAAAATACCTAAAATATATATACAATGTTATAGTTTAAACTTTTGACTCTAAAATATTATACAAAAATATCATAAACTTGTAGTCAAAGCTAACAATCCGTTACATATTTTAAAATTATTATTTTATTTAATTATGAATTTGTTATACATTTGTAGTTAATATGTTGCAGTCGTAAGCACTGGCATATCAAAGCATAAAAGGTATGGTCAGTGCTATCCCTTATATAGGGATTTAAGTCAATAGATTGACCCTTAAAATAGTCGGCAGTTATTTGAAAAGTAATAAAGTTATAGAAAGTAAAATATTTTCTATTATTGGCAAAAATGTTAAATTTATGTCTATTTGTTAATTAAATTATTACTTATTTTCTGTGAAATATTTCTATATATAAGTTATCATTAAATATAAAGTAGATATACTTTATATATATATAATTATTGATTAATAATAAATACTATAATAKGTTAAATATATTCGGTAAAATATTATAAGTTTTATATAGAAATGTATTATTTTAATCTTAATCATTTTAGTGTGTGTTATCTTAAAAACAATTTTTATTTTTAATAATAAATAAAGTTATATTTCGCTATTTTGTATATTAGTATTTAAATTAAATTATTTATAAAAATTATGATTATATTCTTATTGTTTATAAAATTTATATAATACAATATTATTACTAATGTATTTTTACTACAGTACTACTACTAATAATAATTAATTGACAAAAAGTTTTTAGTTTTTAAAATACCAAATATATTTAAACATTTATGATCATTAAAACACAAACATTATTAAATAAATAATAAATAATAAATTGTGTATTTATTGTTAAATTAACTACTAATCATTTAGAAAATACTCAAAAAATGAATGACTGTAAGCGATGCTATTATTTCGGCTAAAAATGATGCGCTCCGGGAGGGAAAAGAGTCGACACCATATCTTGTTGACAACAATTTAGTATTAGCTATATTTTATTTATTTATTGTCTTTTTTGTTGTTTATTACTATTTATAAATCGGATACTATTTTGTATAACTTTATTCATAGCAATTCAACCCAAGATTATGATTTACAACTTGTATAATACAAGTAATGATAAGTAATAGTTATATACATTAGATACCAATCCCCAGGTGTCTCATCAGTATATTTGGTGTAAATTTATTGAAATGTTTAAAAAATACTTTTTATTCATTTATTGATTGAATTATAAATATTTATTATATAATGTATTATAAATATGACATTTTTATGATATAGTTTTAATTTACAGTATGTTATTAATGTATTAATTTTATTTGGTAGTTAATTTAAATTTATTTTTATTTAATAATTATAATAATCATTAATAAAAGTTTATTAATCTTTTAATATAAACTAATTTTATTGTTTTTTCTTTTATTTAATTATTTTTATAATAATATTAAACAATTAGACTTTAGAAAATTTAAAAAAAAATAATTTGTTGTTATATTATGACTAAGAAAAAATAACATTACTTGTTTAATACCAGTATATTTAATAAGTTTTGTTAAAAAATTATCATTAAATATAATGTATTGCATAATAAGTAAATTTAATCGATGGGATGATACTGTTGTAAACAGTATTAATGAAATGTTAACATAAAAATAAAAACATTTTTTATATACACTATATTAAACAAGCAATGTTTAGAAAAAGCATTATATTATTTAATATAATCTATTTATACTAAAACATAATAACATAAAACATAAGTTTATTATTATATTATATAAACATTTATTCCATTGAAAAGCTTAAAGTTTAATACTTTATATACTGTAAAGTATATATACATTTTGATTACATGAGTCATAACCCTACCTAAACATACTATAGAATACTTGATGATCGGGACAGGTATTACAACAAACTACTTGTACTCTCTTTATCTTTAAGTASTTAATACATTGGTATTACAATAATAAGAATAATAATATTTCTAATAGCGTTTTTATTAAAACATATGGAAAAATAAAACTTATGTAATATAGCAGCTTAATGTCTACTGTATATGTCTATGTTTCTCGGGAAAGGTATGTGTAAGGTGTTTAGCGCACACACACACAAATACATACCTGTACTCCAATACACAATATAGACAATCATTATTCGCACGTTTCTCTCAGTGATTGTCATGGAAACCATTGATGTGTATCGACTTGTGTCAAAAATAAATACATATATACATAAATGTATATATATTGTATAGTACTGTACATACCGTTCCTCATATTATGTAATATTATATCTATGCATCTAAAAAAATTGTAGCTATTAAAGATTAGTTTGAAGTCAATACTTTTAAAAACATTATCATACATTATAAATACAATAAGATACATATGAATAATATAAATTTATATTATAATATATAAAAATCATTGTTTTTCACTAAAAGTTTTTTTCTTCAATTTTTTCAGTTACTGCTAAATGATTTTGTGTTTCACAGAAATATAGATATACAGTATACTCAAACATATCAAATATATTGTATTTTTACAAACAATAAAGTGCTATATTTATTATGCAATACAATATATAAATAAGTCTTGTATAATATTGTTTGTGTGTGTGTGTAGCGCACAGGTAGCTCATCAATAGAAAAAAAGGTGAGACAACCGTCTGTGCTCTTATACCTCATTATACAGTAATACCAGAGCTCTTGAAAAGTCTAGTTTTTTGGTGCACATAGTATTCATTGTATTATTATTTGGTATTTACCAGAACCGCCCCCTCTAGTCTAACATCCCAGTCCTCTCTCTCTCTCTCTTTCTCTCTCTTCTTACAATGATTCAATTATATTAGCCATCATCAGAGGCCACATACATAAGCTGCTGCTCAATATAGTCAATATTGAGCTAATTGTTTGATTAGACACTTCAAGAAAGTGGATTTTGTAATTAGTTTTTTTTCATTCATTGATTTATTCAATATCCCTATTGTGTGGGTGAGTGCACACCCGTAACTGCAATAAACAAAAATAGTGTCTATATTTGAGTTGTGTCTTCTGTAGTATATATGTAACACTATTGCTAACAGTGAGATAATTATACCACTGGTGTGTGATTAATAAAATTATACTTGTTGATTTTTCAAAATAGTGAAACTAATAAAAAATTAATTAATATTAATATAACATTTATACCAAAAGTTTTTTAATAGTATTTAAAATTGTATAAATATTTTCAACTAACAAATATTTATATATTATATTTAATTTTATAAAAGTATTTTTGTGTTTGTGTTAAAAATTTATAAAATATTTTATTATTAATTATTAAAGCTAACAATAAGAAAAACAAATTCAACTTAAATTTGTGATTTCATTATTAGTACAGTATATTACTTAGTAATTTAAAATAAAAATGGTAAGTATTTTATTTAATAACTTATTTAATTATTTGCTTATGAATAATTGAAAAATAATAATTTATAGTTTAAATAATCAATAGTAATTTTAAAATATTTTAATGTTAATTATAGAGTATTATAATTTATAATATTATAAACATTTTGTGAAATTATGAGACTATTTGGTTTTTGTAACATATTTATTATTAAAACTCATCGATTGTTTTTCAAAAATATATCGATAATATTAATGAAGTTTTTTATATATAATAAATTATAGCGTATTGACATCAAACACATTAATTATTAATGTGAATATTATTATTGTATTTTGTAGAAACTATTATAATGATAAATATTAAAAGATATTTTATATAATTTATAAATATATAATTTTTCTATATTGATATATATTCATATTATACGGTACATTAATAATATAACATAATTATAAAAATTTAATTATTTAATCAATAAAACAATAAGAATAAATTCATAGTAAATGTTAGCAAATTTTATTTTACTAAAAAACTATTATTTTTGTTTCAATAATAATCTCATTAATATTTTTATTATTTATTTTTTTTTATTTTTTCAACTATTATGTATATAATAGCTTTTTCAAAATGTAGTTATCATAACTAATTTTAAGGTCCAAATTAAATTATGCTTTAACACTGCTTTAAAGGAAATTAAATATTTCAATAAATTTTACACAAAAAAATGAGTTAAATATATAAAAAAATATCGTGACTACAAATTTTTTTATCATACTATTAACTGATCAATATTTATTAGTTTTTAAAATACATACAATTTAATGGTTTAATATGTTGAGTAGAAGTAGTAATTGTTTTATTATTAATTAAAAATAATACTTTAGAGAAACACCTGTCAAATATGTTGAATACACCAAAACATTAGTTTATTTTTTTAAAAAAAAGAGAAACTTATTTCATATAAAAATTGATTTTATTTTTAAAAATATTGAGAGAAACATTTGTGTAAACAACGCAAAATATTTTTTTAAATTTTGTTATGATATAATTGTTTTATAAATAATTGTGGGTTTAATTATTAGACTTGAATGTGTATTATTTTTATAGTAAACTTGTCATTAAATAAAATATTACATCTTAATTATTAGTTGTAATTATTTAAATTTGATTTTGTTTTGATGTTTTACAACAATGTTATCCTTGAAATCCCTGTTTTGGACAAATATATGACACTATCATTATAATGAAGTTTATAATATATTTAAAATAGTATTTTTACTAAAAATATAAAAAAATAAATATAATGGTAGTTCTCAAATTAATTTTTTATTAATAAACTAGAGTTAATATATTATGGATGAAATGGTATGTATTATAAATTGTTAGTGTTTAACTATATGCAATATTACTTTTTGTAATATATTATTAGCTGATATTTAATACTGTATATTATATTACACTTAAACTAACATTTTTACAATTCAATTTTAATATCTTGTTTTTAAAAAGATTTAAAATATTATAATCAACAATAAATATTTTTATTAGTAAAAGATTGATTATGTTATTGTAATTTTAATGTTAGCATAAAATTGTATTTACTATTTAAAAAGTATTATTCTGTATAATTACAATATATTTTTAACAATAAACAATTATTGTAATGACATTTGTATGAAAAAATCAATGTCATTGTGATAAACTTGAAAATATATTTTTTAGATATTAGAACATTACGTTTATTTCATAATTATAATTGAGATATTTTTTTAAATAACATGTATCCGGGATTAATTTTAAATTTTTGCTTAAGTGTGATTAAAATAAAGATAATAATAATTACTATAAAAAGCTTTATTAATAATAAAAATAAAATTATAAAAACAAAAAATAAATCATCACAAATAAAATTTCAATTTTTTCTAGACGTTATTCATAAAATAACAGAAAAAAGTATTTTTATTGTAAAAATTTTCCCGGAATTATGATTAATAGCTTTAATAATATAGTCATTAATATTTTTGTCTTGTTTTAAAATATATGAAATAATCAGAATATATAATGTTATTACTAAAAATAAATGTATATAAGTTATATGTTTCTTGAATAAATTGCTTATTAATTATAATACGTAATACTGATTATGTGAAAACTTCAATTTAATTAATAGTGTATACAACTATTATACAGTATTTATATTATAGAGTTAGTAAAAGTATATTTTAAAAATAACTAGAAAACATTAATGTGAAAATTGACAATTTTTTTGTTTTTTTATTACAATAAATATTATTTTTTAAATTTAAATAATTAAAATAATTAAAAGTATAAAATTTATTAATTTTTAAATATATCATTTTTATAAATAACAATTTTCAGTATCTAAAATATTAAAATTTTATATTTCTATATATTCAATATATAGATTAACTATATAAAATATGTTATATATTAAATTTATAAAATAATTATTATTTAAATTATTGATGAATTATTTATCAAAATTAGTATTGCTCAAAATAACAATTATTTACTAATATTTCATATACTGTTTATATAGCAGAAAGTTTTAATATATTATTATAGTATAATATAAAATATATATACACTATAGATATTAAATCATATTAACAAAAATATTACTTAAATTAGTTAATAACACGACAAGTATTCATTAATTAGAAATATAGTGTCAGTTTTTTTTCCATATGAATTAATAATAATAAAATTATATTTGTAATAGTATTAGTATAGTTTATTGGCATTTTAAAAATTATAAGTTATTTTATTTATTATTTATTATAATTATTAGATTATATAAATAAATTAGCAATAAATTATTTAAAATTCTATATATATATTGTATATAGATATATATCATATATTTATAGTTATTTTAAATATACTGTATCATTAATAATTCATTATCATTATTATTTTTACTATACATTTGATTTTATCGATTAAAAAATAAATATTTAATTCAAATTAAAAAATATTCAAATTGATAACAAATTATTGTTAATAATTAAATAACTAATTATTTGACAATAGAGTTATTTTATTTATATTCATATAATAATTGTTATAACTAACTGAACTAACACTTAATATCAGTCACATTGACAAACACATAGAGCACCTGTCGGTTCTGAGACATAGATCACTAGCTCTTAATAATCGTAACAAACAGTATAGTAATATAAAACAATTTTAGTTGAGTTTATAAAAAGTGTTTTTATTTTATATATATATATATATACCTGTATATAGTTTTTTAAATAAAGTTTTCTTTCAAACGAAATGCATCAGTAAATCGTAAAAACAATATTAAAAGTAGATAACCTTTTTTTGTTGTTTTCCTGAACTTCAAGTATGTTTGCAAAGCACAGGGAGGGTACTAAAAAAATCAGATATAGTTTATAATCGATAATACTATTATAAATATTGTTTATTTTCATAAAGTTTTTATATGGTTATGAATAAATGTAGAAAAATGTATGTAATATTCAATATTTGTTTGAAAATAGCATTTAGTTTATAATATAAAACAATTAATTTTAATAATTAATTTTTTGAACATTTTTGCAGAATATATATATATATTTAATTATTACTGTATTTTGTATAATCAATAGCGGGATTAGACTGTAATATCAGCAATAAGCCAACACATCTTTTATTATTATATTTAAAAAAAAGATTTTCATTTGTGTTTTTTTAAACAAAAACAACTTTTTAAACAAAAAAAAATACACAAATTTTGACAATCAATTTGGAGTCAACTTTTTTGACACTTTTCTACATTAGTTTTAGTTTCTTTATATAATTCATGTCAAAAACTGATTTTTATTGTTAGTTAGATTTGTTGTGTTTTTCAATAGACATGTATAAACATTTTGTGGTTATTTTAGCAAATTTTGGTCTATAATTTAAAAGTTTTGTTAAAATTTTAAATATAATATTGAGTACAATTGTTTTTATTTTACAATATTGTTAAGTATTTTTGTTGTTATTTTGCTGTTAATTATTGTATTTTTAACAGTTTAGTTGTTGATTAATTTAAATAATTAAAAAAATTTCTAAATTTATAGTGATATTTAAAATATTTTTTTGTTGTTATAAAATATGTTAAATAAAATTATTAATTATATATATTATATATATTTGTTTGCTATTTAATAAAAATTAAATAAATAAATAAAAAACTACCCGTTATTTGGATAGCAATGAATGGCAAACGACATGTGCGGCACTACTAATCATAATTTTGATAATTACTATTAAATAATAATAATCATTAATTTTATTACCCGTTTAATAGCGTGAATGTCTATCAATACATGTGGGACAGGCAGGTGTCCAAATGGGAAACGCCTGTTGGGAACTATATTGTCTGGAACACGGCATACAACCCGACGGCCAGATGCCCAGCGACAAGACCATTGGCGGCGGCGATGACTCGTTCAATACGTTTTTCTCGGAGACGGGTAGCGGTAAACACGTACCGCGTGCTGTGTTTGTTGATTTGGAGCCTACAGTAGTGGACGAAGTACGCACCGGTACCTATAGACAACTATTTCATCCGGAACAACTTATTACTGGCAAAGAGGACGCCGCTAACAACTACGCGCGCGGACACTATACTATTGGCAAAGAGATTGTAGATCTGGTAATCGATAGGATTCGCAAACTGGCCGATCAGTGCTCAGGACTTCAGGGATTTCTCATATTTCACTCGTTTGGCGGCGGAACTGGCAGTGGATTCACATCACTGTTGATGGAAAGACTGTCCGTTGATTACGGAAAGAAAGCCAAACTGGAGTTCAGTATATATCCCGCACCTCAGGTCTGCATTATCAGGTCTTGTCATCGGATGTGACCATTAAATGGTTAATGTTATCACTGATGTTCAGGTGTCGACAGCTGTGGTGGAACCGTACAACTCGGTGTTGACCACTCATACGACACTCGAACACAGCGACTGTGCCTTTATGGTGGACAATGAGGCCATCTACGACATATGCCGACGCAATTTGGACATTGAGAGACCAACTTATACAAACTTGAACCGTTTAATTGGCCAGATTGTGTCATCTATTACAGCATCCCTGCGCTTCGATGGCGCCCTCAACGTAGATCTCACAGAATTTCAGACTAATCTGGTGCCGTACCCGCGCATACACTTTCCGTTGGCCACGTATGCACCGGTGATCAGCACTGAAAGAGCATATCACGAACAGTTGACAGTGTCTGAGATTACAAATGCTTGTTTTGAGCCGCAAAACCAGATGGTTAAGTGCGATCCCAGACATGGAAAATATATGGCCGTATGTCTGCTTTATCGGGGAGATGTGGTCCCAAAAGACGTTAACGCGGCCATAGCGGCCATCAAAACTAAACGTAGTATACAGTTTGTCGACTGGTGTCCAACCGGTTTCAAGGTATAATTTATATTGAAATTTGTATAAACATCTAGTATGATAATCAATTCTATTGTATTTTTCTAATGAGCACAGGTAGGCATCAACTATCAGCCGCCAACTGTAGTTCCCGGCGGAGATTTGGCTAAAGTTCAGCGCGCCGTCTGTATGTTGTCCAACACTACAGCGATTGCCGAAGCGTGGGCCCGATTGGACCATAAGTTTGATCTAATGTACGCCAAACGGGCGTTTGTACACTGGTATGTAGGCGAGGGTATGGAGGAGGGAGAGTTCAGTGAGGCCCGCGAGGACTTGGCTGCACTGGAAAAGGATTACGAAGAGGTTGGCATCGATTCGGCTGATGGAGACGCCGATGCCGGCGATGAATACTAGACGATATATTAAATACTATATCAGTGCTCACAGTTCGGCACAGTTAGCACATCCGGTTTGTGGTTAATAGCACTACATTTCCAATTTACAAATTAGTTTAATTTCTAATTACAGTATGTGTCACATTTACATTATAAATTAACTATACAATAGTTACCGTACTGTTTATGGTTAGCAAAAAAATATAATTATAGTATTTATACAATTTAATATATATATATATACATTTCTTTTTAGTTATTAATTCTATGAATTAACTAATATATTATACTATTCAATATGCATTAAATAAATTTATTGCAAATTATTAGCTTTTATTTAGAAAAAATTTAAATATAAATTGTTTGTCATTATTATTTTATGGGATTGGTTAGCGTGCATTCATAATAAGATTTACAATATTATATACAGTATAAATAAATTAAAAAAAATTAAATAATAATTTATACTTAATTTCTATTTGGTTTATACTATTTATCGCCTAATTATATTATTTAATACAAGTTTTAATTGTATTTTTTTAATATTCACATTTATTGTAATTCATTAAGTTTTACTCAATACTAGTATGATATACAATCATTTACAGTAAATATAATATAATATTTAGCATTTATATTTTAATTATCTTTATTTAATTTTTACATTATAAAACTTTTATATTATTATTTTATATCTTAATTAAAAACTCGATAAAGCATTTGTGTGATATTAATTAATTTAATTATGAATAAAATATTTAAAAAATAGACTGTTTTATTTATTTTATAGTTTATTAATAAAAATTTAAAATACTGTATACTAAAAACAGTATAAAATTTTAAAATATAATTTTTGATCAATTTTATCTTATTTTTTATAAATTATACTAAAACAAAATTACGGTAAACTTTAAACTTGAATATTATTTTCTAAACTAATAAAAACAGTATAATTTATTAAAAAATTTATATAATATTATTTATTATTATTTATTTTATTATGAATTGATATCAAACTCTTCGCCATATTTTTACGGCAATATTTTTAGGCCGCACTTCACCAGAGCTTACTTTAAAAGCAACGGGAAATCCATTATAGTGTCCGTCCGACCACTGGTTGTTTGCATGGATTGCTTCTTCATGGATGTCCTCCACGTTTGGAAGTCCGTGCATACCATAGCTTTTGACACCAACCAAATGTGGTGCCTGCGGCTCCTGTATCTCTCCAAACCTACCCGATTGTCCACCCATTATACGCAAAAACAGACCTTCATAAGCTTGACTGATATCCAGCCAATTAAATTGAGGCCAAATGTCCGACGGCTTCATTTGGTCGGGCAGTTGGATATATATGTAGCCAAACGGTACGTAATTTAATTTTGTTACTAAACAATAGAAAAAATAATATGTTTTAATATTTGTAAAATTATACAATATTTACATTAATTTATTTTTGTTGTTCAAGAGATTGTAATATATATTTTAATGTATAATAATTATATTTAATATACAAAAATACCTTTTTGTTGTTTGAGTTGATTTATCTCAGTTTTCATGTATTTAATCATATCGTAAGCTTGCGATGGAGTCCATGGCTGTCGGCGCTCACAGAGTACCAGATTTTGGGTAAAACACGACACGTCCTCCCATTTGCCGACAAACTTTTTGCCGTTGCTTTTCTCATAATCGCCTAACACCTGATGCTCTGATGGCGATCTGATATGTATACATGGCTTGAGGTATCGGGTGGGTCGACCTCGAATCCAGTTGGCGTATAGCACCCGACGTTTGGCTAGTTTTCCTCTGCGATCTTTGTATGTGTCAGTAGATCTGCCAATCCATACGTTTTTGTACAGGTTTTTCGTAAAGAAAAGGTAGCTATTGATGAAATTTTGTTCACCGGCTGATTCAGGTATAGCCAATTGGATGGAGACATCCCTTCCTTTACCAGTTAATGTATGACATATTTCTTCGGCTTCGTGTTTGGTAACAGTTTTGTTGATCAGATAATAAGATTTATTATCCTTATAGTGAACCCAATTATCTGTATATAAATAATTACAGTACAAATATTAATAAATTAATATATATATATAAGATATTATTTATATTAATAAATAATTAAAATAGTTTTTTTTTATTCATAGGTCATAAATACATACTTTCATTATATTGAAAATGACAACATTTTTTGTTGACTACTGACTCTCTATTAATATCTGTTTGAAGTGACCTAAGTTCAGGTGAGTGCCATAGTTCACCGTCACCTGTAGTATATATATAATACATATATTTCAAGTTAATATCAAAATATCTATAAATATTAATCAAATAAAAAACCTGATATGTCTTCAATCATTTCAATTTTGTCCGTATTTGAAGCAATTAATAATCTATCATGCTCAAAATTGGGTAATGAGCTAGGTTCATTCAATTTAGGACTAGTTATCTCAAATAACTGTTGTTTATTATTGAGATTATTATTATTATTAATTTTATCATTAATCAATAATTGTCTAATTTTAAGCTTTTGTGGCATCGCTTTGCTCTTCAAACCAATAATTGGTGTTATCGTTGAACATAACAATAGCAATGAAAACAACATAATTTTTGTGATAAAAATAGTCATTTTTTAAATTAATAATTTATTTAAACAATTTTATACATATGATTTAAATTAATAATATTAACTTTGAATAGTAACAAATTTTTAATGAAAAAATTTAGTTCAATAGTTATATAAAATTGTTTTTAAAAACTTCAGCAAATATTATAATATTTTCGTAAAATATGATAAGCATAATTTTATAATTATATATACTTATATATATATATAGTTTCTAAAATTAAAATAAATTTTTAAAAGTGAAATAATATAAATATATATTGAATTCATCTTTATAAAAGTAGATAAGATTTTTTTTGTTAATTTGAAACTTATTTTCCTGTTTTATTAAAATAATTAAATATTTTATTAGAATTTTTATTTATGTTATTATATATGAAGGATGTATAACTTATATAAAATTATTTATAAATTTTAGATTAATTCAAACTTTAATAAAAAATGTTTTTGGTTTAATTTATTCATAGTTTATTAAAAATGATTTAATATAATATTAATTAATTTGTTAAATATTAATTTAGTTAACAAAAAAAATAATAACTTAATATCATTAATAAATTTTTAAATATTTTTATTAATCTTGTTATATTTTTTAAGTTAAAACTATTTATTTATTAATATCATAGCAATTAACATTATAAACGCAATTAATTGTGAATGTAAATTTATAGTATTGTATACAATGTATTACACAATTGCATTTCTATAATTTTTTAAAAATATTTTATCAAACAAACTGTTTTTCAATTAAAATACAAATAAAACACGCTATATATTTGTGTAATATATTAAATAATATTATTTATTAAAAAAATCTGATTAAATATATTAGTCATCTTTAATAAAAAAATGGGTGTACTTTACATATTTAATGAAAAACATCAAACTTTATACGCAATAAATTTATCAAATTATTATTATTAAATTAGTACTATTATTATTATTACTATTACTACTACTATTGGAAGTTTTATACAATATTTTTTGAATGTATTTACTGTAGTGAAACTAAATCATGATATTTCTATTGTACTCATAGTTGGCAATAATAAGTATCAATATTATATTTTTACAATATATTACATTTTAGATAATAATTATGATGTTCAGTATACAGGTAATTAATAACAGATAAAATTATATATATATAAATATATTATTTTATATGCCGTATAAAAAAATACAATCATTTAGCTGTCATTTGTCATATTATAATTAAATATAAATATAATAATATATGAGTGACTCGAGTCAACTGATTTCTAATATAATGGATGAAAGAAAAGACAATATAGTGCCCATTGAGGACAGCCTACGAACGGACAGACATAACAATGGTAATTGTGTATTTAATTGTGTAATTAATGTAAAAATTATTTAATTTAAAAACATAATGAAATATTTTATAAATAAGTATTATATTTTATATTTTGGTAAATATATTGATAAATATAAGATACCAGTGCCTCATCGGGATGTTGTTCTATGTTGTTGACGGTGCTATCGGTTATACTTATTATCTGTACCCTACCGTTCTCACTAATATTCTGTATTAAGGTTAAGATATTATTTATTTATTAACTTTTTTATATTTTGTAAAATCTTATTTTTATTCAGAATCTTAAAATAAATCTATGTTTTATTTATTACAAAAAGCCATTAGAAATAATATTTTTTTATTTATTTTTCTTACAACTATTAGTACTTAATTAAATTTTTGTTAATTAATTACTAGAATTACTCTACAAATTTTGCTATTGCAATATATTAATTTACTGTATAATTGTTTCAATATTTCCAATTAATTATATTTGTGTACAGGTAGTCAACGAATATGAGAGGGCAATAATGTTTCGATTGGGTCGTCTAGGTAATTTTTAAATATTATTTATTTTCTAAATTTTCAAAAACAATAATTTATTATTTAATTTAATAATAATGTTATTGTTGATTATTTGTAATTAAGTAAAAGGAGGTGCTAAAGGTCCGGGATTGTTTTTTATCATACCATGCATTGACACCTACCGGTGCATTGATATCAGGTATGTTATTACAAATCATTGAACTAATAGTCTATTAATTATTAATATTGATGTTATTATATAATCTATCATATTAATATTTTATAATAATTGTTGCTATTGTATTACTTAAATTATTTATATATTAGAGATACTGTATATTAATGAATAATTATTTTATTTGTATTATATTAATACTTAAATACATATATTTTTATAACACACACACACACACACACACACACACACACACACACATATACACACACTCATTAGATTTAAAATAAAAATTAATTTTTATAAAAACAAATATGTTTTCAGAACCGTGTCGTTCAATGTTCCGCCACAACTGGTCTTATCAAAAGACTCGGTCACTGTTACGGTTGACGCCGTTGTCTACTATCGAGTGTTTAACCCGACGGTCACCGTTTGCAATGTCGAAAACTATACCTTATCCACACAATTGATGGCCGCGTCGGCGTTGCGCAACATTTTGGGCACTCGAGTGTTGTCCGATATATTGGCCGACAGAGAAACCATATCGAGTACAATGCAAAACACGTTAGATGAGGCCACCCATCCATGGGGTGTCAAAGTGGAAAGGGTTGAAATGTAAGCAACTCAGGGATTCGGGATGGGGTTTGAATAATTATTAATATTAAATTAATTAACTATATATTTATGGAAATCATAAACATTAGAAAGGATGTCAAACTTCCGCAAGAAATGCAACGGTCTATGGCTGCCGAAGCAGAAGCGGCCAGAGATGCCAGAGCTAAGGTTCAGTAGTATTATTGTATATCTAATGAAATTTATAAATCAATGTCCGATTAATTGTTAATTGTTTTGTATGGTTAGGTAATCGCTGCTGAAGGCGAACAGAGAGCCGCCCGTTCCCTGAAAGAGGCGGCAGATGTGATCAGTGAGTCTCCATCTGCACTACAACTCAGATATTTACAAACTCTAACAACTATTGCCACCGAAAGAAACTCCACTATTGTTTTCCCGGTTAGTCTTAAATATTATAATATTAGATATATATATATTTATTTATTTATTTATAGTAATTAATAAAATAATAATTTTAAATGTTTTAACTTTTTTGTTATTAATTTAGATACCAATGGAGTTATTCAAAGGGTTTGGTATGAATCAGCAAACCTTAGAAAATTAAATATTAATTTTATCTAAAATCTATTTTTAATAAATATATTTTATATTATATAACTTTATCATAATATTTATACTATTTAAACAAAAAAATATTTGATTTTTTGATTTGAAACTATGCTTGTTGAAATATAAATTTCAATAAATACAGTATTAATTTCATATATAAATTTAGATAGTAATAATGTATGTTAAATATAATTTTTTAATTGCATTTTTTACATGCAATCTTTAGTAAAATATATTTATATATTTAATCTAAACTATTTAATAATCGACAAATAATAATATTATTATTTTTTTAATTTTAATTTTTATATACAGTACAAACAGTATTTATATGAGTTTATGTATTTTTAAACTATTAATATTTACTGTAATAGCAATTTATCAACAAAATTTTAAAACTATTTATGATTACACTAATAATTATTATAAAAGTTTTTTAAATAAATTACACATTCTTATAAATTATTATCATAATTATTAATTGTATATTAAACTGGATATACATGACTTGAAACTGAATAAATTTTATCTAACTGTCCATCGTATGACTCTTTAGTAAACATTATAATACTATCATATGTTTGACATAAACCCAATTTCTTAGCTATTTTAATAGCATTGGGATTTGTATCCCAACAATAATAATAAACTTTTTGCAGTCTATCATTGGGTACGAGTTTACAGCACCGGCCTACCAGTAGTTCGGCTACCGTTTTATTGTCCGCATAAAGCGGTCCAATCATTGCTGCGTTACCACAAACACCGATTATAAAACAATAGCCGCATACCTCCTGGAGTTCATTAATGGCCACAAGATGCCATGTTTCTGGCGATTTGATTACACCATCAATAAATACCCGACGATCTAAACCACCGGTTACTATGCCATCATATTTAGCAACATTTGCTAATAATTTATCATTTATTGAACACACAGTAATGCCATTAAAACTATCGACAATATTATCGGCGATCACAACATTACCAGTCATATGAACCGCATGTTTATAAGTAATTGCTTTGAAACCCCATTTTTCTTCATATTTGTGACCAATTTTTTCATTGCGAGCCCAAAGACCAATGTTTCTGTCGCCTAAATGTTGCATAACTTGTTGCCAAATACTAGAGCCAACTCCCAGTCCTTGATATTCGGGTAAAACAGCGTAACCACCAATAAATCCAATGTTTGGCCCAATAATAATTCCACTACAATAACCAATTATTTCCTCTAAATTTTGATATTTCATAAAAAAATATTTTATTAACAAAATTAACAAATCATATATTTTATACCATTTTCAAGATTTTCGGCCACAAATATGCCGTTCCTATCGATATTAGCGATCACTTCATTTGCCGATTTAAATAAATATGACTTACATCGACACCATATGTCAAGTACTGACGGGTAATCGGTTTCCCGTATTTGGCGTATAATAAACTTAACGCTTTTGTTATTATTATTCTTTGAAATAATATTATTATTATTAATATCACAATTATTATTTGTATTGTTAGTATTATAATCTTTCATATTCTAGATTTAATAAATTTTAAAATTATTAGTTAAATAATTTTTATTTCTATATAAAGTTTAATGATACAAAATTATATTATTATATCTTAAATAATATACAATAATAGAATAAATGTAAATTTAATTTTACCTTTTATACTTTTTTTTATAAGTGTTAGATTTTTAGTAAATTTTATTATTTATAGTAAAATTAGAGATATTTCTAATCTGTAGATACTTTATCATAGATTTATATATTTAATTATCTTAAAATAACAATTAAATTTGTTACTAATTTATTTAGATTCTCTGTAACTTTATATAACAAATTTCTTAAATGCAATATTTGGTATATACTTGAATATCATTTTTTATGATTAGATATAAATATATGTTTAAAATAATCTATATTTAAAATTATTAATACTTAGTCTCATCATTATAGTTAAAAGTTAATAAAATTTTTAAATGATAAATATTAAAAATTGATAATGTAATATTTAAATTATAGAGTAAAAGAAAATCTATTGATGTATTATATATAATATTAAATAATAAAGTATTATAATGATAAAATCTTTATACAGTTAGTAAAACACTTTATTTGGGGGAATTTAATTTAATTTTATGTTTAAGTTTTAAAATAAAATGTCAAGTATTATATACCATTTTAAAGCTTAATTAATATATTTTAATAATTATATTTAAAAATTTATAAAAAATAAGGGGTGGTCAATTAAAATATATTTTTAAATATATGGTCATATAAAGGTACTTTTAAACACTAATATTTAAATTTTTATTCATTAATTAGAATTAATTATAAAAATAATAAATAATATTGACTATTTATAGAAAAATAGTTTATAATTTTAAATATAATAATATTTTTAATAGAAAAATTATTATTAAAATATAAAATGACTCAAAAGTTATAGTCTTGTTTATAGATTTATAAAATAGGTGAACAAAAAACATCAATAAATTTGGAGCCTTTTAATTTTGTATTAAAAATATTTAACCTAATAATATCATTATAATCTACAATATAACTTATTTTTTATCATTAATATTCATAGTTTAAAATTTATTAAATTAATTATCATCACAAAATTTAAGTTAGTTAATTGGTGTTTAACATGGATTTTATATGTTTATTTTTGACCTATAAGGAAATGGTCAATATTTTAGATATTTTTTATTTTTAAATAAATTGTAAATTATTTTTTAAAAATATAATAAATAAGCTTTAAAATAATATATAACACTTTATATTTAGATAAAAAACTTATTCATAAAATTAATTTAAATTCCCCCAAATAAAGTGTTTTACTACCTGTATATATGATTTATACTTCAATAACATTTTAATAGAATATTTATATTTTAAAGTATACTATTAATACTATTAATATTATTATAATTACTATTTTAAATTTATATTATTTTATTATCCAAATGTAATTTTTTTAGCAAACAAAATCTATGTAGAATTAAACCGGATATATATGACTAGATTTTGTATAAATTTTATCTAACTGTCCGTCATATGGCTGTTTGGTAAACATTATAATACTATTATCAGTTTGATTTAAACCCAGTTTTTTAGCTATTTTCAGAGCACTAGGATTTATATCCCAACAATAATAATTAACATTTTTCAGCCGGTTTTCGGGTAGTAGTTGACAACACCGGCCGGCCAGTAATTCGGCCAATTGTTCATTTTCGGCATAAAGTGGACCAAAGATAGTGGTATCGCCAGTGACAGTGACTATAATACAAAAGCCGCAAACCTCCTGGCGCTCATTTATGGCCACCAGACTCCATGTTTCGGGTGAGTTGATCATACCCTCTATGAATGCCTGGCGGTCCAAACCGCCGGTTACTACGCTATCATATTTGGCAACTTTTGCTACCAATTGATTATTAATTGGCCGAACAGTAATACCATCAATGCTATCAACAATATTATTGGTAACCACAACAGTGCCAGTCATGTGAACCAAACGTTTGTGTGTAACAACTTTGAAGTCCCACTTTTGACTATATTGTTGGCCAATATCATGACGAGCCCAAAGACCAATGTTTCTGTCGCCCAAATGTTTCAATACTTGTTGCCAAATACTTGAGCCAACTCCCAATCCTTGATATTCGGGTAAAACAGCGTAACCACCGATGAAACCCATGTGTGGAGCTATAATAACTCCACTACAGGAACCAATTACTTTGCCTAAATTAAGATATTTTTATTTATATTAATAAATAACTACATTATATACAGTAAATGTAATAATAATAATAATAATAATCAAACCATTGTCAAGATTTTCGGCCACAAATATACCGTTTCTATCAATATTAGCGATCACTTCATTTGCCGATTTAAATAAATATGACTTACATCGACACCATATGTCAACCACTGATGGATAATCGCTTTCCCGTATTTGGCGTACAATAAAATTAACATTTTTGTTATTATTTATTGTATTATATTTTTTATCATCATTGCTTTTAATAATATTATTAACATTTTCATAATTGTTTGTATTATTAATGTTCATATTTTATTATTATTGATGTGTTAACTACTAAAATATTTAAGTTATTTAACAATTTATTAAAAATAATGATACAATTATTACATATAATGATATTTCTAATTAATTTTTTTTTAATTTTCAAAATCTTTTTATACTGTATTTGTCAATTATAAATAAAGTTTTGCGCATTTATTTTTATAATTATCCCTTACATTTAAAGTTAGGTATAATTTTAATCAATTATAGAATAGATAAAAATAATTTTTTAAAATTATTACATTTTAGATTTTCTAAATTATTCTAGATTATTGAAATTAAAATTTATTGGTTTATTTTTGTAATAATAATAATAATGAGTGTATTTTTTTGTATTAGTTTTTTTTGCATTTAAATATTTTTTTGATAAAAACTGTTCCTTAATGTTCAAGGTCTTTCATATAATAAACTGTGAAATCAAATGATATAAATCGTAATCATAAACTTTAATAAATTATTTTACTTATTATGTAAACAAAAACTGTTTAATACAATACATTGTAATTATAATAATTTATGTTTTGAAATAGTGAAATGGTATTTTTTGTTTAATGGATAATTAGATTTTTAGTTGTCAATTATTTAAAAGATGAGATAAATATTTAGTATTTTAAAAAATAATAATCATACAGTATTTACTGTAAGCTATTTTAATATTATGAAAATTTTAATAATTTGATACAAATACTGTAAGAGTTAAATACATTTAGATATTGATACTTATGATTCATAGGATTCATATGATATCATTTTATTATACCGTATAGTGTAATGCTTTATTAGATTTTGTTTATTAATAATATTTGGTATATGATTTTACATGAAAAAAAATTAAAATTAATCTAAACTAAACATTTATAGTAATAATTATGATATATAATAATGATAATAATATTCACGATTAAAATATTTTAGATTATTTAATATTTACTATCATATTATCTAATTCACAATTATTATTAAAAAGATACTTAATATTGTATAAATAAATTTTAAACTTATTGAAATAAAAACATTTACCGGTAAAATAAAATAAATTATAATATAAATATAATATTTATAACATTAAATGATACAACAAATTACCGGTACTATTAAAATATTTTTACATAGTCTACTAAAATAAATTAAAATTCTAAATTAAACAACTGTATTGAAAATAATAGATAATTATTTAATACTTAATATATACAATATTAAAACTTAAAAAAAACAAATAAATTATTGTGCATACAATTAAATAAAGTTAAAACAATACAGAAAACTAAATTTAATAAAAATAAAAATAATAATAAATATGTATTTTGTTTAGAGACTAATTAAAACAAAATTATCAATGTTAAATAATTGCCTTGGTGAATCTGAATATTTAACATAAATGTTATTAACGTTTGTTTTAGTTTTCAATAGTCTATAAATTTTTTCCCTTTCCAACCATTGATTGCGACAACAGTAGAGTCTAACTGTCCTCAAGTTAGGCAACTTTCCTATCAATCTGACTGTCTTTTGATTTCTGTGCAAATAATCGATGTCAAGACACTGTAGTCTCGGTAAGTGATCGGTAATGTTAACAAAAAAGTCGCCAAAAATTTGTTGATAACCGTAAAAATTAAGCGACAAATGTGTCAATTGTTGTAACCGTTTAAATGATTTGCTGGTCAATTGCCACCGACATTGGTTATTATCGATGGCTTCACTGTTGTTATTATCGTTGTCTTCATCGTCGACATCGATAATGACATTGCATTTGATGGCCAGTCGTCGTAAATGCTGAAGACGTGCGCCAACAATATCAACCAATTGATACAATACTCTTTCACTGATAGTACGATCATAGGCTATGAGTTGCAATGATTTCAATTGATGACCGCATGTGTGGCCAAACTGTTTCAATAGTTCAATGATATAATACTCGGTGTTTGTCCGCTCAAACACGAGCTTCAATTGTGTCACTGAAGACATTTGAGACAAACCAGTGATCAACTCTTTAGCCGATAAGTGTTCAAAGTCTTTGGTTAATCTTATATGTAATGATTCCAACTGTTTGTGATAGTCGGCTACAAATGTCTTGAACAATGGCATACAGTTTGGTGTCAATTGAAACGCCAGACTATTCAACTGTTTGCCAAAATCGGGACTTAGATGTTGACCAGAAAATGAAGTTAAACCAACGTATCGGTTATGATACAGATCACCACTGACTACAAGACTTTCCAGATTTGGTGCCGACTGTCTATCCAATTGTTTCAACCATTTATCAATTCTGGGATCAGTTATGTTGGTCTCAAATGTCCGCAACTGTGCAGAAAATGTCTGGAAAAAGCGATCAATTGTTTGGTCGCTAAGCGCCGTCAGATACTGGCGTCCCATTATTATGACTATATTGAGATGTTTCAAATTGGGACAGTTGGCCACAAGGAAATCAAGATAATCATCGGTTATGTCACTGGAGTGTAGATTCTTGAATCTAACGGTACTTATGTGTGCCGCACAATGTCTGTACCAATTCATTACTACATTGAAACCAAATTCACGGTTCAGATAGCCGTCAAATATGAGTTCCAGTTGTGAACTGTGACTCATCGTACGGAAGTGTTTGGACAGACACTGTAGTCGCAGTTTGTCGTCAATCGGTAGATACGATAGTATCAGTTGTGTGAAGTCATCGCCGAAACGATCAAACGATGCGCTACTTCTTAGCGATGATTCACTACTATTACTGCTTGAGTTGCCATTCATTTTCCTCTTCGACTTCTTCATCATTATATCATAACAATTGATAAGTCGGTCGTAAATAAAGTTTTTATTATTTTTCTTATATCTGCACAAAAAAAACACAGATTTTCAATACATTAGTCTAG